TCTTTCCATCTTCTTTTAATACTTCCTGAATCATTTATAATTCTGCCTAAAGCATCCTTGATTTTAGCAACTCGAGGTTTAAATTTGTTCTTCAGCTCCTTGAGCTTAAGAAGTGCTGAACGAGTTGAACAATGACTAGGGAGGATAGAAGGAAAATTGATGCCTTTGACCTGTGGTGCTGAAGAAGAGTATTGAATGCACCATGGATTGCCAAGAACACAAACAGATTCAGCCTGGAGAGGGTTAAACCAAGTTGCTCCTTGGAGGCAAGGATTATGAGGCTTTGTCTGACATACTTTGGACATGTTGTAAAGAGGGAGAGATCCTTGGAGAGAGACATCATACTTGGGAGGGTGGAGGGATGGCGCAGAAGGGGAAGACCCTCTATGAGGTGGATTGATTCAGTGATGGGTAATTGGGATGGTTGTGTCAGAGGCAGTGCGATTGGCAGAGGATAGAGCAGGGTTTAGAGCTGTTGTACATAGGGTCGCTATGAGTCTCAAGCGACTCAACGGCACATAACAAACTTTAACTTCTCAAAGAAAATGAAATTACTTATTTCATCTTATATCTTGAGAAATGTCCTGCTAGGGAATAAGAGAGAAAAAACTAAATAGGCGAGTTCTGATGGCCTAGTGGCAAGAAGCTACACTGTAATCCCAGAGGTGCACGGTTCAAATCCACCAGATGCTCTGCTGGAAAAGGAGGACCATTCTCCTCCTGTACCAGTCAGGACTGATTTGATGGTACACACATTAAAAAAAAAGAGAGACACTAAATAGGTAGAAAAAGAATGACTGATAAGGCATTGGCAGAATTCAAATTAGTGAAATAGACCAGCTTATAGTGTATTCTTCTAAAATGTTCTGAAACCTTTTTGGTCAATTTAGATAAAATATGATTTGTTGTTAAGTCTCACATATAATGTTTATTTAAACATTAGTTGTTGTTGTTGTTAGGTGCCATCAAGTCGTAGACGACTCATAGAGATCCTATGAACAAAAGGCCTGAGCAGTGTCCGTACATAGAGTTTCCAGAGGCAAGCCATTTTGGAAGTGGATGCTGTTCCTACTTCCAGGAAACATTAGTAAATGATGTATTTTTAAGTGACTGAATAGGAATTTGAAATTTTTTCATAACTGTTTTCTAATAATAGTTTTTGCCTATATTATAAGTCCTTTAATCTCTTGGGAGAGGGAAATGGTTAAAACTTTAACAGAGATTGAGAAAATTTTGGAGTAGTATTTCTGATTTTGATTAAATGAAGTTCTATAATCCTATTTTTTTTAGCCATGCTCTCTAATTTCTAATAGCTTTAATACTTTGTAACTCATATTTGCCATATATTTCAGTTACAAACCAGTAGACCATAAACTTATCTGGCTGCCTTTACGGGAAGGATTTGAGGAACTTTTTGCCCAGACATTTTCCAAGAAGCAGAACTTTACATTTCTGGGACACATACAGACTTGTTACAGGCAAAAGCGGTGGCATGATCTCCTGAGACTAATGCAACATGTTCACAAGTCTGCTGTCAACAAGAATGGAAAAAAGAATGAAACTGGTAAGGATGTGACATGGGCTGCTGGCAGGAGAATAAGAGGTGGAGCATAGCAAGACTAGGAGAAGAATAAAAAACATTACCACTCAGAGCTTCATAAGCCTTGAGATAGAGATGATTCATGTTGCCCTGTTGCGGCTCTCTGGAGAAATATCTAGTAATGCTGATGTGCAGGTGATATGTAGTGATCAGTCTATGGAAATATTGATATACAGGTGCCACATAAATAAATCCCATTTTCTCAACCAAAGAGCTGCTTTCCTGAGAGCTGTATTCCACAGCCAAAGGCTGTTGGCAACTTGCCTAAATTCTCTGTGCTTCCTCATCAGTAATAGAAAATAAAAGTAACTACTTCACATGGTTGGTAAGAAGGATACATGAGTTAATTAGTATGATCCCAGCACAGAGTTAGCATTGTAGAAGTATACAAGTACTTAGACTTACTGCTTTCACACTTATTCTAAGAGGCTTGCCTTTGGTGTGAATTTCTTGTTAATGTGTGTTTAAAAGTTGTAATGAAGTTGTAAAGGTGGTACATAGGGCTAATAATCTCATGTGCTAACTAAAAGCTTAGAAGTTCGAGTTCGTCAGAGACACTTTGGAAGAAAGTTCTGACAACCTAATATTGAAAATTCAGACATTGAAAAACCCTATGGAGCAACAGCGCTGCTTTTAGACACACAATTACCATGGAGTCATAGCTCAACAACTGATTATTGTTAAATGATTGGATGTTTTACTTCTCAAGTGTGTGCTAAAGTCTTGAAATTATTCTTTTCTAGAATTACTCCTGAAGGAGAAGTGGGAAGTATTTGGTCTTAGACTCAACCATGCCCAACAACAGATGAAAATGACTGAAAATGCCCTTTTGTTTGCCTTTGTAGAGGTATTTTGTGTCATATATTTAGTTTTAAAAGAATGTTGATTTAAATGCATGTTTTATGAAGGCAGCTGTTTTGGGATCTTTTCATGTGGAGTGCTTTCTGTTTGTTTTTGGAAAATTTTAAAAAATACTCTATGGAACTTATAAAGCCTTCATGAGCACCCTTTTTTTTTCCTTAAACAGATTATTTTCCCCCTACATCTTCATTCACTCACGTTATATTTCATAAAATTGTTCCTATACATTGTGTTCTATAAAATTAATCATCATTTTAACCCTCCTTATTACCCTGTCTTTTCAGGTCTCCATCAGATCTTTCCCATTTCCTTTATTGTATGACCCTGTGATTTCCCCCTACCCCTTCTCATCTTTTTTGCTCCCACCCCCTCCCTAGTTGAACCTCCATGTGTTTTACTAGTTTTCCTTCTGTTTTTACAATAAGGGTCTTATACAGTATTTATCCTTGTGAGACTGAATTATTTCACTCAGCATAATGTATGAGCACCATTTTTTGTTTTTTAAAAGCTATAATTAAGAATAGTGAACCTTGTATTTTTTCATAGCCTTCTGTGTGTGAATAGGTGTATATGCGTGTGCATATATTTGAAGTAAAAGTAGAAAAGAACTATTTACTGGCATGAATCATTTAAAAAATAATTTTGTTATTGAGTTTATATACAGTAGCTATACTTTGCTTCACCAGTTTCTACATGTACTTTTCAGGAACATTGTTTGCATTCTTCAAGATGTGCAACTATTTTCTTTTTCTTAGTTGTTCCTTTTCCATTTACAAATTCACTGCTGTTTATGTTCTTACCTAATCTTTTGAGTTGCTATTTTTGACTTGAACTCATATAGTTCATGAAAGAGCATGATGCTCAAGGCATACTTTTTTTTTTTACTAGTAATCCTAAACTATAAAGACTTCAGGGTATATTTTTGGCTTAAGCTTTACAGATCATTTCTGAATGAAATAGTTTTCTATATTCATTCACATTCCATGGCTTCAGAAGGTTTAGAGTATTTGAGAATTTGAAATCAAAGAATCTGAAATGAGAATTTTCCCTTTTGTTACGGTACAAAAGTACAAAGAGGCTCAATTTAATAGTAAACAAACCATTTTTGATATATGATTGTTGTTGTTATGTGCCGTCGAGTCGCTTTTAACTCATAGCGACCCTGTGTATACAACAGCCCTAAACTCTGCTTTGTCTTGTGCCAATCGCACTGTCTCTGACACTCCCATCCCGATAACCCCAGTCACCGAATCAATCTACCTCATAGAGGGCCTTCCCCTCCTGCACTGTCCCTCTACCCTCCCACGCATAATGTCCTTCTCCAAGGACCGGTCTATATCATCATATGTATAATACATGATTAGGTTGTAAAAGTTTTTTTATTGCTTTAAAGACTGGTTGAAGAGAGAAAATCTCTTTGGGGTCAAACTTTTCTGTCAAGTTGAACGTGATTTGTAGCAGACCTTCCAATGGCTTTCTGAGATTCTAAAGGACACGGGAGGTGTTGATTCATCTTTCTCCCTTGAAGGAAGTTGCTGGAGTATTTGAACCACCAGAGAGGCATGACCTTTGGGTTAGCAGGCCAACTCACCCCAGAGTTCCCTCTCTTTGGGCTAGATCTGTGGAAATAGGAATTTAGGTTTTCAGGGATTGTCACAGGCTGATTTAAACAACTTTCTGATATTGGTACACTTACAACCTTAAGCCATATTTAGATACCTATAATTGCCTATTAGCCCACAGCTGAATACATTGTATTTTTGCTTTTATCTAACCATCTTTGTAATGAGAAAATCTAGTTTATTTTATCTTGGGCTGAAAGCTGACCCCTTGGCCCTTCTGGACATTTAAAAAAATCGGATCCAAACTCTGTGGACCTGAGGATAGCCATTTGGCAGTTAAGGTTAAGGACTGGGCTTGTCAAGTGGCAAAGGTTTGCCTCTGCCTCTGTTTTTAACCTTGGTTGTATATTTCTCTTGAATGTGCCTTTATTTAAAATTATTTCTTAACATTTTACTGTTTCTTTTTCTAGGGCACATTAGTTCAGGCTGTAAAGAAAGGAGAGTGGATCTTGTTGGATGAGATTAATCTGGCTGCTCCAGAAACATTGGAATGCCTGAGTGGTTTACTTGAAGGATCTTCCAGCTCGTTGGTATTGCTGGATCGAGGAGACACAGGTAGCACCACAGACTCTTGAGTATTTGACTTAGTGTTAAGCCTTTGGGCTCATTTAGAATCTTGCCACCTTAGATACAGTAAAAGTGAATCTGTAGTTTAACAGGATCTCCAAGTGATTATTTGTATAAACTGTCGATTCTGATTCAGTATATCTGGGATAGAAATGGAAATTCTGAGAAAGAGCTAGAATCAAAATGGAACCATTTTGAAGTCCTAGTGGAGAACAGAATTCTATTGGTTAGGTAGGTGAATTATGTGAATTTCCAATGTGATTTGTTGGTTAAGAACACACTAAAGTTGTTACTGTTCTGCAAAATGTTTTATATTATTATTAAGTAATATTAGGAATGCTGGGATGAATAAGATTTAATTTGTCATAAGGTGTACAGGTGGTTGGAACTGCATGTGCATTCAGTGACAGAATATTCACAAGTGAATAGATGATAAAAGAAATAAACAGTGGTGAACTGGTAAACATAAAAGATGGAAGAATGACAGCATATAATTTGGCTATTTATGTAGGAGTGGACAGTGTCAGAGAAAGCAAGGTTGATTTGCGTAGCCAGTACCTGCCTACAGCAGTGGTTTATAAGCCTGGGGTTCTGTGGAGTAAAAATTCTCTGGGGAACCTGTGTCTGGTCACTTGATTTTTATGAGCTCTTGAAAATGTGTGATTTTTCCCTTTACAGAGCCATTGGTTCGTCATCCTGACTTCCGCCTGTTTGCCTGCATGAATCCAGCAACAGATGTGGGCAAAAGAAATCTTCCACCGGGAATAAGAAACAGGTGAGGGGATGTGGCTTGATATTGGAAGTCCTTTTATTTGTTGATTAGAAATATAAGCTTCATAACATTGTACACAGTGCCTTAACATTCTTGGCTCTACAAGAAGGCTGTGATTTGTTACAGTGATTTGTTCTATTTCTCTTACTTTCTGTATGTAATAGTAAAGGAAACTCTGGAAATTTTCCTTAATATGATACTTAATGACTCATGGGTATGGTTGAAGGTAAAAGATTCTTTCTTCCTTCTCATTCTGCCTTGTAGCTTTTGGAAAATTTTTATACAACATTGGAAGTACATTTTAGAAGCATGTTGTTGTTGTTAGGTGCCTTCGATTCGTAGACGACTCATAGAGACCCTATGAACGAAAGGCCTGAGCACTGTTCATACAGAGTTTCTGGAAGCATACTCTTCTTTGAATCACGCTGATAATGTGTAAAAAGCCTTTTAAGATTTCTGTTTATGTCACTAAACGTTGACATAATAACATGGTACTTAGTACTTGATTTTTTATGTAATATTTGGGTACAGATAAATGACCATAGCTCCTAACTGTTTAATTCTGGTTTTGGAAATTTTTTCCTTCATTTGAAGTTTTAAAATATTGTCAAAAGTTTACTGGATTTGCCAGTAACTCCTCATCATAATTAAGAGTGTATATTCAAACCAATGGTCATCATTACTCTCTGTGGAGAGAAATTGAAAGCTTTCCTTGAAGGATCCCTGAAGGGTTAATGGCCATGTTGAGGAGTATGCTGTACAAGGAAATGGTGCAGGAACCCTGAGGCTCTTCATGTGAGGGACCCTTAGGAATATCAGGGCTGCACATGGTTCTGACTTTGTTTCAGGAATTGCTCTACATCTCTGATAAGCTGTTTTACTCCTAAAGGGTTAAGCTTCCTGAGAAAAATTCTGAAAGCTACGGAATAGTTCCAGGTATACCCCCTGGAACACTTAAAGTCAATAATCTTTTATCAGACTTATTTAACCATTGCATTTGCAAGTCAAAATATAGTGAGAGAGAACACAGAGTCTCAGGTAGTTTAAAATAACTTGCTCCAGCCAATATATTTTCCATTTCTCTGTACCCTGAAAGATGTGTACATACACTTAAGCACCATGAAGAATGTGTATGTGCACTTCAGCATATTCCTCTCTTTGTGCTATCTTAATAATTGTAGCTTTACAATAAATATGAGATTCAGCTCTAAATTGGTGCTGCCAGTCTAACAGAGCTCAGCCCTTCATCTTAAAAAAAGTTTATTTGATTTGAATTTTAGACACTACAGGAAAGTTTGTATTTTCTCTTCCTTTAAACATTTTATTATTGATTATGAAGAAAGTGATTACTTATATACATTCTTATTACACTTATACACCTTCTTAGAAGAGGCTGAATACACAATTTTATAACAGTTACACTATAAGAATAGTATTTCTGAAACTTAATGGTATATAAATATTAATAAAGGTAGTATTTTTGGTGACATCTGCAATACCTTTTATTTTGTGTAGTCTGTACAAGTTGAAAGGCTTTTGTGTTTTTGTTGCATGTGGTTAAAATGAGCTTACATGTCAACTGCTATTTGCTGTTTTTCTTTTGTCAGAACAACAACATTACCTAAAAAACGTTGTTATTATGCATTAATTACCTTACAGGTTCACCGAACTGTACGTAGAAGAATTGGAAAGTAAAGAAGACTTACAAATTCTTATCGCTGACTATCTGAAAGGATTGAGTGTAAGCAAGAGCACAGTGCAAGGAATCATAAAGTAGGTTCTTTTGGAGTATCTGTAAACTTTTCCTCAAACATAAAAAAATATGTATCATGAATATTTACATATATATTAATTTTTTTTTAACTAGAGAAGATGGATGACAACTTTTTTATATTTTCCTAAGGAAATATAATAAGAAACTATGAATTGCTACTACCTGTGGAAACAATTAGATAATGTCTTCCTAATTCTGTATTCATAGCTAAGAATTTTAATTTCTAGAGACAATAAAATGACTTGTATTTGGATCTATTTTGATGAAGTTTTACTTTCCTAGCTATAATTTGTATACTAACTGAATGAAATATAGGGAGGGAAAAGGTTAATATAATCTGGTCATATTTGAAGATTTTTTTATGCTTATTTGAGGAGACAGATTGTGTTTGGAAAATTGGATGGTCAACAAAAGAGAGGACCCTCAAGTCACACAGTGACTGCAGCAGTGGGCTCAAGTATATTAGGATGATGAGGATGGCACAGGATAGGACAGGGTTCAGATCTGTTGTTCATAGGGTTGCTATGCGTTGTACTCGACTCAGTGGCCCCTAACAACAAGAACATCTTGTAGATGTGTAGAGTATTCATGTGGCTTGTTTTTTTGTATGCCATATGCAAAGAGTATAATCCTTTTTTTATTATTATTGGATAGTCTGAATTCTAATATTGAGCTTTCCAGAAATTAATGATGTCATCTTGACCAAATCACTTTAACTTTATGTCCTCTGGAAGGAAGTAATAGAGTAGGCTAAAAGGCTGAAATAGAGTCATACTAGCACTTTACTGGTTATTTCTGTGGTTTGTTAATTTATTTTTTAATAAAAAATTATTTTTGCATGGTCAGGAGCTAGAAATACAACTGTCAATAAGGAAAACAAAATTCTGATTCTTTAGAAGTGAAGATAATGGATTAAAGATAGGTAATATAGCATTCGAAAAGATATGTAATAAAGCAATTATAATTAATGCTAGAAAACAAAGTATTTGAATGATTGAATGGAAACCAGTTAAAAAAAGATATGTAATATAATTTTCTGTTGTGATAAGTGAAGAAAGGTAATAATTTTTAAAGTAAGGCAAGTTAAAGAATGAAGTCTAAACATTTTATTTCAGATTGATTATTCAAGGGTTAGTAAGGAGGCATTTGTTTAAAGTGTTTTATAACGAAACCTGGGTGGCACATTGGCTAAGCTTTGAGCTGTCAAACTATTAATGGTTCAGACTCACCATTGCCTTTGTGAGAAAAAAAAAATTAATTTAGTAAAAATCACAGAGAAACCCTGTGAGGCAATTCTACTCTATCATAGAGGGTTGCTGTGAGTTAAAATTAACTCAGTGTTAGGGAAAAAAAACAACAGAATAATTTAACACAGTCACACCCTAAAATTGAAACACTTCTTGTTTACACAAGAATATTTGGATGAAAGGAAAAATATGTAGTGTTAAAATTCAAGAAGCTGGGGATAGAGCAGTCTGGCTTGAGATGAAGGAGTGCATGAAAATCCTCTATTGAAAAGTAGATTCTTTCCGAATGCTCATTGGTAATATGTTGCTAGATTGCAAAGATGCACCCCAAATTCCACTTAGGTTGACTATTAATTGTGAAATTGCATTTTGGTTAGAATTGACCTTATGTATTTGAGGACAGGTTTTTAAAATTTGAGACTCTTTGTGTTTCATTCTGAAATTTTCAATTTACAGTTCTATGTATTTATCAAATGTCACAGTGGTAATAGAAATGGCCAGATCTTCATACTCTGATTATAGCCATATATTTATAGCCTTTTAAAATGTCATGGTTTATTCTGTCTCTGTCTGTTACCATTATAGGTTGCATAGGAGCTTTATTTGTCTCTTAAGTTGGAACTGACTTTGGATTTGGATTCCATGTCATTCATTTTCTTTATAGGCCCCCAAATGACTTACTATATTTTCTGTAGTAGACCGAATTCTCTGACTTTTTTGCCTGAAAAATTGTACCTTGCATTTCTATTTTCCAAGGGAAGTTGATAGATCTTAATTTCATAATTTGGAAAGATCACCCTCTGAGTTTGTGACTGAGTCCACTGCCATTGAGTTGATTCTGACTCTTGGCAACACTGTAGTAGCATTGCCCTGTAGGTGTCCCAAGGCTGTAATCTATAAAGCTGATTCTTCTGAGCAATGTCTGGTGAGTTTAAAATGTTAACTTCTTTGTAACCAGCCAAGTGCTTTAACAGTTGTCCAAGAGAGCTTTTTGAATAGTTGACAGCAGATTTAAAAAGATGCCTTGATAGGTGCAGGCCAGCGTGTCCTTGGACTTAGAGAGCGGGACGTCCGGTGCCTGAGCGTTTATCTTGGGGTTGTGCAGGACTATAGAGTGACTTCAAAATGTGTGGTGTTGAGAAGGGCAAGAAAATTTTTGTGCAGAAGTGTGCCCAGTGCTACACCATGGAGAAAGGGGGCAGGCACAAGACTGGGCCGAACCTGCATGGTTTATTTGGGCAGAAGACTGGTCAAGCCCCTGGATTCTCTTATACAGATGCCAATAAGAACAAAGGTATCACCTGGGGAGAAGATACACTGATGGAGTATCTGGAGAATCCCAAGAAATACATCCCTGAAACAAAGATGATCTTTGCTGGCATTAAGAAGAATGGTGCTTATACCACCTCATAAAAATGATTATGGTAGAGGAGCTGTATTATTGGCACAGATTTGTAAATTATATGATTATAAGGCTTTATGAGAATTAAAAAATTGTATATAGAGTATGAAAAAAAAAGATGCCTTGATAAGTTTTGATGAATGCTTAAAGGAGATGTATATAAGCTCAACTGCAAAAGATTATTAAAATGGTCTTTGGATCTTTTCTAGAGCAAGGAACAGCAACAAAATAATGACTGGTTAATAATGTCATTTGAATTGTATTTTCTTTTCAGCTTCTACACAATTGTTCGGAAGGAATCTGGGACCAAATTGGTGGATGGGACTGGCCACAGACCTCATTATAGCCTTCGGACTCTCTGCAGGGCCCTGCGATTTGCAGCCTCTAATCCGTGTAGCAGCATCCAGCGTTCACTTTATGAGGTATTTATGTACAAAACCTACCTTTGGAGAGGGGCTTGATGGTTAGGCTTATTACCATAGGAAGGAGCTGTAGGCATGCAGCCAGGTTTATCGTTGCTTCCAGTATTACCTCAGTATACTCCATATCAGAACAACCCTGAATTTTTTTCATCCTTATCACATTTAAAAGTTCTGGGAAACTGTATTAGACTACAGGTCTAATTTTTTTCTTGAAATAAATTTGTCCATTACTGCAGAAAAGTAATTAATGTTATGCATACTTGTGTTTTTTTCTAGGGCTTTTGTTTGGGTTTCTTAACACAGCTTAACAGGGCATCACACCCAGTAGTTCAGAAGCTCATTTGTCAACACATCATCTCTGGCAATGTTAAAAGTCTACTGAAGCAGGTATGTTATATTTTTATTTCTGACTGCTCATTTAGCATAAATCTTAAAAGCTAGATTTATCAAATTTTCAGCAATTTGGTATTAAGAAAACTTTTTAAAATTATAAATGTAATCTATTGCAAAAATTTTAACATTACCAAAATGTATCATTACATAGAATTTAAGTTTCCCATACTCCTGCTCTTCAGAGATAGAAACTTCATAAATAGTACTTATGGTTTAAATTATGCATTTTATTTTCTTTCATTCAAATTTTGATAGGTATACATGCCTCTGGCTTTATTCAGGTAAATTCTACTATATACATACATACATATACACATATACGTACATAAATACATACTGCAATCCCAAAGGCATGCAGTTTGAATTCATCAGCTGCTCTGCAGGAGGATGGGAAGTCTCCTCCTTTGCAATTAACAGCTTCTGAAAACCTGCTGGAGGGTCATATATGGGTTGATTCCAACTCAGTGGTACTCAACAACAACAAGTGGAAACATAAAAATGGTCAATAGCATCTCTTCTTTTTACCTAGCTGTATCTTGAGTATTTTGTTCCAGAGCTTTCTGTGCTGTGCTTTTTCAGTGGCTTGGATAGTGGCACTATAAGTGCATTATGATTTATTTACCTGGTTTTCTTCTGATTTTTTTATTTCCCCCTAACATAAACAACAAATGTTTTCTAACAGAGTAAAGTACAGAATAGCATAGTACTGAAAAAGTCCAAGAGAAACTGGCCTGCCCCTTGGTTTGTTTATACATTGATTGTTTTCTCTTAAGAGAGAACCTTTGGAACTTAAAGTTCTTTAGACTCAATCTTTTTAACAAAATTACTCATTTTGTGCATGAAGAAGTATTTGACAGACTATAGACTATAGACAAGGTGGACCAAAGACTTGTGTTTTACTCCAGCAACAGTTTTTGCTCATTTATTGTGTGTTCTTTGTCATCACCATAAAAGCTTAAAGTTGTTCTTTTCTACTGCCCGCTAACATCTTACAGAAGCCTTTGAAACAGTGTCTAGAATTTTGCCCTCAAATCAGAAAAATATTTTAGAAATACTTTTATGTGGTTCTAATTTTTTTTTTTTTTATTTTATTATTTTTGTGTGCGTGTACCGTCAAATCAGATCTGACTGGTACAGGAGGAGATTGTCCCTCCTTCCCTGGCAGAGTATCTGGTGGACTCGAACCATGCGCCTCTGGGATTGTAGTTGCAGCTCCTTGCCACTAGGCCACCAGAGCTCCCCTGTGGTTCTAATTTTAAACATTTTTAATGTATTTTTTAAAGTGGCAATTTTGTGTCATTGATATTCACCATATTGGAAAGAACACTCCATTTTCCACAATACAGTTTTGAATAGCGAAGTTTCTCTGGCGGGTCCATTTTCTTTTTAATGTCGCCTTTGGAGATTAAAAATGTAGTGTACACTGGTATATTCACACAATGAAATACTATGCTGCAATGAAAAACAGGGAACTCATGAAATATTATACAAATGGGTGACCCTGGAGGATATTATGCTGAGTGAAATATCTCAGTCACAAAAAGACAAATACTGCATAATACCAGTGTTATAAAAGAGAACTGACATCAGGGTTGGGGGGAGACTGACAAAGAGCGGATAAATAATGTATACTGAATTGAAAAAGATGAGGGAGAGAACTATTTAAAAGGGATGTGTAATGAGGTATTTTGTCATGCCAGTAGTCCAGAACGAAGACTGCACAGTGGAGTGGACTTGAGGGGAGGGATTGTATAACGATGGGAGAATTTTTCAAAGAGAAGAGCAAATGGGGGGTAGGGGTGGGCACGGAGAAAAGTGCAACAATGAATGAATGGAAATCCAAAGTCTCTGTAAACTTTCATTAAAATTAATAATTAAAATAAGTTATGTATAGCACTAGCCTTTTTGGTTTATATATGGTATACATGTTTTGGATCAAAATACTTACCATGAGTGAGAATTTTGATAGGTGGGAAAGAGAATACAATCATAAACAATTTGAGAAATTATTTTGATTTACCCCCAAAATCACCTATCTCATGCAGTTTTAAAGTTTTGCCATTTTGCTTCCATCTAAAAAATGTATTTTTTTGAGACTCTTTTGCCCTTGAATTTTAATTCTGAATGAATCCTGGGGAAAGATAGCATTCTTTTTTAACTTTTTATTTTGATTTGTATAAAAGTTTTCAAAAAGATTGTATTTCATTCATATATTTATATACATGTTGTTTAGTAACATTGGTGACAATCCACAGCACTCTTCCACTGATTCTGTGGTTCTTTTTTCCACTCTGTCTTTTGCCATGCTACTCTGTGAGCTTTGTTCCTTGGAAAGAACTGCTCATGTGAACTGGTATGGTTAATTGTTCTGGGCACTGAGCACCCTCCTGGTTCTGTTAGTTACTGTATAGATCTATTCATTGTTTGACTGAACATTATCTCACAGGCATGAGTGCAGTCCTAGGCTCAAAAAGGTAACTGAGGACTGCGGTCTCAGGTTTCTACCAGTCTCCTGTGAGACTGACTTTTTTTTTGTTTTGAATTTTATTTTACACGTATATACTCCATCCAGGGTCTTCTATTACAATTCCTTCTAGAATTGTCAGCAGTTGTAGCTGGGCCTCATGTAGTTCTGGACTCAAGGTCATGTTGATGTTCATGAGGTCTGTGAGTGCTCTGTGCTAATTGTTTTGATGTCTCTGATTTTTTTTCCACTTTTCTGTCCAGACAGAAACCACTGGTTGGTCCTTAACTGACTGATTCAGAACATTGTCTTCGTAGACTGTATTATACTAATTGACCTTAATGTCCTCTGAGGCTATCAAAGTAGAATTCTTGGTAACAACTTTATTTAAAATAGTTGTCTTGCACTGTGTGCTATATTTGTGTTTTGTCTTTTAGCCAATTCCAGAACCAAAAGGAGGCCGACTTATCCAAGTTGAAGGTTACTGGATATCAGTGGGAGACAAAGAACCTAGAATTGATGAGACATATATTCTTACATCTTCCGTCAAGCTGAACCTAAGAGATATAGTCCGAGTGGTCTCTGCCGGGTGTGTGGACTATTGTTTTTCTGATCTGAGTTTCTTCTGGCATACCCATTAATAACATTCTAGTCTAACTTCCTTAACTTTCAAAGTATTGCTCTTCTGCTCTTTTGCTGAGTAATTTTCTTTTTAAAGTCATTTTTGTGACTTTTCTTCTGGAATGTAGTATTTCTAGTTGCATTTTCAGTAGGAACAATTCTGATGCAGACAGTTTGCCCATCCATCTAAAGTTGTTTTGCGGTATTGCGTTAATGAACACTTGTCCCTTGTTTGATAAATGAGTACAACTTACTGTTTGCCATAATTAGTGTGAGAGATGCTGGAGTATTTGGTTTCAATATTATCCCAAGATGGAAAGTTCTCAGGGTTTAAGAAATGTTCTATTAGTAGTGTGTAGGTACATATAATTTTTAAAAATGATTCTATTATCAAAAAATCCTTCCTTTTATTAATTCTAGTTTCTTTCCTTTTTTTTCTCTACTCCTGCCCCTCTGTCCCTCAATTGATTATTTACTCATCTTTTAAAGAACCTACCCAGTACTGATTCAGGGAGAGACATCAGTTGGTAAGACAAGCCTGATTCGGTGGCTGGCTGCAGCTACTGGGAACCATTGTGTGCGAATTAATAATCATGAACACACAGATATTCAGGAATATATTGGTTGCTACACATCTGATGCCTCAGGGAAGCTTATATTTAAAGAAGGTAAGCTAATGTTGTGTTCTGTAGGTTGAATTTTCATGCTTGCAAAGCCATTTCCTAAATTATATTCTTTAGACTTTCTGATTGAAGCACATGGACCACTGTCATAACTGCTGAAGAGGGATAGGGAGGGTTGTCGCTGTATTACAAAGTAATGAGTGATGGTTAAGAACTTGGCTTCCTTTGAGTATTGCTGCTATTGTTAGTGGTTCATGGCACTCAGAGCCAAGTTTTAAAGAGTGTTGTTAAATTGCCGCACCATTTCTGAGAGATTCAAAGGAATAGGGTGAGCATTGGACAAGGGAAAACCTAGAGATAACAGGTGCGAGAAACCATGATGTAAGGTAACTGAATTACAGGAGGTAATAATAAACAAATGGGAAATGGATTTCTGAGCCTTGATTCCTCTTCAGTGAGAAATAAAAGGACTATTTTCATTGTAAATTGTGGGTATTTTCAATATGAAATTCACAGTTTATTGTGAGGCAGGACTAGCCACAAAGCATAGTTTGCCTTGACATTTTAATGAGAATTGAGAATTTATTGATGTGTCTAAAACAATTTAAAAGTTTTTGAGTGATATGTGCACTAATTTTCAGTGTTCCTTGCCCCCTTCTCAAGGTGTTCTTATTGATGCAATGAGAAAAGGCTACTGGATTATTTTAGATGAATTAAATTTGGCCCCTACCGACGTGTTAGAGGCACTAAACCGACTCTTGGATGATAACCGCGAATTACTCATAACGGAAACACAAGAAGTTGTTAAAGCACATCCTCGCTTCATGCTTTTTGCCACTCAGAATCCTCCTGGGCTTTATGGCGGTAGAAAGGTATGTAGCTCTTCCTTGGTAAGAGTGAGATGTTTTGTACATTTTTTGGAAGGTTTTCTTTTTCTGGTGAATAACAAGGTCTTCATTTGGAACTTAGTCCATTTTTTAACACCTTATTCTTTTCCTAGGTGCTTTCTCGAGCCTTCAGGAACCGGTTTGTGGAACTGCATTTTGATGAATTGCCTAGTTCTGAGTTAGAAACAATCTTGCATAAGCGGTGTAGTTTACCACCCTCCTATTGCAGCAAGTTGGTTAAAGTAATGCTGGACCTTCAGGTATTTCACCTACCCATCACTTAGCTTACTTTCAAATGGAATGTGTTGATTTGATTTCATGACAGCTCTTTTTGATTTGAAACAAAAGTCCAGCTTCTCCCAACCTTCCAGTAGTAAGGACCTTCATGTGTTCTTTTAATACTCATGTTTTGTGTGTTTAACATCTAAATTTCTGAAATTTTGTGAAATTCATGTATCTAATAATTGTAATATTCATATATGAGACATTCTAGCCTTGAGTGAGTAGAATTGAGTATATTCATTGTCAGCTGACAAGCTGCCATTATTCCATTGTATGGGCCTAAATGTTTGTTCATCAGAAAGTATAGATAGATGGTCGAATGACTTCTTTAGTAAGTTTTATGTATTTTATCATTATGATCTAATATTCTTACAACTTTTATTAATATTTATATTACTGTATTTTTCTGTATGACTTGAGATATTGAAATTCCACTGCTCATTTATATTCTTTATTAGCACATGAATTTGAATATTGTTTTCAGATGATTATCTCCCTCCCACTTATATTTCTTATTTTTAAATTAATCGTAATTAGCAGAATGAAATAATTTTAATGAGAGCTTAAGTTTGTAAAGGAACTTTTCTAGCATAGGATATAACATTGTATCAGGCTGCTTAACTAAAAGCTCAGTGATTTGAATCCACCAGCTGATCCTTGGGAGAATGAAGACCATATTCTTTCATTAAGATTATAGTGTCAGCAACCTAATGGAGAGCCTGTGACTTGGAAATGATGGCAGTGGGAATTTAATTTGTTGGGAATTTAATGTACTTTGTTTTACATTCCTGCCATTTAGTACAACTAATGCCCTTTTTAATTTGTTTTGATGATCTAATAGTCTTATCGCAGAGGTTCTTCTGTGTTTGCTGGAAAACATGGCTTCATCACCCTTCGTGATCTGTTCCGATGGGCTGAAAGGTACAGATTGGCTGAGCAGACTGAAAAGGAATATGACTGGCTACAGCATTTAGCCAATGATGGTATGTTTTCTGTCAAACTATAATTATGCCAAATGTCAAACATTTTTGTTAAAACAAATCTTGCCTTAAATTATGGTTAATATGCACATTTTACCAAGTATTTCACAAACAGCTCTTTTCCCCTTTAGTCCTGTCTGCTATGTAAATGGTCCTGGCAGGCCTCTTTGCTAGTACAAATTGGTAGCTCAGGTTTTCTCACATTTAGCATCAGATGGCCACATGTATATGCCAGGATATGAGCTCACCATCATTTCAAGTCCAAGCTGGTGATTGGTGGTAGCTTGTGGACCTTTTCTCTGAACAGCATGGTGATCATGGTTACCTACCTGTGCTTCTGCTTTATGCAGATATGAAAGCCTGATGTCAGGTAATATCTGAACTCCCAAGAGAAGGCACTTACATTGTCTGTGACTGATGCTTATTTTTATTTAATCCATATGAAGAATTTATATGTTCCTTTTAGTGATAGAAAGCATTTTACAGTCTTATATGAAAGGTACTGTTGAATTATGAATAAAGTAGATAAATAAGGAGCAGAAATAAAACTGAATTTTATTTACTTTATTGGTAATGAATAGCCAGAGGGAAGAGCACAGTTTTGAAAGCTTTTTATTGTTGTAAACACCATTATGTGAGTAAAGTGCACTAACACTGTGTAAGCCCGATGAATTTTACGTAGGTACCCACCCATGTCAATACCATAATTTAGAATATTATCAGCACTTTAGCAGATTTCTTCATGTCTTTTGCCAGTCACTCACTTCCTCTGTAAATAACCATTGAATAATTTCTGTCTGTTCCTAAGCTTCACCTAAATGGAGTCATACAGTATATACTATTTATTATCTACCTACTTTCACTCCACCTAATACGAGATATAACCAATCCTTTTACACACACACACACACACGAGCGCTTATGGCATAGTTCATAGAGAGTTTTGCTGCTAACCCAAAGGTTTCTTGTCTCTGACAGTTCAAATCCATCAGCCAGTCATCTAAGTAATCTTTGCAGTTTACAGCCTTGTAGACCCAAAGGAAGGTCAGCTGTGAGTGGGCTCTAACTCAGCTCTAATGAACTGAATTGAGTTGCTTATCCAACTACTTAATTCTTTTAATTGTGTTATAGCCCCTTGTATGGAAGTGTTGTTGTTGTTAAGTGCCATCTAGTCGCAGGTGTCTCATAGCGACCCTATGAAGGAGAGTCCTCAGCGCTTGGATGTCTTTCATCCTCTCTCCAGGTTCATAGGGTTTCCGGAGGCAATCTATTACAGAAGTGGATGCCACTCCTCCTTCCAAGCTTGTTTTAGTCAGGGAGCGCCACCCTACTCTCTTGTCCACATTGGGTAACCAACCATTAATGCATTTGACACATCATATGGAGCTACTATTTTTTTACTATTATTATTTGTGTGTGTGTGTGTGTAGATTGGTCCTCCTTCTCCACCAGAGCATCTGGTGGATTTGAACTGCGTACCTCTGGGATTGGGAACTACTACATTTTTTTTAAAAAAAGTCTATTGTTTATAGCCATCTGAATTGTTTACAGCTTTTATCTACTAGAAAAAAAGGTGATTTGAACATTTTTGTACATGTTTTTAGTGAACATATTTGTTCACTTCTGTTCACTGAAATTACATTGTTGGATCATGTAGTTAAGTTTCAGAGTTTTCTCAAAGTAGTTGTTCAGATTGCACTTTCACCAGGAATGTCTGATCCTTGCTATACTTTGTATCCCTACCAAATCTTGCTTTTGCCACTATGTACTTTTGATCACTCTTCCTATTATTTATTTTTTTCTTTCCTTTAAAGGTTTTATGCTTCTGGCAGGCCGAGTCAGGAAACAGGAGGAGGTTGATGTGATTCAACAAGTCCTTGAAAAACATTTTAAGAAAAAACTGTGTCCTCATTCTCTTTTCTCCAAAGAAAATGTCCAAAAATTGCTAGGTTAGTAGACCATAACTTGCAGTAATGAATGACTCAATTTGCAGTAAAACTTAAATCTTAGTATTTATTTTTACATTGCATAGGAAATTTATCTACTTCTACACTGGAGTCCAAGTTCAACCATATTGTGTGGACTGAGAGTATGCGGAGAATGGCCATGCTCGTGGGAAGAGCATTAGAATTTGGTGAACCAGTACTACTTGTTGGAGACACAGGGTAAAATTCTGTGATAGCTTCTGAGGATGTTCAGCTCCACTACAATAACATTATAGTTCAGTTACATACCTGAAGGAGAATTCACTAGAAATCATTCTTTGCCATTTCTGTTCCTTTTCTTACATTCTTCTTTATATTTTATTTCTTCTTACTTCCATTCCTCCAACTTCAGACTAGATTTCTCTTTTCTGCAAAAGAATGATTTCTTGTGCTATTACCATTAAGAGAGTTTTTTGTTTAGTTCTTTTTGACATTAAAATTCACCTTTAGGTATGTGGAAAAGAGCAGATGAGCAAATATTTCTTGAAACATACCTTAGTGATTGTTAGTAGAATTAGAGAAGATGGGATTAGTATTTACCATTTTTGGAAAAAGAACATGTTGCATGCTGATATTTTGAGGAAGGATCCTCAGAGGTGGGTTCAGGGGTCCAGGTTGGTCAGAGTTGCCTTTTGTTTCAGTGAGGCTTACACAGTGCCTCAGTTCTTTAGCTCACTGTGGTATTTGTGGATGTGTATTTGGAGCACCTCTGATTTGTTAAACAGATGTGTTTCTGTAACAGGTGTGGAAAAACTACTATCTGTCAGCTGTTTGCAGCATTGACAAATCAGAAATTATACTCCGTCAACTGTCACTTACATATGGAGACATCGGACTTCTTAGGGGGGCTGCGGCCAGTGAGACAGAAACCAAAGGAAAAGGTTTGTTATGTAATTGATGGCAATGTGATCCTTCATTTATTTTGGGGTTTTTTAAAATTATTGAACATTTCCCCCCCCACCACTGAATAGTACACTCCTTGTTTCAGATTGTAGTCATACATTTACTGCCTAATCATATATTCCTTTCAGACAGTTCTTCCCCTCATTTGTTCTGTTGCAGAGTTCATTATCTGTCCACATAGTTTCCATTGTCTCCCCAACACCTCCATGTATATCCTGTTTTATTACAGCTGTGTAGTGCAGTGTTTGTCCTTTTTGTGAGTGAGATACTTCACTCAACATAATGTCCTCCAGGCTCCTCCACGTTGTGTAATGTTTTATAAGTTTACTGTTTTCCAGTGCTGGCTAATATTCCATTGTGTGAATGTACCATAGTTTTTTGTTCCATTCATTTATTTATGGGTCCTCAGGTCGCTTCCATCATTTGCTGTTGTGAATAATGCAGCAGTAAATATGGGTGTGCATACATCTGTTTTTCAGTCATAGGTCTGATTTCTTTAGGGTATATTCCCAGTATTGGAATTGCTGGGTCAAATGGTATTTCTACTTCCTGCTTTTTGAGAAAGCACCTGACTACCTTCCATAGTGGCTGTACCACTTTGCATTCTTACCTGCAGTGAATAAGAGTTCTAATCTCTTCATGACCTCACCAGCTTTTGTTGTTTGATGATCTTTCATTTAAAGAAATTTAGTTTTCTATGTGTATAAGTCAGTTGGGAAATTAATCATAATAGGACATCTGGGTTCTAGGTTCTAGTTTGATTATGTATATGTTTACAAAGGACCTTTGACGGCATCTTGGCCCACAGGTCTGGGTCCTGTTTAGATTTCTTTCCTTTTTCCTACAGATTACCTCTAGTTGATACCACCTGTCAATCTGTGTATTGTCTTATGGATCCATTTGCACTTTAATTTTGCCTCCCATTATTTTCTTTAATTGTAGGAAGAAAATGACACACGACTCTTTGAGTGGCATGATGGGCCTCTAGTTCTGGCCATCAAGGAGGATGGCTTTTTCCTCTTGGATGAGATCTCACTGGCTGATGACTCTGTCTTGGAAAGACTAAATAGGTATATATGCTTAAGAGCATAAATTGTTCTCTAGATGATAATTCTCTTGCGTAGTAATTCTTCTTATTAGATCTTTAAAAAATGACCTACTTGGCTTTCCCCCCCTTTACCCTTTTGCTATTCAGAGCTTACTTAAACGATAGGAGTAATTTAAAAGTCTCATTTTAGGCAAATTATATGCCACCTTTTTTTGTTTTTTAGAAGAACTAAAAGCAGGATTGTCTTATAGTTATAACTAAGAACCTTAGCTCAGCATGAAACTTGATATGTCATGTATTTTTCTGTTACGATATAATTTGCCTATCAAAATCTGCTTATTTTAGATAAACAATTTAATGAGTTTTTTTCAAAATAAATTTACCGAGCCACTAAAAACCATTTTTAGATCATTTTATCATTGATTTTTAACTCAGCTCTGGGCAACTAATAATCTACATTTCTTCAGATTTGCTTTTTCTGGATATTTCATATAAATAACCACTAGTATCACACTTTGTTCACTTTGCATGTCGAATATGTCGATATTTCATAGTACTGTCATATATCAATATTTATACCTTTTTGTTCCTCATAGTGAATATTGCATATCCCATGTACCCATTAGTAGTATTAGAGTTATTTCCACTCTTTGGCTATTATGAATAATACTGGTATGAGCGAGATGACTCATTTCTTAAACAAATGTCTTAATAGAGCGTAAGTGGGGAAAAGTGTTCTTTTTCTTGTGGCAAAAAGATATTTGGGATAATGAGTCATTTTAAAATTTTTGGTAAGAAATTATTAACTGGAATGGAAGCTTAGCAGAGGAGATACCTTTTTCCCTTTTTGAAAGAACATTGTGTTCTGCACAATGGAATACTGGAACTTTATTTAATCTTCAAAGTGTCTTTAATTTTTCTGTTTTTTAGTGTCCTTGAAGTGGAAAAGTCTCTGGTGTTAGCTGAAAAAGGCAGTCTAGAGGATACAGATAATGAGGTAGAGCTGTTGACTGCTGGAAAAAAATTCCGTATCTTAGCAACCATGAACCCTGGGGGTGACTTTGGCAAAAAAGAGGTAATAACTGCTTTTTGAACCTCATTTTTTTTCTGATTTTTGTCTTCTTCAAACTGGCACCTATAAGTATGGTATATAACCATGATTTAGAATTTTATATTGCATGAAAGTTAAAAATCTAGGTATTTAAGCATCATTATGAAATGTCTGCAAATCTTAATTTACTGAATGTTGTTGTTGTTGTTGTTGTTATGTGCCATTGAGGTGCCTGCGATCCTGTGTACAGCAGCCCTGAAGCCTGCCTTGTCCTGAGCCAGTCTGATGAATTCTGACACACCAACCCCCATTGCCCCTGTTACTGTATCAGTCCATCTTATGCGGGTCTTCCTCTCCTGCACTGTCCCTCCACCCTTCCAAGCATGATGTCCTTTTACTAGAACCAATCTTTTCTGGCCATGTATCCAAAGTATGTGAGATGGAGCTTCAAAATGCTACCCTCCAAGGAGAAATTTGGTTTCACTCTCTCCAAGACAGACTTACTTGTTTTCATGGCAGTCCGTGGTATGTTGAAAACTCTTCTCCAGTACCACACCTCAAAGGCATCAACTCTTCTCCTGTCATCCTTAGTCATTGTCCAGCTCTCTGATGCATAGCAAGTAATTGTGGACTATGGCCTGGATTAGGTGCACCTTAGTCTCTAGACTGATGTTGTTGCTTATTATTGGATCATATATATTCATTCAGAGTTAATTCTGACAGATAAACATTTCTTTATTTGACTTTTCACTTTTTGTACATGGCTTAAATGAAAGTATTTCAGTCACTTTGCTTAGTCTTTTCATTAGATTACCTCTGTTGTTGAGTACCATTGGAGTTGGAGTCATAGCTGACCCTCCAGTAGGTTTTCAAAGGCAGTAAATCGCATGAGAGGAGATTGCCCATCTTTCTCTCACAGAGCAGCTGGCGGATCCATGTACCATTGTGTTGGCTGCGCAGTTCCTTTTACCACTCAGCCACCAGCGCTCCCTAGATTACCTATGAGCCATGTGAAAAAGGTGTCATTCTAATTATACAGATGATAAAAGTTTGAACAAAAATTTGTATTCTAGCTCTACTCCTGAGGTGTGCTTCTTTAAATAAGGAGTGATTTTAAAGTGATTGATAAATAGCAAAACAAACTTCACAGCCAGAAACTTTCTGGTTTTACAGTGAGAGCATACTTATTCTCATAAAAGTTACATGGATCACTCCTAGATTCTTGGTATAGAGTAATGGTAATAACTACTTTTTTCCATCATTTATTTGACCCCCTACAATGGGCCAGGACCAGTCAGTGCTTGTATTCAGGAATACAAGTCTTACTGAAAGTTTGAGTCTTACCCATTCCCAGCTGTGGTGTTCAGTAACCTACTTCCTCTGCTTAGTAAACAGAAACAAAAAAGAAAGTAGTTTGGTTAAGTAAAGGTCAGAAAGCAGCTTATTGTGCTTATAGGCATATTTAGATCCAGATAGAAATCCATAATCCTCTGACTTTCAGGCTTATGAAATCTCTGGGTGGAGATGTCAATACTATGTATAAGATGACTTGTCTGAACATAGTTAACGGATAATGAGAAAAGAAGGGTTAATCTTGAATGGAGAAGGCATTTAAGATTCTTTTTGTAACTAAACGTTGGGGCTGTTGGGAATGTAGATAAAATATTAAGGGCCTGATTTTGCTTGGTCAGGAGTCCTTGGATGATACAAACATTTAAAGTACTTTTCACAGTAAGAGTGGAGGCTTGCGTTGTGGTTTTTGTTTTTTTTTTTCCAGAGACACTACAGAAACTGCATAAAACTACGTAAAAATACTAACTCTTAGTGAGCTCTGATGGCCTAGTGGCAAGAAGCTACACTGCAATCCTAGAGGTGTGCAGATTGAATCCACCAGATGCTCTGCTGAAGGAGGAGGAACAATCTCCTCCTATAACAGTCAAATCCTATTTGATGGTACACACACAAAAAATAATAAAATTTAAAAAAAATACCAACTCTTAGGGGAGCTCTGGTGGCCTAGTGGCAAGAAGCTACACTGCAATCCCAGAGATATGTGGTTCAAATCCACCAGATGCTCTGCCAGAGAAGGAGGGGCAATCTCCTCCTGTACCAGTCAGATCTGATTTGACGGTACACACACACAAAATAATAAAATAAAATAAAAGAACAAAAAAAAAATCAACTCCTAAAAAAACTGTTTCTGAGTATAGTTCTGCACATACACACATGAGATTGCCATAAGTTAGCATCAGTGTGACGGGAAGTGGATTTTTCTTCCTCAGTAGTGCTGGTAGACTGGTTATCAGTGTACTTTAACATGATTTTATGAGAAAGAAAGAGAATGTATAGTTTTAAACTCACAATGTATAATCAGGCTAATTGGAAGTTAGTAATACCTTCAAAAGATCTGATTTCAATATATGTTCAATTTCTTGACAGATTAGCTAAATTTTTTATTAAGACAAAAATTATCAACCTTTACCTTCAGGAAAGTTACTTTTTAGGTTTTTCTCTATTTTCCAAGCAGAGGAAAGGTGAATACTAAATACCCCATTTGGCAATGAGTAAGATAGGCATTCACTAGGTCTTGGATGCCTGAATACAAACACAGGTCCTTTTAAAGGAGGCTGAGTAAATGATGGAGAAAAGCAGTTGTTACCAAAAAGCTGAGAATCTGCTGTCTACAGCCTGAAAAATAGTCTCAGAGGCAGGAGGGGGTAGCAGAAAGTTTAATATATATCTATGTGTAAGAGGTTTTACTCTGGAATAGCTTGCCCCTGAAACCCTATGAACCTGGAGAAAGGACGAAAGTTAGACCGGTGCCCAGGTCTTTCATTCATAGGGTCCCTATGAGTCGCCTCCTGCTTGACGGCACTTAACAACAACAGCAATGACAACCACGACAGCATAGAGAGAGGTCAGTTGTCCTAGTGGACAGAAAGTCATGCTCTCAAGCCAAAGGTGGGTGACTCTAATCCGCAGCCCTCAAGCCTTCCTTTACTTGTTTTTGGTGAAACACCCTTGTAGGTCGTATTTCCCTGGTATGTCCACTTGCTGTACTAAGGTAACTCATGGTTGTTGTAAAGCCGAACACTGTGACATTGATGTGTCAAATGCGAGAATGGTTACCCATGGTGGACAGTGTTTGGTGGAGCTCCCCAATTAAAACAAGCTTGGAAGCAGGAGTGGCATCGACTTCTGAAATAGCTTGCCTCTGGAATAGTTTGCCTCTGGAAACCCTATGAACCTGGAGAAAGGACGAAAAGTTAGACTAGTGCCCAGGTCTTTTGTTCATAGGGTTGTTATGAGTCGCCTCCGACTAGATGGTACTTAACAACAACAACAACATGTATAAGAGGTAGGGGTTACGGCTTCCACATCTGCCTCCCCACTTTAAATACTGTTGTTGGCAGCTTATACAGGAGAGACATACACACACAGCAGAATTTTTACTATGTTTTCTCTTGTCCATGCAATTTGGTCAACTGTCATATCCCACTGATCTGGATATCACTATCCCTGTGTTGTGAGTAGTTCGACACTATCTTGTTTAGGGGACATATACCTTGGTTGATACTACCACTATCCTTCAACTTTTGAAGAAAAGTTGTTGTAGGCACAGGAACGGGCAACCAAAAAGGGATCTTAGGAGGCAACTTAGCTCCTTATTCTAAATTTCATAAGTAAATGGTAAAGTTCAACAAAAAGAATTTAGCCATGAATACCTGAGTGCCAATGGGAAAGAGCAGAAAGGGGGTTTTAAGAGAAGCTTAAAGGAGTTTGATAAGAAAGTTACTACCATTACTTCTAAGTTAGAAGAAAGCATTAATACATTACTATAGAGTAGAAAAGGTCAGTCATTGCTGTGGATTCTGAGCTGACTCATAGCTGACTCTTCAGCAGGTTTTCAGAGGCTGTACATCGCACAGGAGGTTACCCATCTCTCTCCCTTAAGAGCATCTGGTAAATTTTCACTGCCTGCCTTTGCACTGGCAGTACCACCCCTTACCCACTAAGCCACCAGAACTCCCTATTATGAAATGTTCATATTCTATTATTTTATTCATTTGTTGCTCGTGGGCTAATCATTCCATGCTTATGTCATTGTAAAATATGATCAGAATTAACTGACCTAGGAGAAGGAAAAGAGCAAACTAGGCAGAGAGCAATAGCCCCATGGTTGGAGAAGCTAAGCAGTTCTTTCTTGTACAAGGTGTAAATGTATATCCCTCCTTAAAATTGTATTCCTTTGTGTCACATAAATGAAGTAATATCCTACTTCATACCCTCTTTGCCTGTGGGAAGATGGGTATCTGTTTGCACTGAAGCATTGGTTATATGGCTCAGAGTAAAGGAAGAGTTCAAATTTAGATGTCACCTACTGTAACTGTAATCCTGCTTTCACTCAATAGGACGTTGAAGGTCTGTACATCAGCTCTAGAGGGGTGGTGATGCCAACTTGGATATATCATAGGGGTTAATGGATGATGTATGTAAGAGCCCAGATGGTCTCCAACAAATGAAGTCTAGTCTCTAACGAATAAGAGAAGCATCTTGAACTTCCCAGATTCAGAGCTAACATTGTTTCAAAGAGATTATTTTCTACACTCACTCTGTACATTTTAAACTCAAATAAGAATCTGTATTCCTTGTAGCTGTCTCCTGCATTAAGAAATCGGTTTACTGAAATATGGTGTCCTCAAAGTACAAGCCGTGAAGATTTGATTCAGATTATTAATCAAAATCTTCGTCCAGGGTTGTCTCTTGGCCAGATAGATCATAAAGGTAAGAATTTTTAGGTGGTTGTAATATATTGAGCATAAGCACCGTGTCATTGGTTATAACATTATGTAGATAGGGAGTTTTATAGGGAAGAAGTGAGGAAGTGAACAGACCAAAATATATATATATGGAAAAGATGGCAATAGGATGATACTTCCTATTAAAATGTCCTTCATATCAGTTCTTTTACTGAGGTAATTAAGTTCTTATTATTTTCTCTTTAGGACTCTTTGTATGAGGTGTACAGGCAGTCCTTGGATTACAAACACTTAATTGTTCAACTGTATTTATGAGCCACCCCTTTTATTCATTTTCATTAACAGTCATAAAGTTGATTCTGACTCAGTGACCATGCAGGGAGTTTACAGTGCTGTAAATCTTTCAAACCCAAAGAAAGAGGAGATGACTCATTTTTGCCTTTGGAGCTTCTAGTAGATTGAAGCTACAAGGGATGGCTGAACCTTTGGGTTAGCAGCACAGCTTGCTGTTGACTACATCATCAAAGCTCTTTAACCCTTTTATGGGTACATTGTATTAAAAAGGAGCCATATTGGCTTATTAATGTTGGTACATGCTGCCAAGTTGGTTATGACTCATAGCAACCTTAGGAAGAATGGCTCTGCACTTTGCTCTATCCTGAGCCAGCCGCATCATAGTTTTCAAGACTAAATCTTGACAGAAGCTGTCAATCTTTCTCCTCCAGAATCACTAGTGAGTTTGAACCTCTGGAAATGCTTGACCTTTTGGTTTGCAGAACAGCATTCTGCAGACTAATAAATTGCTCAAATTTAAACATAACTTGTGAATTCTCCTACTTGTTAAATTCTTCCTGATACCTGAATTAAAAAAGAATAAGAGTAAGTGCCACTGAAAAAGTTGTTTCCCATTTTAGTAAATCAGTTAAAAATACTATACATTATGTATATTTTTAAAAATTATTGTGCTCCACCTTCAGAATTTTAACTGAATATGAACCAAGCTAGTCCTTTATTTATTTAGAGTTATTTTCAATACCTCCTCTTAGTCTGTAATTTTCAAGTGAATTCTTTCCTCCCTTCACCTATGTGTCATGTTGAAAATGTAATAGAAGTTGTGGACCCCTCCCACCTTCTTAAAAAATTACTTGTTCACAAAAATTTACATATGTTTTCAAGATGTGTGGACTCCATTTTGGTAATTTAAAGGTCCTAGGTTAAAAAATCATATTTTGAGATCTCTCACAGCAAGTACTTTTGCTTTGTTAGGGATTGACATAGCTGAGGTGATGCTGGATTTCATTGACTGGCTAACCCACCAAGAGTTTGGCCGAAGGTGTGTGGTCAGTATCAGAGATATCCTATCCTGGGTTCACTTCATGAATATAATGGGTGAAGAAGCTGCCTTGAAAAGGCCTGAGGCCATCTCTACTGTGACGTCTTTTGTCCATGCTGCGTGCCTGGTGTATATAGATGGAATAGGTTCAGGTATGTTGTCTGATCACTGGTGGGAGTAAGCGGTGGGGTGGAGGATTGGTTGGAAAGAAGAGCAAGACTAGGCTTCTACCTCAGGTATTTTACAGAACCAGGTGGTAAGTACAAAAAATATTATGCCTGAACTTCTCATAGCTTATAAATCAGGTAATTAGTAAACATAAAACAATGATAGGAATTAAAGGAAGGCTATTAAGAATGATTTTGCTTCTAAAGTACAGGCTTCAGTATATGACTGAGTGGTCATATTTACAGTTACAACTCATATAACAATTTCTAGGTTAATGGATATGAGTTATTTAATTTCCCTTAAGTTTATTATCATTTTATGAAATAGTATTTTTAAGTTATGTATTTTCATCCATAAAGAGTAGAAATAGAAACCAAATGGCTGATAATACTACATTAATTAACTGTTTCCAAGTTAATTTATCATGGAATTGTTGGAATAATTTCTGAATATGCTAGTGACCTGATTATATGAAAACTTTAGGGGTCAGTCTTTTTTTCTAGAACTATTTAGACTAGATGTATTTATCTGTAATTCTGATTGGCCTTATTTTCCTCAGGAAACTTCTGCTTAATGATTATGATATTTGGTGGTAAATGAGGGAGTGGTTCTTTCTCTTTTAGGGATAACATCATCTGGATTTGGTACAGCCCTTCTGGCTCGCAAAGAATGTCTGAAATTTCTAAGCCAGAAGCTTTCCAAGATAGTCCGACTTACAGAGTGTCAGAAAAATGACTTGAAGATTTACGACAGGCTCCAGGCCAAAGAATTCACTGGAATAGATAACCTTTGGGGAATCCATCCTTTTTTTATACCAAGGGGTAAGCATGATTATAGATCAATAATGATCCTCTTCCCTTAGGTAAAAATATTTGACTGCTACTGTGACTTTAGTTTTAAGAGTGCCAATCACAGTAATGATTTTTTTAACTTATCTAATTTGAATCTGACCTGTAATAATTGCCCAGATGATTCATAACTACCTTGTAAAAATAAAGGAAAAAGTCATCTTTAACCTATGAATAAATACTATTGTAAGAATGCATTTATTTGTTAACTTGTTAGGTCTTCATGTCAGAACTTTCCATAGCATTGAATCCATTTATCTGTAGGCTAAGAATTTGCCTAAAAAAGGTCTGTCCACCCAAAATTTGTCATAACTACAGTCCTACATCCTCTATAAATAAAAGCAAAATTAAAAACCAGAGTTTGTGACTACTTTATCAGTCATGTAGCCTGGCATTCATAGGTGCCCAGAAAATGTGTGTTGGTTGAATAGTCAAATGGAAATATGGTTGTCTAGGGGACAGTGACCTTAAATTCTAATGTCTATTATTCACTAAGTTTGCCTCCAGGAAATCTTTTAGTGAGAAATTTCAGTTAGCTATCATGTAAAGCCGGGAACTTTGGTGGTATAGTCTGTATAAGGTTGTGATACTAACCCAAATGCCGGAGCATCTTGGCAGTTTAAATCCACCAGCTGCCCCAAGGGAGGAAGAGGAGCAGTCTCTTCCCAGACAATTTACATACAGCCTTGGAAACCCACTGGAGATCAGCTTTGAGTAGGACTAGTGCAGAAGACAGTGACAAAGAGGGAGAAAAGTTGTCTAAACTTGAATTTTTCAGATTGTTACTCCGATACCAGGGTCATCTGTTATCTGTCTTTTTCTTCTTCTCTACATTAAAAATGCTTTCATGGGGAGGGAGGAAGGTGTATATCAATGAATGAATGAAAACCAAGCTGTTTTATAATTTCTCACTAAAATCACAATTTTTTTTTTTAAAAAGGAAAAATTTATTTGATGACCTAAGACATAAGGGGTGCAGTGGCTGTTACTATATATCATCAGTAGTGAACAAAACTAACCAAGATTCCTGACCTAATGGTGCATTGCCCCTTCCTCTCACGTAGTTCAAACCTCAATCCCTTTTCTCCAGTGACCTCCTTATCTGCATGGAACCTGCATAATCAACCTTTAGATCCTTATCTGCATGGAACCTGCATAATCAACCTTTAGATCACTTCTCTACACTACTGTGATACTATTCAATACACATGTAGGAACTATATCAGGGGCCTGGGACTGGGGTAATCTTTATTACTGTTTCAAGGCTGAGATGGTAGAAGTTATTTTAGACTCACATCTCCCAAACTGGTCGACCAAAAGGTTCTTCTAAGAGAGATAATGACACCGATATTAGGCCCTTTGATACTCTTATCATTAGTTTTCTATTTAGATTGTCTTTGTGGCCTGAAGGCCTTGGGTATAATTATTTATATAAAAATTACATGATCTGTACACCTAGCTTATATCTTAATTTTTATAAATGACATAAGTCCATGAAGTGATTGGACTTAGTGCTTGCAGTTAGATCTGTGTACACGTATATAGGTATTCCACAATGATTAGAGATGAATATTAGGTATAACTGAAGAAAAATGGGACTATGGCTAGTTCCATAAAGCATTTTGTAGGTCTCAGCATGAGGGAGTGTTAAAATAGATGCTTAGCATTTTTACTGCAGTTGGTAAATTATCAGCATCTTCTGTTGACATGGAAATGCAGTTTGATGTTATTGAACTTACATATGATTTTTCTTTATGTTTAAGGACCTGTCCTTCACAGGAATAATACTGCTGACTATGCACTCAGTGCTTGCACTACAGCTATGAATGCACAGAGACTTTTACGAGCTACAAAACTGAATAAACCTATTCTCCTGGAAGGCTCCCCTGGAGTGGGGAAGACCAGTTTGGTGGGAGCATTAGCAAAAGCATCAGGCAACACTCTTGTTCGAATCAACTTGTCAGAGCAGACGGTAAGTTTAATCATCCTCTAGCTCATGGGATAGATATAATATTGTTAAGTAACATTGAGTTGGAGCTGACCCTCCGTTGTGTTTTCAGAGGTTGTAAATTGCATGGAGGAGATTGCGCATCTTTCTCACATGAAAGAGCTGGTGGATTTTAACTGCATGCATGCCTTTTAGATGATGGTGCAACTTCTTACCATGAAGTCACCTGAGCTCTCTTAGGGATGTTGTTGTTGTTAGGTGCCGTCGAGTCGTAGATGACTCATAGCGACCCTATGAACGAACAGCCTGAGCAGTGTTTGTACATAGAGTTTACGGAGGCAAGCCATTTTGGAAGTGGATGCCACTCCTGCTTCCAGGCTTTCTCTTAGGGATAGATATGTATAGGGATAGATAATAATGTTTTTGTCTATAACACAGAATTTGCTAATCAGAAATGCTTATTAGATTGTCAGTACCCCAAATACTGTATACAGTTATAAAAATCATAGTTGTTTTTGTGTATTGTAGAGTCTGAACCAATCAATAGCTGATCCTCTGGCTGTTTTCAGAGGCAGTTAATTACAAAGAAGGATATTACCCATCCTTCTCCTGTGGAGCAGCTGGTGTCTTTGAACCGCATGCCTTCAAGATTGCAGTGCAGCTTCTTACCTCTAGGCCACCAGAGCTCCTGGAAAGATCATAATAGCCTTACAAATTAATTCTACCTTGAGGGTCATAAATCACAAACACCTGTAATTTTATTATTTTGAAGTATGTTTTCTTTTGGGGAAAAAAATGACCCACCTCATTATTTACTGTCATATAATCTCACTCGAGCTTTTTCCTTTTAAAAAAATTTGTAGAAATGAAGTGATAAATCTCAAGAAAATATAGTATAGCCATGTTATGAGACAGAGCTGAGACTATGGGAGTGAGACCTGACTACTTTTAGTTTTTGGTTGTTTTAAAAATATCACCAATTAATTCCTTAATGCAGCCATGGTTGTCCAGCACTGATTTGTCTTTTTTTTTTAGTGTAATAAGGAAGTATAACAAGATAAATACCTAAGTATTTATCATTTGTATGTAGAATTTTGGGTTGGTTAGTTTTTTTGTGTGTTTTGTTGACTTTCCTATTTCCCTACTCAAAGGACATCACAGACCTATTTGGAGCAGATCTTCCTGTTGAAGGTGGCAAGGGAGGCGAGTTTTCCTGGCGTGATGGCCCTCTATTGGCGGCTCTGAAGGCAGGCCATTGGATTGTGTTAGATGAGGTAAGAGATCCATCTTGCCGGTGATGATCACATGAGGGAGTTTTACTTCTTTTTGTAACTATGTTAACTAACTTTAAGCTTCTTTCCTGAAGTTAACACTTTTTTTCTTAGTATTCCTTTGCTTTTGTGTATCAAGTAAAATAAAACACATTAACTTTCATTTCCTTATAGCTTAACCTGGCTTCACAGTCTGTTTTGGAAGGGCTTAATGCTTGTTTCGACCATCGAGGGGAAATCTTTGTTCCAGAATTAGGAATGAGTTTTCAAGTACAGCATGAGAAGACAAAGATTTTTGGGTGTCAGAATCCATTCAGACAAGGAGGCGGAAGGAAGGGCTTGCCCAGGTCTTTTCTTAACAGATTCACTCAGGTAAGATTTGCTGTTTCCATTCAGATGAAAGATGCTGTTTGAGAGCACATTAGACTGCTTGTTCCGATGAGGGAGTCATTTTATGGATCAGTTTTATGTTCTTCTTTTTGGTTTCATGTCTTTGTGTGGTAATTCTTTATGGAACTTCTTTCCTGACTTCAGTCACTGGCTTAAAATGTTATTTTGTCAGCTGAAAGAAAGTGAAATCTTCCCCTTACAGAATTCTGTTATTATTGCACTCAGTGATGTACACCAATGTATGAACTTTAATAGAGCTATGTCGTCTCTCAGAACGTAAAAAAAGTCCCAAACATTAAAAAAACAAAGCGTTTGAGTTCTAAAGAGTGAGAACAGAAAACTCAATAAAGAAATTTAAAAAAAAATCTGTATTTCCAGTACTAAAAGAAATTATTAATAAATTGTGGTATTTTCCCCTCTCAGCCTTTATTTTAGAGGAGTATTTCTTTTTTTTCCCCCTTTCATTTTATTTGTGTGTGTGTGTATACCGTCAAATCATATCTGACTGGTACAGGAGGAGATTGTTCCTCCTTCTCCAGCAGAGCATCTGGTGGATTTGAACTGTGCACCTCTGGAATTGCAGTACACCTTCTTGCCACTAGGCCACCAGAGTGAGTTCACCTAGAAGAGTATTTCTATGTGCATGTTTTGTACTTTGTCTTTAACAGTTTTTCTTTTTTAAAAAAAAATATTAAAAAAAAAATTATTCCCCACCAGATGCTCTGCTGGAAAAGGAGTAATAATCTCCTCCTGTACCTGTCAGATCTGATTTGACGGTACACACACACACAAATAATAATTAAAAAAAAATAATATCCCCTAACTCTTGCAGGGAGAGGAAGGTGATAATTTATTTTGTGAATTATTTAGATTTTGAAATATTTTTGTTGGTTCTTTTAATCATTGGTCATTAATTTTTATAAAAATATCTGGACAATACTGAATTTTAGTAGTCACTCTTAGCTCTTTAATTTCTCTATCGTTTGATAATTAAGAGTATGCAGGGTCTTTTTTTAAGGGGGAAAAAACCCCCACCAAACCAAAATGGAAGTTAATAATAAAAAAAGATATGCATAACTTTAAAATAACATAATCTTTTGAAATTTCCTATATACTGTATAAAGTGAACACAGTGTTCACGCTAACATATGCTCAGCTTTTCAATTTTTGAAAAGTTTCACGATAAAATTATCTTTAAAATATTTGGTGGATTTGAACCAGACACCTCTGGAACTGCAGTGCAGCTTCTTGCCACTAGGCCACCAGAGCTCCCTAAGAAAAGAAATTTCTATTGTGGAACAAAATACATATTTTGCTGGATTATTACTACTTGAGTGCGAAATAAAAATCTCATATGAAATGTCATGGTTATTTTTTGATATTTGATTAAGAGGGAACAAAAATGGAAATTCTTCATTTCTTTTCCTCTAAATTTTATAGGTCTTTGTGGATCCACTTACAGTCATTGACATGGAATTTATCGCCAGTACCTTATTTCCAGCCATTGATAAAAATATTGTTAAGAAAATGGTTGCTTTCAATAACCAAGTGAGTCCTTACTTGTATTAATTCCTCTTTATTTTCCTGACTATATTTATGCCAGCATTATTTTAAAAAGAGTAGTCTCAAATTATTTATCTCTCTGACTTAAGATAAATCAACACAGTTTTAATATATGGCAAGCTTCTTACTTGGAGGTTTCAGTAATCAGTACTGTATTGTATATTCTAATTTAATGCTTACAAGGAATTCTTGACATTTAGAAATCTAGTTTAAGAGAGTGCAGCATCTAAATCTTTAAGCCTGTTAAATTCTGTTTCAGATTACATTTGCATTTGTAGTATATAGATTGTAAACGCAGGGCTTGGCAGTGAGAAAGATTTCCCAATTAGAGTACTTTCTTTCTAGATTGATCATGAAGTGACTGTTGAGAAGAAATGGGGACAAAAAGGAGGACCTTGGGAATTCAACCTCAGGGACCTTTTCCGATGGTGCCAGTTGATGCTGGTTGACCAGTCCCCTGGGTGTTATGATCCTGCTCAACATGTGTTTTTGGTCTATGGGGAAAGAATGAGAACCAAGGGAGACAAAGAAAAGGTGAGTTTCACCCTCTGCTTTGTGCTGTTTCCATCATTCACCACTCACTCACATACTCACTCATTGTCATTGAGTGTGGGCCCACTCAGAGCTGACCCTCCATTGTTTTCCTAAAGCTGAAAATTTTGTAGGAAAAATTTACACATTTTTCTACTGTGGAGCCACAAACTCTTAGATTTTTCCATGGTCAGAGGTAGAAAATAGGAGGAGATGGACAGATGATACTGCTTGATTGAAAAAAGGTGAGAAGGGAAGTTATGTTTTTAAGCAAATGCCAAATTACAATATACAACAGAAGTATGTTGTTAATAGTTGCCATTCAGTCAATGTCTCATGACAGCCCTGTGTAGATTCAGAAAACCTCCACAGGGTTTTCAAGACTCATTGAGCTTTTGGAAGCAGTTTTTCTGCTTTTTCATGGTGCCTCTGTGTGGGGGTTGAAAGTTCTGTCTTTCAGCTAGTGGAATAATTAACTTCCTGTAGAACCCACAGACTCTGTAGAAAATATAATGGGAAATTAAAATATTCCTTACTAATAAATGCAATATGATACATTAATACCTAAAAAAACAAGACTGATTCACACAATTTTCTTTGTTGTATTTAAAATTTTGTCTGACTAAATGTGCACTAGAGCTGTATATAACTGTCAAGATTTCTTTTTAATTGCATGTATAAATCACAGTAAGTCACAATCCTGGGAACTCACAAATCATAGGTGCCAGAACCAGCCTTCTGACCAAGGACCTTCTTCATTTTGTTTAGTGTTCCTTTTATTGCACTACAGCCATTTAAAAACTAATTTCTTAAAATAGGAATTTGCTCATTAGAAGTAGAATCCTCCTAGTTCAAGTGAGATAATGTGGTTAGCCAGTTGCATGAATGATTTTCATATACTTTGCATTCTGCTACATTCAGCCTGGAATTTGTTTTATGTTTGATAAGAGCCTAACCATATTTAATCATATTTATCAGTTATTACCTACAAGTGACCTTCAGTCTCTATAATAGGAGAAAAGCATGCATGTTTTAACATTTTGTTGAGATGTGATTTAAATGCTGTCACCTAGTACTTTAATTTGTTAATTATTAATATTAATTGTGGTTAGATAGTGGCCATTTGTTAGGAAATTAATGTTAATCAGGATATTGATTCCTATAGAATTACTTCCCCAATTCAGAGTTACTATAATTTATGTACTAAGTTTTTACTCAGGAAAAAATTGTCATAAAGGGAACATTTCAAATAATGGAAATAGAAAGACTATAAGAGTTACAAAGTTTTGGATGAAGTGAATCTGAGTTTATAATACGAAATAAACCTGACTAGATTATGAAATTACTTCAAGTTTTATCACTGTAGTTGCTCCTGGTGGCCTTGTTTGTAGGAAGTTATGCTCATAACCCAAAGGCTACACATCTCTGCTGGTTTGAATCCACCACCTGCACTGAAGGATTAAGATGAACACTTTCCTCACATGCTATTTATAGCCACAGAATGGTCAGTTACAGCTGGAGGATCAGTTCTTAGTTAGCTCTGACTCAACAGCAGTGAGAAAGGAAAAGAAAGAAAGAAAAAAAAGTAGATAATGGGAAGAATAGAATGTGCCCTTAAAGAAGAACATATGTTCTGGACCCAGAGGTAAATACTGAATGCATATTCCTCCGATCTGGTTTTAGTCTCATAGTCATTGTTTGGCATTGATTATAATTTTACCTTTTTAAAAATTTTCATCCTGATTTTAGTACAGTTTATATTAATGGAAATATTAATGGTAATATAACTGGTATTTTTTAGACCACAGTTTTGAAAGTCTGTGTAAATTTGTTTTGGGTGGCGCTACTTTTTCCTACTGCCACAGGAAATGAATTTTGTTCTTTCTCTACCACCCCATATCCCTGCTTTTTGTCACCTCCTAGACTCTAGGGAAATTCAAATAGGAAATAGGGTTAATAGGAGGTTTTCTAACAGTATTCCCACTATTAAGAGGGACAACTATATATGAATAATTGGCTAGAGTTAGAGAGCTAACTTTGGTTTTTATCTCCATATAAATATTAGGGAGGATATAATGGTGTTTTGGATGGTAGAATTGTTTAGATTAAAAATGACATTTCTATCATGTGCAAATTTAAAATTTATGAATGAGGCTAACCATATAAAAAAGAAATGTTAACTTTTTTGCAGAGCATTTAAGGATCAAAATTAATATATTAAATTTATAAACTCTCATTGTGCTTCATATTACTTCTTTTTAAATGATAAATGATGCCAGCAGTTTTCATCTCTAGATTTTTTTCATCCCTCCATTTGCCTTAGTGTCCATGTCTTCATTTAGCCTGTGGTTAACATATTCTCACTTGAGTCTCAAATAGTTTAGAAATGTGTGAAATACACAGTTCTTGACCTGAATTTTCTTTCATTCTGAAGAATTAAATAAATGTAGCCTACTTTTTTATAATAGAAATTTCAAAAGAAAAAAGGCATTTTTAGCTAGAGAATATTGTGAGTCACAGTATGTATATTTCCTAGAAGTATTCACTATGAGAATTTTTACTAAGAATTTGATGGAATGATTTACGTTTTGATTAGTAATCATATTCCTTTAGGTCATTGCTGTATTCAAGGATATATTTGGCTCAGATTCCAGGCCATATATGGGAACCAGACTGTTTCACATCACTCCCTATGATGTGCAGGTAAGGAGATGAATAGAGTCATACATATTCTTTAAAGATATTTTATGGCCTCTTCCTCTCTTACTACCAGACACACTTGTGAACTCTCATTGACATGTCTTTTCAGCTGGGCTACTCAGTTCTTAGCCGTGGCAACTATGCTCCTCACCCATGCCACCGACCCCTGTCACTCCTGCACCAGTCATTACAGTCCCTGGAGTCGATCATGAAGTGTGTTCAGATGAGTTGGATGGTCATCCTTGTGGGTCCAGCTTCTGTGGGCAAGACCAGTCTAGTGCAGCTTCTGGCACACCTTACTGGTCACACCTTAAAGATAATGCCTATGAACAGTGCAATGGACACTACTGAGCTTTTGGGTGGATTTGAGCAGGTAAAGTCTACTTTTAATTTATCAGGAAAAATATTATAAACCCCGTTGGTCTGTTGGGGATTCTTTTGTATTGGTGGTGATTTCTTTGACTCTGACCAAAGACTGATGAATTCATGCACTCTGGAAATTGCAGGTTGATCTTATACGTCCTTGGAGGCAACTTCTCGAGAAGGTGGAAGGCACCATAAGGACATTGTTAAGGGATAGCCTCCTTATTAGTGCTGATGATGCAGAAGTCGTGCTACGAGCCTGGAGTCACTTCCTTCTGACATATAAGCCCAAATGTCTTGGAGAAGGTGGTAAAGGTATCACGATGGAGATTGTAAATAAGCTGGAAGCAGTATTATTACTGATGCAGCGACTTAACAATAAAATCAACTCATACTCCAAGGCAGGTATGTGTATTAGATTTTGCATAGCAGACAGCAGACAATGTTAATTTGTAAGAATCATATTTATAAATTAAATGCCTCTAGCTTTGAAAAAGAATTTAATGATTAATAATTAAAATTTAGAAATCTTTGGGTTAAAATGTAGAGAAGTGGCAGTAAACTATTCAGAATTGGCGAGCCTAAAGAGTTAAAACAGGAATAAAATTGTGCCTTAAATTTGATGGTTCATTTTGTGTCATTTGTGTATAAAACTTAGTTTTTAATCGACTTTTACAAATATTTTGAGGGATTGAGAACATTTTAGATTGTAGGAGTCTAAACTGATCATGAAGCTGTTTATTTGTATAGTAATTGGAAGTTGTAAGTAATTATGTATCGCAAGCAGTTAACATATGCAGTATAACATTGCTGGCTAAGAAGGATCATGCTCTGGGGATGCAGGGTAGTGAAGTTTTACAGTTAAAAAATGCCCACAGGTTCATTCTGTCATGCTAACTACCAGTTTGTTCTTTACACTCTGGTGATAAAAACCCAAGGGGGCTCTAGAAATTGCTCAGCTTATGTGTTCCAGATTTACAACTGTAGAAGCCTATGGGGGAATTCTGCATGGTCACTAGAAGTGGGAATTCGTATGATGGCAGTGGGGTTCTAGTTTCTGAACTTCACCTATTATGTGCATACTGCAGATTACTGTTTTGACCAAAGTCTCCAGGGACCCTTATCCAGAATTTAAAGAGTTCTTTGTTCAGTTGCTGGTTCCTCATATTAGCTGTCTCAACCTCACTGGACTGCAGTCTGTTTCCTCAACTCAGTGAGAGTTGTAGCGTATTCTTAGATTCTTATTCCCAGCTCTCGGTCTAAGAGCGGCCTCCAGAGTAGAGGAAAATCATTATCCTTAGACACCCTTAGCCAGTACCATAATATGGCTTAACCTTCCAGGTTTCTTTTCCTTCGGGAACTACACCCTGTTGCTCAGGATCTGAAAGCATTTTTTTCCTATTATTTGCCCTGCTTTCTAATTGCTAATAGTGGGCCATTAAATCTGATCCTCACTATTCCGTCATACCTATGAGAAACAGTATTACTTTATGACATGAAAAACTGTCATAAAACTTATTTCCAAGGGAAAAAAGCATTTGTAAAATTTCCAAGTAACAGCTATATGAGCAGAAATCCAGTTTAACAGCATTGATTTCACATTATGCATTTATATATTACAAGTCTAGAAGTAGGTACATCCTCCTCCATCTGAGAAACTGAAATGTGGGAAACTTAATTTACCTTTTCCATCCCCTAAATGTGAGCTGTAAGTAACAGGCTATTAATTCTGTAATCTATTATGAATTATTTTCTGCCCTGAAACCTAATAATAGAATGTTTAAACAAAAATAAAACTCTCTTATTTCCTCTATATGAAACTTTAAAACAAAACTTTGCCAAAAATTTGTAATGTTCCTTAATAAACTCCTTTTTTTGTATTGACTTGGTTTGAAATTAAGTGCAGTGAGTGGTGATTCTTGCTTACAACATTTCAGATTTTGCTAAACTTGTGGAAGAGTTCCGAAACTTTGGATTAAAGCTTATGCAGTCAGCCAGTGGCCATAGCCATGGAACATTTGAATGGATCGACAGCATGTTGGTTCGAGCCCTCAAGTCCGGAGACTGGCTTCTGATGGACAATGTTAACTTCTGCAAGTAAGAATCTTATAGGCACTCATGAGTAGGTTAGACAGATTTTGAGTCATGCTCGTCAATGTAGAAATTCATAGTATTTTTAACTCACTGCTTTTCTTAACTGGAAACATTGGGAGCTACATTCTGCAGTTTCTTCCAATGCTGAAGTGAATGTTGGCAAAATGGTATTATTTTTCAAAAAAGAGCCTTTGAATTAGGGTCTTTTTAATGTTAATCTCTTACTTTCGTAATCTCGCATTTATTAAGGGTCATTTTTTACTGGAGATTATGTGAAAAAGGATTCTCTGACACATGGCTGGCAGGCATTTAGTAAGTGTGTACCAATGGTGGCACATACCACCATTCATCCTAAAGAAAGTAAAGGGCACACAGCCTGCGAGCTTAGCATGGAACTATTCCATGTCAGATAAGGACTCTTGCCGTTTTCTTCTGAATGTTTCAGATCAAAATCCAATTACCTGTAGTTGTAATGAGATTTGGATATAAGAGAAGGAAATAAGTCCAAGTATCTTTCATTTTAGTGTTTAACAAATATTTTACGTATTTACTGAATATGAAACTGAGGTGACTGAGTATGAAACTCAGGTGATGTGTTTTGGGAGGTTTAAAATGAATAAAGGAAGAACCTATACCAGAAAAGGGATCCCAATTCCATGTGTGAGTGATTTGAAAGGAAATGACTGCTAGAGTATGTTCAATATAATAGGCCAACCTGTTCACATTTGCACTTACTCATATTTATTTTTTTTAAACCAACACCACTTACTCTTGTAGCCCATCAGTGCTGGATCGCTTGAATGCTTTACTTGAACCTGGAGGTGTCCTCACAATGAGTGAGAGGGGAATGGTGGATGGAACCACTCCAACTATAACACCAAATCCCAATTTCAGGTATTTATACTTTTAAATGTCTTCTGAGAATCTGACAGCTTCCGTGGGTGAGTATTCAAAAGGACCTTCTTCTTATACCGTGTCATAATCATGCTCAGCCATTCATTGATTTAGTTAATTTATTCAAGATTTGCAAAAGCATTTAACTGTGTGGATCATAACAAATTATGGCTAATATTAAGAAGAGGAATCTTAGAACACTTAATTGTGCTCATGTGAAACCTATACTTAGACCAAGAGACTGTTGTGTAAACAGAACAAGGGGATAAATGCATTGTTTAAAATGAAGAAGGTTTGTATCCAGGTTTTTTCCTTTCCTTATACCTATTCAATATGCATGCTGAGAGACCTGTGCCTTGGAATAAAAATGAGAAGAAAAATGTATGCTGAGCAAATTACTCAAGCACCTAGACTCTATGAGGAGAAAAATGGCATCAGGATTAGAGGAAGACTCATCAGTAGCATTCTCTATGCACATGACACAGCCTTGCTTGCTGAAAGTATGAGGAACTTGACTTTCTTTAGAAGATCAATATGGATTACATCTCAGTATCAAGAAAACAAAAATTCTCACCACTGGACCAATAGGCAACTTCATGATAGATAGAAAATGGATCCACAATGAATACACTTGGTACCAGTAGTCAGGAGATCAGATGTATTGCACTGGGAAAGTCTGTAGTCAGGGATCTTTCCAAATTATTAAGGAGCAATGATGTCAGTTTTAGGACTAAGGTATGCATAATTCAGGCCATGGTCTTTTCCATCACTTGTTGTGCTGCTCTGGAGAGTTGGATAGTGAATAAAGATGACCAAATTGTTTAGTTGATGCCTTTAAACGGTGGTGTTGGAGAAGAGTATTAAATATTCCATGGACTTCCAAAAGAAAAAACAGATATGTCTTGGAGAGGTACAGCCAGAGTGATCCTTAAAAGGCAAGGATAATGAAGCTTCATCTCACATGCTTTGGACATGTTGCTTGTTAATTGTTAAATGTCATCGAGTCGAGTATGACTCATAGCGACCTTATGAACAAAAGATCTGAGTCCTTTTCTATTACATCTTCATTTCTCTAATGTTCATAGAGTTTCCAGAGGTATGTTGTTTAGGAAGTGGATGCCAGTCCTGCTTCCAAGCCTGTCTTAGTCTGGGAGCTCTACCAAACACTGTCCATGATGAATAAACATTATGGCATTTGACACAGTGTTCAGTATCGCGGCAACCCCAGGTTATTTCAGTATAGCAAACTGAAAGACCAGGGCTATACCAGGTAGAATAATGTTCTTCCCAAACACAATTCATTAGGGCCCTAATGACTTTTAAATACTAAAGCCTGCCCACCAGGTTCTAATTAAACATGAGGCTTCCAGCCCACAGCTGATTGTTAGCTAAATCCAAGTGACTAGTCAGCTCACACGTGATTGTGAATGAGATAATTTAGTCAGAGAAGTGGGACTTGGCAGGAATGTTATTGAATGGGAAAAATGGTAACACCTGGATTTTTGGCTTGAGTGAATGCAGGTGCCATTCAGTAAGAAAAGACCGACAGAGAAGAAATTACTGTCAGTGGAGAGTCAGCACTTCTGCTTTGGATTTAGTATGAGATGTCAGGTAACAGGGTAGAAATGAGTATATGAAGTAGTTGCTTAATAGTCAGACCTCTTTTTGCTCTCCATAGTTGAGTTAAAATTATGAATAACAATTATATTATTTGAGGGAATAATAGCACTAGAAGCACATTTAATAAATAATACATCTAAGTCTAAGAAAATAGGTTTAGAGAATTTGCTATACCAGTGTACTTTGTAAATAGACTGTAGAACACAGATACGGTAGCCAACTTTTAGTTCGTGATGTCTCTTTAATAAAGCACCTGAAATTAAGCCACATAAGATTTATCTTCACTCATTGTTCCTCAGTACCATTTCTTTACTGGATTTAAATTATTTTTTTTCTTTGCTATGCTACTAGGCTTTTTCTGTCAATGGATCCTGTTCATGGAGAAATATCCCGAGCGATGAGAAATCGTGGGCTCGAGATCTACATTTCAGGAGAATGGGATGGAAATAGTCCAGACGACCTAGATCTGAAAGTTCTGCTGCACAGCCTTGGGTTGGTGGGGGATAGTGTGTGTGACACCCTCTTGGCTCTACACATGGAGACCCGAAGAACTGTTGTAGGTGAGCATCTTGACTTTTTTTGTGGTCTTAGTCCTGTAGCAGTTGATGTTACTCAGTTTGACTACTGGTTCAGGAGTTCTTATATGTAGTGTTCAGAGAATATTTTTCTGGGAAAGCATGTTGAAAATATAGATGTCTAGCTACTTTTCCTCCTATTGATTGGATTTAACGGGTCTGAGTGAAGCGTGGGAGTTCAGTGTTTGAAAGAAACTCTTCATAAATAGCATACATAGACTATCAAATATAATGGAAACTGCACATCAACAAAGGGTAAGCTAGAGTAGGGCCTCCTAAAAATTAAATCCGTGTGTGTGTGAGAGAGAGAGAGGAAAAACTTCTCCAAAAGAATAAAATGAAAATCTACAAATTGGGGAGAAAATATTTGGCAATGAGATATCTGATAAGAGACTCAAGTCTAAAATTTGTAGAAAATTCCATCTAGCACCTCAACATGAAAAAGACAATCCATATATAGAAAGTGCAGAGGACATGCTTAGATACGTTCAGATATTCAACAAACACATCAAGAAATTCTCAAGATCATTAACTATCAGAGAAGTACAAATGAGATATCTTACTCTAATAAAAATAGTGATGCTTAATAAGGCATTAAATAACAAATACTAGCAGGGATGTGGAGAGATTGGAACTCTCGTATTCAAGTGGGAGAGACAAAATGGTATAGCATCTATGGAAAGCAGTTTGACATTTCCTTATTAGAAAGTTGGGAATAGAAATAGCATTTGATTTAGCAATCTCACTACTAAATATATATTTCAAAGAAATAAGAAATGCAACACAAACTTGCACGTCTACATTAATATCTATTACAGCATTATTTACAATATTGAAGAATTGGAACCTACCCACGTGCTCATAAGCAGACAGGTGGCTAAAGAAACTGGTCCATTTACATATGAGAGCATTATGAGTCACTAAAAGAAGATTAAGAATTTTTGAAATACTGCATAGCCTGGATGAAACAAAAACAATTCATGCCACGTGACACAAAAGGATAGTTATAGTATAGGACCACTAATATAAAATGCTGTGGAAAGGTTTGCACACAGAAGCAATCAAGATGAAAAGGAGGGAGAGGACAGCAAAAAAAAAATCCACCAAAATGCATGCTCAGATCCATCTAAAATCCATTTATTTAGAAATCACTCTTATTAAGTTTTTTTTAAAAGACATCTCACTGTGCTAACCAAATTTGAGAGAGACTTAAAAAATAAGCTCCTCAATTAATTTTCCTGTCTGTGTCAGAGGGATCCCACAATGAGGATTATAAGGTTTATTCCTAATTTTCATGATTCAGGGCTGTCATTGAACCTTGGGAAAGTGAAATAAAGAAACAGCTTTGAATTGTTTAAAACAGAAAAGTGTGATTGTCAAATGTTGGGAAATATAAGAAAGAGCAAGTTTGTAAAGCATAGATGTTCTAAAACCACAGTTTGGGTGGGGTTGAAGAAAACATTTGATCTGAAGGTAAAATTTATCCATGTTATTATTTTGCCCAATTTAATTGTTCATAGATAGTTTCTTTAAAAATTCATTTCACTCAAGGATATACACAGCAAAGCATACACAAATTTCTGCGTGCACAATTCAGTGATATTTGATTGTATACTTCAAGTTATGCAACCATTCATCATCTTTTTCTGAGTGTTTTTTTTTCTCCTTCTTTAATATAAACTCACTGCCCTCTACGGTTCCCATCTCATCTCTTGAGTTGTCAGCTTGATCTCATATAGATAGTTCTTAACAGAACATAAAACTCAGGGCAGATACTTTTTGCAAAATAAGTAAGCTAGATTAAACAATATTAAGCTAGACTGAGGTAAACTGTTTGACTTTGGGAAGGCTTTGGAAGCCGTTTTTTTGGTCTAAGGTGTAAAGATTATCTCAAGGCAAGAGTTTCAGTAGTGTAATTTTTTTTTGTCTTATAGGTTCTCAAACATCATCTGTGTCCACTCTGATTCAGACAGCCATACTTATTGTTCAGTATCTACAACGAGGCTTGAGTTTGGATAGAGCCTTTTCCGAGGCATGTTGGGAAGTATATGTCTGTTCGCAGCATTCACCAGCAAATCGGAAGGTACTGTGAAGTTTGCAGCAGCTATTTAAGTAGTGATAAATTAACTTATTCACTAGAAGAAAACACTTTTTCTGGACAGCGGCTTTAATGGTCTAAGAAAATTAACTATTACAGTGTGCTTATATGAGTTCTGGTATCTGGGGATTTATTTTCTTGAAAAATAGCTTAAGTGCAAAAATACTTCTTTCATGAAGAAATTTGTATTTCTCACCAAAAAAAGTAGAACTTCATTCGTGGTGTTACATATTGAAGAATGTGTATGAGGGTTGTTGTGAGGTGGCCACATGCTGTTGTTTGCTCTTGAGGTGATCACAGAGGGCATGGAAAACTATTCTATGTTTTGATAAGAGCAGTTATATTTTGGTGTATGTTTTTTGTCTCCAACCAGCTTGTACAGGACTTGCTGGAGAAACATGTTTCTTCCCTGAAAGCACATGAAACTTGGGGTAACTCCATTCTTGCCATGGGGCTTTGGCCAGATTCTCTGCCCTCAGCTCTCTTTGCTACTGAAGACTCCCACCTCTCTGTAGTCCGAAGTGATGGACAGATACTAGCATATTGCCTAAATAGGATGAGCCTGAAAACCAGCAGCTGGTTAAGGTCAGTGGGAACTTGTGCTTCGCTGTATGTGTGATGTGCCTCAATGGGTTTTTCTTTTGCTAGTAATAGCGAAGACCTAACATGATCAATAAGATTGCATGTTCCATTATTATCAAGCTGTTAAAATTTACTATTAGGTGTGACTCTTTACTTATTAAATGTATATTTTAATTCTCTTTGAAGAGAACTTACCATTTTTTTCCTCCTTTTTCCCTCTGATTGCATATTTGTAAAAGAATTTTTTTGGTTCTTTGGAATCTGAAATAAAAGTTTTTCTAACATTAACTTTTCTCATTTTAATGAACTTTAGGACTCAACCCCTTACCTTGCAAGACTTAAATAAAATAATGCAGTCCTCCAGTCCTGAGAACCTGAAATTCAATGCAGTTGAAATGGATACACATTGGATTGATGAACCAGATGTTCTGGCTGTGGCTGTTAAATTGCTCATAGAAAGAGCAACCAATCAGGACTGGATGATCAGAGTTAAATGGCTATATCATTTAGCCAAGAATGTACCACAGGGGCTTGGTGAGTAGAAGAGCTTAATTTGTATAATGAGTTAATGTATGTGCATTTATCCTATGAGTGCTTTAGTGTTTCTCTGTAGCTACACTTAAATTGGACCTGGGAGATCTCTCAGTAAGAACTTTTAACCTAGACTCATTATATAGTGCTGAAACTCTGCCATTAGAATTGTATCACAAGAAAACCTTCCACTGCCCCATGTCAGGAGCTGTCTATACATCTTTCAAATCAAAAAGGAGGTATATTAATGTTAGTTTTTAGCTTTATCATATCTTGCATTTTTTGCTGTAATACTGCTATCCAGCCATATTTGGGTAAATTTAACTAAAAGTAGACTAGACTTTTTTAGCTTATTTCATTTCCAGTGTTCCAAGTTACTTCTCTTAATTTCTTTGTATTTTTCATTCTAAGAAGAGAAACAGCAGCAGCAGCATTATCTATGCCTTTAGAAGTACTATAAGACGTGACATTTATTGACTGTGGTAACTTAGTTTACATAAGCCTTTCTATTTAGTGGGAAGTTAGTGAAGGCACATGCTACTGAGTGCTTGTGGTATTTGTCTGAATATGGGTAGACAGAGTTTGGATACATATTCTTATTTGTACTATCTAGTGGAGTGGTGGGAATAAGTGCGTTTGGGATGGCTAGGTTGGCACAGGATAGAACGGCGTTTAGAGCTCTTGTACATAGGGTCGCTGTGAGTCACAAGCGACTCGATGGCACATAACAACAACAAGAAGTATAAAATCTGTTAGACAACAGAGTAGGAGTTCTGGAGCATAGTCTTTAGTGAGTTAACACTGCTCACAAAGTCTATACCTCTGTGGTCATTTGTATCCACCAGTGGCTCTGAGATAGAAAGAGGGACAGTCTCTTTCTCTTGCAGTTTACAGCTTCAGAAACCTCTTGGAGTGTCCGCTGTGAATCAGTTTTGACTTGATGGTAGTGAGGGAAGAGAAACCCACAGATTGCCACTAAAATGTCAACATAAATTAATGAAAAATAGAATAAAAATCAGTCAGTTCCTCAGTTAGCCACTAGCCACATTTTAGGCACCAAGTAATCCTATGTGGCTAGAGACCACTTACTGTGTCTGACCTGACAACTGTAGAGCATTTTCATCATTGTTGAAAGTTTGCTTTAACTTTTATTTTTCCTTCTTCTTTAGAGTCAATACAGATTCATTTGGAAGCTAGTGCTGCATCTCTTAGGAATTTTTACTCAAATTCTCTCTCAGCTGGGATCGGTAATATCATCAAAATATTGCAACCAAATCTAACAGGTACCGCACTTACTCTTGATTTCTAGCTTTCAGCATTTTTGTGGAGATGTGTCCATTGGTTTCCATGCAAAGAAATTCTCTCCAAGCTCAGACCGTAGCAAATGATGTTTGCAAGAAGGCTCATGTGGAGTGACATAGTTTCTTCTTTGTATAAAGTTATTTGTTTATTGTCTGGTTTTTCAGAGAGGCTATCGGTAGACATACAGCGGAAAGAACACGGGAGCAGCAAAACTGGCTTTGTTCTCAACTTTCCACAAACTGGCTCATGCCCTCGGAGAATGAAACTCTTTCTTTCCCTGAGAGTCTTCCTACTTAGAGCATTGTGTGATTTCTTATACTTTTTACAGAGTTTTGAGCCATGAAATATTTGATCTAAAGGGAAACAGAAATTATTTCTAAAACCTTAATGACAAGGGGTTTTTGTTTGGTTTAAAGCAAAACAAGTGAAAATGCTTGTTAAGACAGTAAAACAGAAGCAAGGCTACTGAGAAGTAGGCCGTGCAAAAGAGTTAAAGTGAAAAAAAATAAAAGGTAAAATGGTAAAACCACATCACACCTCCTACCCCCGATAGACAGAGGTGAAGCCAAACTTACAAGATGCTGTCACCAGAAAAGAAAAGAGAAGAGACCCCAGGGACCACTACTTTTATTGACTCCTAATCTCATGAGACTTGCTCATAGTCCAGCCCCACTCTGGGACTTGTTTGATTGGCTGGGGAGGGGTCTACTTCCTGATGTAATCACCTTTGACTTCTAATGACAAAGTTTTAAAACCCATTATGATCAAAGAAGAGAACTCTGGTGGCCTCATGGCAAGAAGCTGCGTTGCAATCTGAAGGCACACGGTTTGAGGCCACTAGTTGCTCCACAGGAGAAGGAGGGGCAGTCTTCTCCCTTGCAAGTAATTATCGCTAAAAACCTGATAGAGGTTCAGATGTGCAGTTCTGACTTGACAGTACACAACAACAGTGATAAAAAATTAGATAGCCAAACTTATCTCATCAAGCATGATATTAAAAATTTTTTTAAAATAACGAATAATAGAGCAAATTTTAATTTACTAGAGCAAAAGAATATAAACTTACTTAGACTTGGTACTACTGATAAGGACAGGAGCAGCTTTACAGATCCAGGTTTTTATTTTCCCTAGCACTATCTTCATTTAATGTTGACCAAAAATACTACCTTAACCATTGGATTTGGAAAATTTTGTTTAAAGCCTTTGCTGCACTATGAAAAGAGCAAGAGCAGCATGGGGTGGGCCATAGCTGACCTCTGCTAACCGCACAAAAGGGAACTGCCCCCACTAACAACTTCTGCAACACGAAAACCAATTTCTGTGTGGTCATCTATGTTCCCCATGCTCCCAAGGTATATCTATTCATTTTTAATACCAATGCTACTGTTGTACTAAGTCCAAAATCCATAGCAGTGACTACACAGACTTCAAAGAACTGTATTCACAGGTAATGGGTTAATTAATTAAGATTACAGGCTATGATTCAGTTAAGTCATAGTTACAACGTTCTCTTATTCCTACCAATTATGGCATCTTCCCTCAGTCTTCCCACAATGTTGAGTGAAGGCCTCTGACTCTGGCTCAAGGAGCAGCAGTCCCAAGTAAGCTCTGTCCATGTTGGTCTGTGGTTCTCTGCAGAAGCTGCTGTTATTCTTGTGAAAATCCCAGTCTCCCTGACACAGGAATTTCTATTCCCAAAGGATACACTACTTTGTCTTCCTTCTTGATGTTGAGATTCCCAGTTTCTGCCGCTGAATCTGCCCAATTTAATTGGAAGACCAATCCCCTTGTGAATAACTAACAGAGCCTCTATTTATATGATCACACCCATCCGTGTGACAAAGTCAATGGCTAGGAAAGCCAGTTTGAACAATAATCACACCACAGTTGCTAAATTATTTACCTTATCTTTATTATTAAATCATCCAAAACCAACTAGAACAGTACATTGATAGAAAACTTCAAGACAAGTTTAGAAGAGGCCATGGCACCAGGTATAGCATTGCTGATAGATCCTGACTGAACTTAGAGAATGCTAAAAGAATGTCTATTTGTGAAATATTGACTAGGCAAGTGCATTTGACTGTGGATCATAATAAATTATGGCTAACATTAAGAACATCAAAGATAACACTCTTCATCCAATATGAATTGTATCTTAACATCAAGAAGACAAAGGTCCTTACCACTGGGCCAGTAGGTAACATAATAGAGAAAGAATTAAAAGTGTTAGTGGTTTTGGCTTCCTTAGATCCACTGTCAATACTCTTGGTATCAGCATTGAGAAGTAAAGAGATGTATTGCTTTGAGCAGATCCACTGTCAGGAACATCTCAAATCCTAAATAGCAGTGATGTCAGATTGAAGACTAAGGTGTGTCTAATCTAAGCCATGGTCTTTTCAACTACTTGGCTATGCATCTGAGAGCTGGACAGTATAAGGATGACAAAAGAAGAATTGATGCCTTTGAGTTGTGACATTAGAGAAGAGTACTGAATATCTAACCCATGGACCAACAGATATGTCTTAGAAAAGGTGCAACCGGAGTGCATCTTGGAGGCAAATATGGCAAAGATTCATCTCTCATACTTTGGACATGTTAAAAGAGGCTATTCCTTGGAAAAGGATATCATGCTTGGAAAGGTAGAAGATCAACAAAAGAGAGCAGGACCTTATTCGATATGGGTTGACATAGTGACTGCAGCAGTGAACTCAAGTGTATCAGAGATGAAGAGGAAGGCACAGGATAGGACAAGACTCAGATCTGTCATTCATAAGGTCATTATGAGTCATGCTAAACTTGACAACACCCAGCAACAAGATTGAGAAGAATGGAAGTCCTAGAACATTTAAATGTGCTCATGTGGACCTATACCTAGATCAAGAAGCTGTTGTTTGAATAGAATAAGCATGGTTTAAAATCAAGAAAAGCATTTGCATTTGTCAGGGCTGTGTCTTCTCTCCATACTTTTTTTAGTAACTTAATCTGAGCAAATAATTCAAATCTCCACTTTATGAAGAGTGTGGTATCAGGATCAGAATAAGACTCAACAACAGTCTTCCTTATGCAGATGACACAACCTTGTTTGGTGAAAGTGAGAAGGACTTGAAACACTTGTTGGCATAAAATCAAGACTGTGACCTTAAATATGGATTACATCTTAGTATCAAAGCAGAGATCCTCACCACTGAGCCAATAGACAACATTATGATTGATGAAGAAAAGATTGATTAGTTGTTAGTGATTTGATCTTCCTTGAATCCACAATTAACGGTGTCAGTACCAGCAGTCAAGAAAGCAGAAGACATCTTGCACTGGAAAAATCTGCAGTCAGGGACCTCTCCAAAATACTGAAGAGAATGATGTCTACTTAAAGACTAAAATGTACCTATTTCATACCATGATCCTTTCAACAACCTGCTATGCACCTGAGAGCTGGACAATGAACAAGGAAGACAGAAGAAAAATCAATGCCTTTGAGCTATGATGTTAGACAAGCATGCTGAGTGTCCCTTAGCTACCAAAAGAACAAACATGTGTCTTTGAGAAAGTGCTGCCGGAGTGCTCCTTAGAGACAAGGATGGTAAAGCTTCGTTTCACATACTTGGGACATGTTAGGATTCCTGGGAAAAAGGATAGCATGCTTGGATAGATGGAGGGCTGGTGAAGGAGTGGAATATCCTCAACCAGATGGCTAGACACAGTGACTGCAGCAATAGGTTCGAGTGTGTCAGAGATTGTGAGGATGGCACTTGATAGAACAGGCTTGTTAGGGTAGGATTCATAACTTTTGTTCGTAGCAGCGCTATGAGTAGTACTCTGCTCGATCACACTTAACAATAATGTACGTTAATAAAGTGAGTATTTGGGAAGAAATCAGACATACAGAAAACTTCTGTCATAATCAGATTGTAGCAGAACTAAATTAAGGCTTTGCAATTATAGGAAAATTATCATGACATTTGTAAATACAGTTCTAGCCAGAGTAGCAGTGTCTGTTTTCAGCAGCTATTTATTAGTTATTATTCACTTTCTTTTCAGATTGTATAGGTGTGTCTTTCTTATTAAACATGGATTCATTCCCTGCTTACATGCATTGCTGTGCACAGTAGAACCTTGTACTCTGTTACAAATATTTTTTTAAATTAAAGAAGACTAGAAGGGGTCGTGGTACTAGGGACATTGCAGCTAATGTTAGATGGATCTTAGCTGAAAGCAGGGAGTACCAGAGAAATGTCTATCTGTGTTTCATTGACTATGCAAACGCGTTTGACTGTGTGGATCATAACAAATTGTGGCTGACTCTGAGAAGAATGGGAATACCAGAACACTTGATTGTGCTAATGAGAAACCTCTACTGGGACCAAGAGGCAGTCGTCAGAACAGAGCAAGGAAACACTGCATGGTTCAAAATTGGAAGGGCGTGCGCCAGGGATGTGTCCTGTCTCCATACCTTTTCAACCTGTATGCAGAACAGATTATCCAGGAGGGTGGGCTCTATGAGGAGAAATGTGGTGTCAAGATTGGTGGAAGATCTATCAACAGTCTGCGATATGCAGATGATACAACCCTGCTTGCTGAAACTGAGGAGGACCTGAAATGCTTGCTACCGAGTGTCAAGGACTGCAGCCGCCAATATGGATTGAGGCTCAGTGACAAGAAGACAAAGATTCTCACCACTGGACCAATTGGCAGCATCAGGATGGATGGTGAAGAGATTGAGATTGTTCACAGCTTCAGTTTACTTGGCTCCATGGTCAACACTCTCGGCGCCAGTAGCCAGGAAACTAGAAGATGTATTGCCAAGGGAAAGTCTGCTGTTAGGGACCTCTCCAGAGTGCAGTGGTGTCTCTTTGGAGACTAAGGTCCGTCTGATACAGGCCATGGTCTTTGCTATCCCCTGTTATGCATCAGAGAGTTGGACAATGACTAAGAAGGATAGAAGGAAAATTGATCCCTTTGAGCTGTGGTGCTGGAGAAGAGTATTGAATGTACCATGGACTGCTAGGAAAACAAACAGATTCATCCTGGAAAGAGTCAAACCGAGCTGCTCCTTGGAGGCAAGGATTCTGAGGCTCCGTCTAACATACATTGGACATGTTGCAAGGAGGGACAGGTTGTTGGAAAGGGACATCATGCTTGGTAGGGTGGAGGGACAGCGCAGAAGGGGAAGGCCCCCTATGAGGGGGATTGATTCAGTGACTGGGGTAATGGGGATGGGTGTGTTGGAGACGGTGCGATTGGCACAGGACAGAGCAGAGTTTAGGGATGTTGTCCATAGGGTCACTATGAGTCGCAAGCTCCTCGATGGCACATAACAACAACAACAACACTACACCATCCTTCTTAGCCAACTTCATATTAATGCTGCTGATTTTGGTGTTGCTTCCCTCCCTTGGCAGTTAGCAACCTTTGAAGAAGGTTAGAGTCTTCTCACTACTTCCTCACAAAAGAGGTTTCACATCTGAGCTAAGGAGAGTAAGACCACAACACAACCACATGATTGTAAAGAAATGTCTTTTGAATAAAATAATTATTGTGTTTCTTATTGTAGGTAGATAATACGTACTCATTTTCTGCCATGCCAGTTTTTGTTGTTGTTTTTGGGTTTTGTGGTTATTAGTGACAAATTGGACAATTAAACAGATGAATTCTTTTTAAACCAATAGTAAGAACCTGGGAGGTATGTGCTTTGGTTTATAATAGAATGCATTTCAGACTGGTAGATACATTGCATTTGGAAAAGAAATAGCATTAAAGATGTTAACGTTTTTTTCTAGTATCTGTAAAATTGTTATCCTGTGCCATTTATCCCAGCAAGGCAAAGTATAATTAAAGTAAAATAATAAAAGCATTCAACTGAAATGTATCAGGCAAAGATTTTTACAACAAAATTTTCATTTTCTTTTTTTTAAAAACTAGATGAATTTGTGGTTCCTCTGGATCCCCGGTGGAATATGCAGATGTTGGACATCCTTAGAAATTCCATGGACTTTGACCCACAGATGGACCAGTCTGAGCAGCTCTTTGCCATTTTAGAATCTATTGCAAACAGGTAGGTAAAGTGAGCTGCTCTGGAAGGCAGCTATGCTCACCACTATACCACCAACGCTAGTGAGCTGCTCTGAGTTCTCTTTACTTCATTTCAGCATTGTAGGTTACACCTTTCAAAAGGTAGTGTTAAAAAAAAAGCCCATGTGTGCAAACCTGAGAAGCAGTGAGATGCCAGATGGGACAGTCTTCACACTACTTTTCTCTTAGCTGCACTTAGTGAAATAATTCTGTGATGGCAAAAACCCTCCAGATATTACAGAGGCTTACTACTTTAATAGGGTACAGAAAATAGAGAAACTAGTTATATTATGAATTGTTGGATTTTTTACTTACTCCTATGTCTTTATCAGAAAATAGTCTATTGTGCTTCCTAGCAGCCCCGTCCACTTTTCCCTGTTCGTTCTCATGCATATCTTTCCTAGCCATCTGTCTCTTGTTATTTTCCATTCTCAAATGTTCAGGTTGGCAATATACATAGCACTCACATACTTAATAGATAATCCTAAACAAACCCACTGATTGTGAGATTTTTAAGGCTATAAATCTTCATAAGAAGAGACTTCCCCACTTTCTCCTATGAAGAGACTGACTGATAGATGTTTTTAAACTGTTAACCATTTGTTTAGAAGCCCGGTATTTTATGCGTTATACCACCAGACTTCTTTATACTTAAATATGCACCTGCATAAAAATTTACATAATTACCATTTAGAAACTTCTCCCATTCTTTTACTGTAATGACCAGTAGTATTTTTAATTGGCCATCAGTGAAAATGATTTGGGGTGAAGAGGCTAAAAACAAGCTTTTTATTGAATAATATACTTATAGGTAAATGCACTAATGATAAGTATGTGAGTTTGATGGACTTTTTAAGAGTTCACAGTATAGTTTGTTAGATCATGGCAACAGGACTTGGCAGTTCCTCCAGACCTCCTAAGCCCCTTTCCTCCCAGTAATAGCTGTCATCACTTTCATGTATATACATCTGCTTATAGCTAAGGAAAGATATGCATGGGAATGAACAGGGGAAAAGGGGCAACTGGGAAGCGCAATAGACTATTTTCTGAAAAGACGTAAAAGAGTAAGTAAAAATCCGACAACATGTGATTGAGAAGTAGTAGAGGCAGGGTAGAGCTGACAGAATGGAGTTGATGTTCCAAGGGTTCCCAGAATTCAGTAGGTAGGAGAGATTATGAAAAATAGTACTTACTAGTAATTATTTATTGCACTATTTCCTTCTAGGACAATGATATATCTTGACCGGGAAAAACGGATTTTTACAGAAGCAAATTTGAATTCTGTTGGTAGCAAAAAGTTAAGGAATAGTGTTTTGAGAATGTCCTTTGAATTCCATAAAGGTAAGATCATTTACCTTTTTTATTAAATATCTGTGAAACTTGCTAAAGTGAGAGACTTATTTACAAGCTGCTGCTGTTTTCTGATCTCTTTTTAATTGCTTGGCATGATCTTGACCAAGTTCCTTTAATAATAATGACTGAACTTTGCTGGGCACGTCATATCTGCTAAATACTTATTTAATATTAGTTTTACATGCTCTTGATCTCATTTACTTTAAAAAATATTTTATTGTCTTTTTTAGTGAAAGCATATGTAACAAGATAGGCTTTCTTTCAAAAATTCATGATCTTAGTGTTCATTGACAGTGGTTACACTCTTTGTATTATGTCGCTGTTTTCCCTCAATTTCTCATCTATGCTTTAGAATAATTGCTGTCCATTTGGTCTCCTAGAGATAATTTTTTTTTTAATTAAGAGCCAGTATTTTAAAAAGTGACATTCTTTTAGAATTAAAAGATTATAATTAGAATTAAAAGATTATAAAATTACTTTAAAAAGTGACTTCAAGATATAGTTCTTATTCAAAATTTAAAAAATATGTCAAGGCTATAGTCTCTGGAATTTCTCTAGGCTCAGGTGGTCCAGGTTACTTGGATTCTTTAAAAAGGTGAAGTTTTGTTGACAATTTTTCACCTTCTCTTTAGGCAGTTTTCTTCTATTCTGACTCTGATCAGAAACAGCTGATAGTGGTAGCTGGACGCTATGTAGTTCTTAACTCAGGGTAGAGGAAGCCATAGTTTATAGCAACAATTAGTGTAGCCTGGTTCCTTCTCTGATTCTTTGATGTCATCCGCCCCCCCCCCCAATTCTGTAAGGTGGTGGAAATACGGCCCCCATGTTATGAATGAATAAAGAATGGGACAGAGATGCTCATAATTACTTCTCTGGCAACTAGGAGAGCTAGAACTTAAAAATTTAGGTTTGTTGGCTAGAGAAAGTATACACCATTAGCATTCATATATGTTCTCCCTCCTTTCTGTATTTTTTTTTACATGAAAAGAGTTAATTATACTTGATGTAAAAATTTCAAGCTGTGTAGAAATGAAAAAATGGGGAAAATTCCCCCTTGGCAGCAGCAACTAGTTTGTAATTGTTATTGTTATATACTGGCAAGTTGAAACTGATTTCCTCCTGACTTCCCAGGAAGTTTACAGATACAGGAAATTGCACAGGTGCAAGGATACAGGAAATTGTCAAGGGTGAGGGAGGCAGAGATGGCCCGTCTTTCTTTCACAGAGCGCTTGCTGGGTTCAAATTGTGTGCCTTTGAATTGGCAGCACAGTTTCTTACCACTAAGCCATCAGAACTCCCTCCACAGTTTGTAGTCGTTGTATTTAATATTTTCTCATCTCTCAGTTGTATCTGTTATGTATTCATCAAGACATATCTATGCACTTAAAGTTTGCTTTATATTTAAACAGATTCTTATATAAAAATATATGTATATTATTGCTCTAATTTACAGTTTGCTTTGAAACATTACAAATATTTATAGATGCACTAAGTTTAATAATTGATAAATAATTGACTTAATTTTATTGCCGAAGAGAGCAAAATAGAAATTAACTTTTGTTTTAAGGACATATTATTTCTATTTATTTCAAAGATCACAAAGATTAATGGAATTTTTTTTTATTCCACTCTTAGATCCAGAAAGTTATCAAAGCCTGCCCCATGAAATTGTGGTCAATCTTGCTGCTTTTTTTGAGCTTTGTGATGCACTAATTCTACGCTGGGTACAGTCATCCCAGGGGACGGTGTCTGATGCCCTTTTCAATGAGGTGAGGAAATACATTGGCTTTTATTTTTGTTTGTAGTTACACCATTTGATTTCCAACAAAGATCCATAAATTCAGTGTTGTTATTCTGTGTTCAATATTATTTGAAATGCTTAACTACAGTTATTTTTGGGTTTTTTTTAATTATTAAATTTTATTAGTTTTAATGAACATTTACAGAGATTTTGGGTTTTCATTCATTCATTGTTGCACTGTTTTCTCCACCCTCCTCCCCAGTTCATTCTTCTTCCCCCCCCCAATGTCTGTTTTAATTGTCCAATTGCCACAGTGCTTGTCAAAGCCAGTTCTGATTAATCTCCTTTGTCATTGTGTCCCTTGCCATTCCCTATCACTCCTCCCTGAGAGAGACTTCACCCTGATTCATAAGGAAAAGGCGATGGCGTATTCTCTTAGCTACTTCCTGCTGAAAAGGGACGCTGTGCGTTTCAGGGTGAATGTCTTCTCTCACTACTCTAAAGGACCCCCTTGGCAGTAGGAAACACATAGACTATTATGGAGATTGATTTTGGAATTTAGATGCACTGTTATCAGTTGTGCTTAGCTGTACATGTTCATATCCTTGAAGATGTATCAGGTAAGTGTTGCAGCCTAGAAGATACAAATTTAACTAACAAGTTAAAAGTGCATGAGTCAAAAATTGAAAAGCAATAATATTCTGAGTAGAGGTTCTAATAGTGGCACAAATCAAGTTACAGAGGTAAGGTGGTTCCATTGCCATCCTTACTCTAACTTAATTCTTTTTTTTTATTTAAATTTGTTATTAATTTCAGTGAAAATTTACAGAGGCTTTGGATTTCCATTCATTCATTGTTATAGATTTAACTATAGTTTTAATTACACACTTATTTAAAGCTTTATTAAAGTATGACTAATATATAAGAAACTGAACCTATTTGACAAGTGACACACACACTCAACACAAACCTGTAAAGCTGTTTGCTTCATACAGCAAACATATTCATCGACCCTAAAACTTACTTTATCCTTTTTGTTTTCTTTCTCTTACCTCAACCAGATAGACATTGCTCTAGCTTCTGTTTCTGTAAATCAGTTGTCACTTTTACCAATGTTGTTGTTGTTGTTATGTGCCGCCGAGTCGCTTGCGACTCATAGCGACCCTATGTACAATAGCCCTAAACTCTGCTCTGTCCTGTGCCAATTGCACTGTCTCTGACACTCCCATCCCAATTAGCCCAGTCACTGAATCAGTCCACCTCATAGAGGGCCTTCCTCTCCTGTGCTGTGCAAGGTTGTGTCACCTGCGTAATGCAGGTTGTTGACAATTCTTCCACCAATCTTGATGCCACATTCCTCCTCATACAGCCCAGCATCTCGGATGATCTGTTCTGCATACAGATTGAAAAGGTATGGAGACAAAATTCATCCCTGACCGACCCCTTTCTTGATTTTGAACCATGCAGTGTCTCCCTGCTCTGTTCTGACGACTACCTCTTGGTCCAAGTATAGGTTTCGCATTAGCATGATCAAATGTTCTGGGAATCCCATTCTTCTCGGAGTCAGCCATACCTTGTTGTGATCCACACAGTCAAAAGCCTTTGCATAGTCAATGAAGCACATCTAGGCATTCTTCTGGTATTCTTTGCTTTCTGCCATGATCCATGTAACATTAGCTATAATATTCCTAGTACCACGACCTCTTCTAAATCCAGCCTACTCCTCTGGCAGGTCTCTGTTGACATACTGTTCCAAATGTTTTTGGATAATTTTCAGTAGAATCTTGCTTGCATGTGATATCAGTGATATTGTTCGATAATTTCCATACACTGTTGAGTCACCTTTCTTTGGAATGGGGATAAATATTGATCTCTTCCAGTCCGTTGGCCAGCTGGCTGTCCTCCAGATTTCCTGGCACAACTCAGTGAGCACATCCAGGGCAGCGTCTTTTTGTTGAAATAAATCAATTGGTATGCTGTCAACTCCTGGAGCCTTGTTTTTTGCCAATTCCTTCCGAGCAACTTGAACTTTCTCTTTCATCACCATAGGCGCTTGCTCATATGTTATTTCATACAATTCCTCTGTCAGCCAACTCCTTCTGATACAGTGACTCTGTGTACTCCTTCCATCTTCTTGTGATACTTCCTGGATCATTTAACATTCTACCCAAATTATCTTTAATTTTTGCCACCCGTGGCTTGAATTTGTTTTTCAACTCCTTCAGCTTAAGAAATGCTGAACGAGTCCTGCCTTTTTGATTTTCTGACTCCAGCTCTCTGCACATTTCATTACAGTATCTTGCTTTGTCGTCCCAAGCTGCCTTTTGAAATTTTCTGTTCAGCTTTTTGATTTCTTCCTTTAGCTTTGGCTTCTTGGCACTCTAATGCAACACTCAGTCTCATCTGACATCCATCTTGGTCTTTTCTTCTTCAGCCTTTGTAATGATCTTTTGCATTCTTCATGGACGATTTTCTTGATACCCTCCCAGAGCTCATTTGGTCTACGCTCATCAGTGCTCAAGGCCTCAAATGTGTTCCTGAGATGGTTTTGAAATTCGAGTGGGACAAACTTAAGGGTCAAATCTTAGTTCCTGTGGACATTTGTAATTATTAAAGATTACAAAGAGATTTTATTTTTGTGATTTTATTTATTAATGTGAATTTATTTATAATAACCAAAACACAAGCCCACTGCCATTGAGTCAATTATGGCTTATACCATATCTCCAAGTTTCCATAGCTATAAATTATTCCAAGACTACTCATCTTTCTCTTGCAGAATGGCCGATAAACTCTAATTGCTTTCCTTTTAGTTAGCAATGCTGGTGGTTACACACTGTCCTATCAGGACTCCTGTTACATAGTTTGATCCTATTACAGTTAAAATAGAGAAGTTAAGTTTTAGTAATGCAACCACAGACTCACTTTATTTTAATATGAATAATATTTTTAATAAAAATGACTTTTTTAAAACAAATTAGTGAGAACAGTGGCACTGCACTGTTTGGTTTTTTTTTTTAAAGATCTCTTTAATGTATAACTTAGCAGAAGAAAACAAGTTCTTTATTTTGTCTCATGCAATAGTTTGTAAAGAAAATCTGGCCTTGCATACTTATATTGTATTAAAATTTTATATAATTGTGAAAGTGTTCTTTGATACTCTACACAGATCAGTAAATGCTAAAAAGCTACTGCTGTCACTAACTTGTCAAGTGTGAAAGTTTATCTGTCTAGGTTGCATTTGGGTAAAGTTTCACCTTTTAATGCATTTGTAATTCATAATAATTTTTAAAATATTGTTCACTTCGGGGTTTTTTGTTTGTTTGTGTTTTAATTTATTTTATTATTTTTTGTGCATGTACCATCAAATAAGTCTGACTGGTACAGAAGGAGATTGTCCTTCCTTCCCCAGCAGAGCATCTGGTGGATTCAAACCACGCTCCTCTCGGATTACAGTGCAGCTTCTTGTCACTAGGTCACCAGAGTTCCCTAATATTGTTCACTTTGTTTTAAAATATTTCACATGTTGACACATGACCTTTTTCAATACTAAAAAGACATACTTGTATAAAATTAACCATGAACAGCCAGAGGAAAAATACTGGAGTTGTCAGCTTTTAGTTTTTCCAATAGCGTATGTTTGCTTGAAAGTTCATTTTATTATAGTTTATATTCTCCATTGTTTTCTTGAAGAAGCAGGTTTACTTCTGTAATTTCCAATTATATTGATACTATCTGACAGATATTCTTTTACAGTTTGACTCACAAACCTTTGCTTGTACCATAAATGCAAACATTAGCACAGTGAAATGGCAAAATCACATCATAATATTATGATAATAGCTATGATCTCATGGAAATTCATGTAGGAGCCACTAACGTCAAGAGTGCAGTAAAAGTTTAGGAAAAGCAATCAAGACAGTGTGGTTATATCATAAGGAAAACACGGAGAGTTCAGGCATAGCTCTTTACTTGTCAAATTTGCAAAAGTAATTTAATGTGGTGAAATAGTTTCTTTAACAAACAGTGCTGGTACAATCAAGTGTCTGCTTAAAGTAAAAATGAACCTTTGTATCATACATAATGCTAAACTAAAATGAATCATAGCTAAAATTGCACACCATCTACAAGAAACAAAAGAGAAAAGCCTTAAGCTAAAGATATAAAAAAAATTAAAACTCTTTCTTAAAGAAAAATTTGATAATTGAGACAATATCAAAATGAAATATTTCTGTTCTGCAAGAAAGTACATCTTCAGGAAAGTGAAAACACAAAACATATAAATTTTATAAACTACTACTAATAAGACAAAATAACTCAGTTAAAAATGACAAAGAAATTTTAATAGATGCTTTGTTGTTATGTACTGTCAGGTTGCCTGCGACTCATAGCGACCCTATATACAATAGCTCTGAACCCTGCCCTATCCTGAGTCATCCTTATTGTCTTTGACACACCTACCCCCCATTACTCCAGTCACTGAGTCAATCTATCTCCTCCAGGGTCTTCCTCTCTTGTGCTGTCCCTCTATCCTCCCAAGCATAATGTCCCTCTCAAGGGACTGGTCTCTCCTTGCAACATGCCCCAAAATATGTCAGATAGAGCTTCAGAATCCTGGCATCCAAGGAGCAGCCTGGTTTCACCCTCTCTAGGGCAAATCTATTTGTTCACTTAGCAGTCCATGGTATATGTAGTGCTCTTCTTCAGCACCACAGCTCAGTTTTCCTTCATTCATCCCTAGTCACTGTCCAGCTTTCATATGCATAGCACGTAATTGTGAAGACCTTGGCCTGAAATAGATTCTTTATGGAAGATATATGAATGTCCAGTAAGAACGTGAAAAAATACAGCATTAATCAAGGAAATGCCAGTTGAATCCATAGTGTGGTACTACTGTCCAATGTTGTTGTGTGCCTTTGAATTGGAACCAACCCATAATTGATCATCCAGCAAGTTTTCAGAGGTAGTAAATTGCACGGAGGTTGCCCATTTTTCTCCCACAGAGCATCTAGTGGATTTCAACTGTGTGCTTTTGGAATTACAGTGCAACTTCTTACCACTAGGCCACCAGAGCTCTCTACTAGAATAATTAAAATGGGAAAGCAAGCAGTAGCAATAATGGAGCTCATGTGGTGTCATCCATAGAGAGTTGTAATGGTATCCTAAAGGTGGTGCTTCCAAACTATTCCAGTGTGATTTACAACTTCTGTTAGTGGCTCAATGTCTTTCACTGGGAGATATTTTGAGCAGCTTTGGTTTGCTTTGTTTTCAGATTCTGGGTTCTGTGCGATGGCGGGACCGGCTTTGGACTGTGGCTGACACAGTAAAAGTGGATGTTCCAGGCTTGGCCCTGCTTGCCCTTCATTGGCACTGGGTTTCGAAACATTTGATACATCAGATTCCTCAACTCCTCAGGAATCATGAAGACAAGTAAGACTCTAATTTACATTAATAGTCTCATTATCTGCAGTATTGACAATGTTAGAAGAAGGTTTGGAGCTATACCTGTTTTTCTTGCTTAAACCGGTTTATTCCTGAGTGATATTGGTGACTGTAAATAAAATATAAAAAGCTTCTACTACTATTTACAATTTTGTTTACTTCTACCTCTTTTCCTCTTCTTTGCAGATACTATAAGGAGGTTCAGACTGTTTCAGAACATATTCAGAATTGCTTGGAGAGTCCCACTGGTGGTTTTACTGGTATAAAAAAGCTGCAGAAATTTCTGGGACGACCATATCCTTTTAAGGTACAATTAGAAACATCAAGTAAATATAAAGATTTCACCTTGCTTGCCAGGTTGTCCTGGAACTCCATAGCTAACTTTTAGCTGGAAGCATTACTTTTTTTTCCTGAGACTGTTATATATGTTGTTTATGTTTCACCTTTATGAATGTAAAACCCTAGAGCAAGAGGAGTATACAAACTCAGTTTTCTGGATGCAGTGTAGGAATGTATTAGATTTCTTCTCAAACATGTATAAAAAGAATCATATTTCTTTTTTTTAAAAATAGCATTCAGTTTATTACAGATATTTAGTATTGGCTTCCCATATTTCCCCCCTTTTGTTTTTATCATAATTATCATCTAGATGATCATAAGAAACTTACTTATATAGTATGCTTACCTGGGTTTTACTGTTTCAGAACGAGCTGGTGGTTGAGTGTTTTTCACAACTGAACGTGCTTAGCAGAGCTCTTGCCATTAAAGAGCGGATGCCTTCCCTTGGAGAGAGTGGATGGCCGGAAGACATTAGTCGCCTGCAAGTGCTTGCTTCTGAGTGGACATTAAAGAAAAGTCTTCTTCAATCCTGGGGATTGGTTCTCAGAGCTAATATCATGCAAACTGTCAACCCAGGTAATACGTTCTAGAGTTTGGCCACTACTTTGTGGGTGATTTCTACCCTGTGACAGTGTTTTCCGTAGTTTAAAAAAAAAGTTGGAGAGCTGTACTACATATAACTATAACAAGCAGACGCCAGACTCAGGGCTATAGGTTATATATCTTGCTTAACGTGTTAGAATTCCACAGATATTACTACCACCATTTGAAAGATGAGAAAGCTAACACTCAGGTTAAGCAGCTTGCCTACATTCACTTAGCTGGGTGTTGGAAATCTCTTGCCCACCATGCTATGATGCATTTTGTCTTTTTGTCTAGATGAATTAAAGAATATTGTGAATGCTCAGTGTTTAGAATTAAAAGCCAAAGGAATTTCACTCAGTTTCCCAGAGAAAAAGCACAGTGAAGCTACCTCCTATTCTCAGCCAACCATAATCCACCTCGTCAGGAGTGTCCAAGTGTGGCCCGCAATGGAGTACCTGGCTCTGCTTTGGCAGTACAAACTGACAGCTGATTTCATGACACAGGCTTATCTGAGAAGGTAAGCTACCCACATTTTTCCTTAGGAACCCATTTGCTTATTACATTATTTAGTATATACTATCTCAGTACACAAAGCAGAGGCTTATCTTGAGGGAGAATGCTTAACTGTGGAGGGTATCAGTCAGTTGCTATTTTGAAAGGCTAAAAATTCTTAGAGTTTTTGCTTCTTTTTGACTCCACCTTTGAAAATCATTAAGTCCACTTCCTTTTAGTGGAGTTGCTTGTATTCAGATGAATACACTTTTAAGTTCCATGGGAAGCAGTTAGTTCTCTAGCACTTCATGAACAACTCATCCTTTTCCCTCCTTATTTAGGTCTGGCAAAACTCAACAACCCTCCATAGATGAGGAGATAAAGCAACATATCACATTTTGTCTTAAGTATACACCAGTTGCTCCTCATGAACTGCGAGACCTTTGGTCCACGCTGCACCATCAGCAGGTAAAATCAAAAAGGGGAATAAATATCCTTTCTATTTTATGTCAATATTTTCTGTGGTAGATTTAAGGCAGAAACTAGCCTTTTTTTTAAAATTTCTGGATCCTATGTTACAAACTCTAGTTTTATATGAAAGATCTTATAAAGGAAGAATTTTGAATATTGTTTTTTATAATAATTATATGAGTACATTAGAACTCTATCACAAAATCATTGTGCTTGGTTTCTAGTTAGAGGAAGCTAACAAGTGTGTTTCCTGCTTAATTAATAAAGCATTGTGAGAGTGTTTTAAATCTCTGTTGTTTTTTTGTGTACCATCAAATCCAGACTCACCCATAGCTGACCCCCCAGTGGGTTTTCAGAGACAGTAAGCCCTATGGGAGTTGATTAGCCCATCTCTTTCCTGTGGAGCAACTGGTGGATTTGAACCATGTACCTTTGAATTGACAGCACAATTTTTTTTATATATAAATTTTTTTAAAATTTTTATTATTTTGTATATGTGTACTGTCAAATCAGATCTGACTAGTACAGGAGGAGATTTTTCCTCGTTCTCCAGCAGAGCATCTGGTGGATTCGAATCGCGTACCTCTAGTATTGCAGTGCAGCTTCTTGCCACTAGGCCACCAGAGCTCGCTGACAGCACAATTTTTTACCACTAAGCCTAATTAATGATTCCAGTAATCTCTGGCTAATACAGTTTCATCTTAAGTACAACCTTGAATTTTTTTTTAATAATTTTTTTATTTTAATTGTGATTTTAATGTGTTTACAGAAAAGTTAGATTTCCTTCATTCATTGTTGTTCATTTTACCCCTACTCCCTCCCTTTCCCCCCCAGTTCACTTTTTAAAATAAATACTCAATTCTTGTTACACAGTTACCTTTCCCCTGCCCCAGTCCTCTTTGTAATGTACCTCTTACTCTGTTCTGTTTTCGTACATATAATGCCTAATCACATATTCAAAGGTATCACATATTCCTTTTAAGCACTTCTTTTCTTCATCTGTTCCAATGCAATGTTCATTGTCTATCCACTCTTATTCTCGCAATGCCCCATGGGAGACCTGCTTAATAACAGTGGTGCTATGCACTACTTGTCCTTTTGTAACTGAGATATTTTACTTAACATAATATCCTCCAGGGTCACCCATGTTGTATAATGTTTTATGAGTTCATAGTTTTTCAGTGCTGTATAGTATTCCATTGTAGGAATATACCACAATTTTTTCTATCCATTCATTTTGTTGATGGGCACTTAGCTTGCTTCCATCACTGCTATTGTAAATAATGTAGCAATAACCATGAGTGTGCATGTATCTATTTGGATGGCACTTTTGGTTTCTTTAGGGTATATTCCCAGTAGTGGCATTGCTTCATCAAATGGTATTTGTATTTCCAAGTTTTTAGAAAGCACCAAACTGTCTTCCATAGTGATTGCACCATTTAACACTTTCACAGCCAGCAGTGAATAAGAGTTCTAATCTCTCCACAACCTTACCAGCATTTATTGTTTACTGCTCTGTTGAACTTTGCTATGTTGCTGGAGTGAGATGATATCTCATGGTAGTTTTTATTTGCATCTCTCTGATAGCTACAGATTTTGAACATTTCTTCATGTGTGTGACAGAATTAGGGAAATGGGCTTAATATCCTTAAATCCCAGATTAGTTTTAGGGGCCTCTTGTAAATATAGAAGTCTGATACATTCACTTAAGAACTCTTTCTCAAATATACTCTTACCTAATTGTTTCTTTAGGTGTCCACTGAAGAGATTATTTCTTTATGGTCTGGGCTGTTTGCTTCCACATTTATGTCTTTCTGGAGCAGTACTGTGACAACAAATCCCGAATACTGGCTAACTTGGAGCCCTCTGCCTTATGCACAACAGAGGGAAATGCCCAAGCCCCTTCTGGACTCTACACTGAAGGTTGGTATGCATAAAATTATAAAAATATTTGGTAATATAAAATGAAGACCTAACAAATCTCTCAAGGAAGCCAGCAAAACATGTTTATGCTAAGGATACAGCAGGGATTGAGTATGTTTAGTACTTTATTTTTTTGTTGTTGTTGTTATTAACAGGTTTTAATGTGTTTAATTCAGTGGACAGATACTTATTTAATGCCTGTTTGTTTTGGTTTTGGTTTTTTTCATACTTTATTTTGTACAGGATGTTAGTATGTCTGTTAGTATGTCTGTCTTCAAAAGAAAGAATTTCATCTGAAATTATTTGGGAAATTTTGAGTTAAAGTTTAAAATATTTCCTTTAAAAAACTTAATTTTTTATATTATACATATTTAGAAAATATTCAAACCTTAAAACCTCTGTGTATGTGTAATTGAATTATCCATAAATAACCATTCTGTGCTCTGTATCCTTCTTTAAATGTTGAGTTTTGTAGATTGGTTTTTTTCTCCTGTCTCCCCACTTTATTTTTCTTTTATATTGATTTCCATACAAAATTCATGTGCATTGTAGATCATTCATGTACATTGTGTTTCACACATTCATACCACTCATATGTTTTTTAATTTTTCCATGTTTTTACATTAAATATATACTCATTTTAAAAGTGATTGGAAAACTAGCTGCAGAAAAAAAAAATCTACACTTAACTTTGTACGCAAAAACCATCTCAAAGTGGCTCAAGGGCCTAGGACTAAAACCAGTGACTATAAACTTCATTTGGGAAAAGCTTGGAAGAACTCTCGAAGTCCTAACCCACAACATAAGCAGACTTCCAAGCATCCTGTAAAACCTTCAACCAGGAGAGGATAAAATAGATAACTGGGACCTTCTAAGAATCAAATCCCTATGCACATCCAAAAACTTTTCCAACAGGGTAATAAAGGGAAGCCACAGACTAGGAAAAAATATTTGGCAATGACATGTTTGATGAGGGACTTATATCTAGAATTTATAGAATACTTGAGCGCCACAACCAGATAAAGTTAAACAACCCAATTGAAAAATGGGCACAGGATATAAACAGACACTTCACCAAAGAAGACATTCAGATGACAGAAACACATGAAGAAATGTTCAAAATCCCTAGCTCCAAGAGAGATCGAAATCAAAACAACTGTGAGATATCTCACCCCAGTAAGAATAGCAAAATTAAGCAGAGCAGCAAACAAATGCTGGCGAGGTTGTGGAGAAACTGGACCCCTTATTCACTGTTGGTGGGAGTGTAAAATGGTGCAACCACTGTGGAAGGCAGTATGATGCTTTCTCAAAAAGGTGCAAATAGAGATACCATTTGACCCAGCAATTCCACTACTGGGAATATACCCTAAAGAAACCAGAACTGCCACTCAAGCAGATATATGCACACCCATGTTTATTGCTGCTTTGTTCACAATAGCAAAGAGTTGGAAACAACCCAAGTGCCCATCAACAAATGAATGGATAGAGAAGCTGTGGTATGGTCAAACAATTGAATACCATGCTACATTGAAAAACAAGGAACTAATGAAATATTATTCCAAATGGATGACCCTGAAGGACATTATGCTGAGTGAAATATCTCAGTCACAAAAGGACAAATACTACATAGAGCCTCTGTTGTAAAACGGGGCTAACATCAAGGTTGGGAAGAACCAAAGGAAAAAGGGGATAAATAATGTATACTGCACTGAAACAGATGAGGGAGAGAACTGTTTAAAAGGAATATATGATTAGATATTATTTTTATTAGATATTATTTCCAGAAAAAGTGATTTCTTTCTTTGTTCACATTTAACATATTTTTGTCCTCTATCCATCGTTCTGATTCATAAAGACTAATAGAGCCCCTGACATGATTGCCAATCTGTCAGAGCAGTTAGTCTCATTTTTTTTAAAAAAAGATTTCTTTATAAAGTTTAAATACGTTGTTTTTCACAAAAGATCCTTCCTATATCCTTCACCCCACCCACCCATAGTCTTGTCTTTTCTATGACTTTTATTCTACATTTTTCTGCTACTCTGTCCAAGACCCTCTATTAGGATCCTAGTCAGAACTGGGAGTAGCAGCTGGGCACCGTTTAGTTTTCTGGTGACGTGCTAGTGGAAGCTGTGGTTCACATGGGCCAGTAGTCCTATGGGCTAATGGTTTTCTTCAGGTTTTATTATCTTTTTTCTTCTTTTATATGGACAGCGAGGGACTAAGTTAAATATTGCTCTATCAAAATTTATTTCTTTCAAAGAGAGAAGTGAACTAGGGGGGAGGACTGGGCCAGGAGAAAAGTGCAACAGTGAATGAAAGGAAATCCAAAATCCCTGTAAATAGTCATTCAAATTAATAAAATAAAATAAAAAATATATTTATTCAAAAACATACTATTTATAAACAAACTTTAAATCCCCATCAGCTGCCTAGCATAGGTAGTATTTCCCATATATATCTGACCACCTAACTCTGTTGTAGACACTAGTCCAGGTAGCACCTATTTCATACATTTGACATTTGGCTTTTACATTTATCTTTTAACTCCTCTATCACTAAGTCTCATTTTCCTGCAGAGTACCCTACATTCAAACTTTAGGAATGACTAGATTTATCTGAATTACAAAAGCACCTTGTTGTGCCTCATTTCTTAGAGAATGGAGTTCACTTTCTTTTTGGGCCTATTAATACCTAACTTTAGTTTGCCCTTAAACTCTTAACCTATATCTGATTGTTGCCCATTTCTGGAAACTTTAGTCTTTCTGTCCTTTATCTAAAATGCCTCTGATGCTTCTTGTTGAATACTAGTTTTTAAATGACTTGACTCGTCTCTTATCCCCTAGGGCCCGGGCAGTCTTGGCAGAGCCATGTTCTCTAAATGCTGCTTTGAAATCTTGACCAGCAGCTGCAGAGCAAGTCCCTGGGATGTAAATGGTCTACCTATCCTGTCCTCCTCACATGTGACCTTGGGAGAGTGGGCTGAGAGAACCCAGCAACTACAGGATGTCAATTTGATGCTTTGGACCAACATGGCTATCCCTTCAGTAGCAGAGTTCAGGTATCCTTTTGCTCCCAGGAGTATACCTTAAAGCTTCTTTTTTTTTGCAGTAAAGTTTTCATTAAAGATCCTCACTCAGAATTTGCCTCTGTAGTGGCTACCTTTTCTGGGTAAAGGCAAGGATATTTCTACACAAGAGAAAAATTACTTAAGGTTACGTGGTAACTGAAACCCACATCCAAGAACTATCATTGTATTCAGTCATTTGATTTTCTGAAAGAGTGCTCTTGTAGGAAGAAATGCTGTATGTTATCAGAGTAAGTCCTTGAGTGCTTCTCTGTTGTCTCCACAGACGCACGGATTCCCACCTCCAGGGTGTGGTGCTGTGCCGGCATCTGGCAGGCCTGGCTGAGCTGCTTCCAGAGCCCCAGCGGAGGGAGTACATGCAGAACTGTGACCAACTGCTGCTTAGGGATAGCCAGGCCTTTCAACATGTGGGCCAGACTCTTGGTGACATGGCCAGTCAGGAGACACTGCCCAAAGAGTTGCTCTGCCTCTTGCTCACCTCTCTTCGCCAATTTTTTGGAGAAGGAGAGAGTAAGAGGAACCTGCCTGAGCCAGCCCACCGAGGGAGCCTCTGGGTAGGCCTTGGCTTGCTCCAGATTCAGACCTGGCTTCCCCAGGCACGCTTCGACCCTGCTGTAAAGAGAGAATACAAGCTCAAGTACGCCAAAGAAGAGGTAGGAAGATGAGAATTTGCAGTGTGAACTCCATCCTTGACTAACTGGAGTTGTTTCTTTTTTCTTTCCCTCCATTTTGGATACTCAGAGCATCAGAAAGTTTATTTTGTATATCCTGCTCTGTGACTTCCCCGAAGTTGGCTGTGGATTATGCATTTTCCTCTTTAAGAGTTCCTGTGAATAGATCCTCGCTCTTGGAGGGCCCTTTCTTGAGTTTCTGATGTCGGTCAGCAGGCTACATATGATGTAGGAAGACAAGTAAGGTGTATGCCTGAGGCAATGCCAGGGAAATAGTGATATTTCTCACTTTCCAGACTCCTGCTAGTTCAACTGAATTTTGGATATTTGGGTTTAGACTTTTAAAGATAGAATTACAGTATCTCTCATTTTTAAGTTTTTACTGTTTATCTAAAAGTCAGGTACAATTTAGATAATACATCCCTTGCTGTTTGAATTTCTGGCTAAACTTAGGAGTGGAATAACTGAAGGTAGTGATACACTAATTTTTTATTTTTGAGAAAAATATTTTATTAGACGTGGTAAAAAGCAAAAAAGTGCAAAAAAAATCACAAATAAGATAGCCATTTCTTTCTTTCACGTAATAGCTTTGAGGTGAATGGTCGAGGTTAATGGAGCAGAGCCACCTGCCCTTGTGGTCACTTTGGAACCAGGGTTCTTTCCATCTTTTTGCTCTACCGTCCCTCAGGGCATTGTCTTCATCTCAAAACTGGCTCACAGCAGACAAATTTCTTCCCTTTCCGTTAGTTACATCAGCTGCAGTGTGAGTGGAAGACCCGAAACCTCTCATCCCAGCTACAAACGGGACAAGACCTGGAAGATGAAGCCGTTATCACTTACTCTCATCCTCATGTCAAGTAAGACAACAGAGTTACTGTGTTCAGGGTTATTGACTCTTTCGTAAAAAGCCTTTTATAGTTAACTTCACAATAATGTTAGAAGAGGGAACATTATGCATCTTTGAACTGCATTAGCAATATATTCTTAAGCTGTGATTAAAGTTAAGAAAAGTACCTGATCTGTGAGAGGAAGAGAGTAGGTACTCATGTTATGGTTTCACATGGAACTACAGTGGTTCAAACTAGAGCTTATTCTCCGCATGGAAGAAGTTGGTACTGATAATGTGTCCTGTACTTTTTATTCTACCCTTCACTCTAGATCCGTTTCTTTAGTATAGAATATTTAATAATGTTTGCAGGGTAGTATCTTGTTCTCTGGTTCCTGGTCCTTGATTTTAGACCTTGAGCGGACCACTTACTGTCTTTAAGCTTATGTATCCATATCTGTAAAAGGAGAATAATAGCAATACCTTAAGTGAGTTATAGTGAGACTTCAGTGATGTTTTCACTAAAATGATTAGTAACATAGGTGCAACTTGTGATATTAGAACTTTTTCCATTTTTACTGTAATTGTCAGTATCATTATCACAACAGCTGCAAGAATATCCTTCGTTCTACTCTTCTAGCTTAGGGCCTATTCGAGATTTGCTGCTTTTCCTGTACAATATTTGCGTTTTGTGTTAACTTGCCTTTAGGTCACTCCACCAGAGAATTGATCAGCTGGAAAATCTGATCTGTAGCCTGTCTAAGAAGCAGGCCTGCAGACCTCAGGTGCCTACATATGAGTCCCTGGTGCAGGAGATCCACCACTACGTTACCAGCATTGCAAAGACCTCAGCTGTTCAGGATCTGCTCTCGAGGCTCCTGCAGGTGATCTACATGGATGGACCTCGATCTGCCCAGGTAGCACAAAACCTTCTGAAGGAGGAGGCCTCTTGGCAGCAGTCACACCACCAGTTTCGGAAGCGGCTGGTAGAGGAGTATGCCCTTTACCCAGATGCTGTGGCCCCGCTGCAGGCATCCATCCTGCAGATGCAGCATGGTATGAGGCTGGTGGCAGCACAGGTCCACGCCTCACTCCATAGCAGCATAGTCTCTGCGGACAGCCTGGGGGCCCTGGCCACATCACTGCTGGCTTTCCCATCAGTGGGCCCCACCTTCCCCACCTACTATGCTCATGCAGATGCTTTGTGCTCTGTGAAGTCAGAGGAGGTGCTGCGAGGCCTTGGGAAGCTGACCCTCAAGCGATCCAGTGGAAAGGAGCTAGAAAGTAAGAGCCAGAGGCCCTGTCCAACTCGGGAACAGCTGATGATGAATGCACTTCTCTACTTGCGTTCCCATGTGCTGTGCAAGGGAGAGCTGGACCAGAGGGCCCTGCAACTCTTCAGGCATTTGTGCCAGGTAAGTTGTCACCACAGGCCTGCCATGCCTTCATGCTAAAGGGTGCTGGGCACACCCATGACAGCCTGGGAAGTATAGACACCAAAGAGTATGTGATAAGGAAGAGGAAAATTGGTTGCCTGAGCTTTTCTTTTCCCCACCTTCCTGTCAGGTTTTTGGGTCTTAAAATCTGTTTTCGGAGGGGAGTTATTGTTCTTTTTTCTTTTAAAAATTAGTGATATCAGCCCTTCATCTCTAATATACAACATAAATATTTTCTCCAAGATCATGGTCTTTTGACTTACTTTATCGTGATTTGCCATATAATTTTTTAAATGTGTTAATCTGTTGGTATTAAAGAAAATAACTTTTCTTGTCTTTTCCATACTAGCAAAAAACAGTACGTAAACAAGAAAAAATATAAGTAAATAATTTTAGTAGTTATACTCTCTAAAACATATGCCAGTGTATAAAACTCTTTAGCTGTATTGATACATGATACTTTAAGATTGCTTATTCTTGTTTGATGTGTATGCTATCTGTAGATGCGAATGTAAATCATTTGCTCTAGTAGTTGACAAGTCTTTTTAGTTACAGAACCCTTACAAATTAAGAGTTACCCAATATTTAACAGATTAAACAACTCCTGTTGGAGTCTTCTCCTTGGTTCCAAAAACACATCCTTAAAATCCTAGAACTCTATGAAATGTACATCAAATCTGTACTGTTTTAGAACTTGCTTTTCAAAAGCTAACCATGTTTGTGAATCATCTTCTCATTATTACGTGTTCTTTACCTACATCGTACTTAAAGCTTGCCTAGTGTTTTGTTGAGGGAGAAAAAAGATGGGCATTCTCCTGCCTTGTAGTTACCCACTTCTGAAAACCCATTGGAGGGTCAACAAGGGGTCACACAACAATAACAACAGTGTTCTGTTTATATGAGCCTTTTAAACAATTTCTTCTCATAAGCCACTTAAACAGTTTTTTATGATAGAATATTCATATGTAATTTTTTGCAATCCTTGTGGGAAAAAACCCAATCCACCACAACAGGGAATATTCTTAGATAACATATTCTAGAAAGAATAATTGATAGGATAAAACGTATACACTTTTTTTGGCTTGTAATATCTTTGTTGTTGTTGATTGCCTTTGAGTCGCGTACAACTTGTAGTGACTCTATGAACAAAAAACCTAATGTGTTTCCATAACTATCATTGTTTCTCCAAGTTTATAGAGTTTCCATAGGCATGTGCTTTAGGAAGAAGATGCCATTACCTTTGTGAATATTGAATGCTCATTTCCACGGTCCTCATCTATACTGAATTTAATAAAATCATCCGTTACCAATAAGTCAGTTCTAACTTCCATTGACCCATTAGGATGGAGTAGAACTGCCTTGGAAGGTTTCCTAGGCTGCGGTCTTTACAGAAGCAGACTGCCTGGTGTTTCTGCCATGGAGTCAAACTCTTTGTTTAGCAGCCAAACACTTAACCAACTGTGCCTCCAGGACTCTCTCAGTACTGATTTTTTTAGTTCCTAGTTTTTTCCAATTTAAGGACTGTAAGGTTGCCAAGGAAGGACAGAACCCTGTGCAGGCAGAGAAAGATAACTTATTGAGGAGAAACTGCTGGGCTGGCTCCCAAGCAGAAGACTAACCCCTACGAAGAATTAGAGGGGGATTTTATACTGGGAAAAGGTATGCTTACAGCTAGGGAAGTGGGCTGGGGTCTCAGATAACTATTCCTGGGAAAATGGGATAGGGTAGTTTCACAGAAAGAAAAAGTGTGACTGCTGTTTACTGGATTCTCTCAGTATCCATTCTGGGAGAGAAAGAAGAGGGCTCTGAAGTCCTAATAAGGACCTTATGCTATGCATGTAGGGGATTTAGGAATTCCTCAGACTATGGGTATAATCCAGTTTTCCCTGGCTCACGAATGCCATTTGACTCCCAGGTCCAGGTTTTCTTTCCTGACTCCATAGGCCAGTTTCTTGAAGTACTGGCTAAGTGCGGTCTGCACCATAGTGCTCACAATGCAAACTGGGATTGTCCTTAGTACAAAATGCAGTTGGTTTTTGCTGTTGCATGCAGGTCTTTGCACCTGTGAGATTTTTATATCACAGCAAGAAGAAAATTTAGGGAACTCAGGTTAGGGGATGCTCTGGTGGCTTAGTGGTAAGGAGTTGTACTGCCAACCCAGAGGCACTGGTTTGAATCCACCAGCTGCTCCACTAGAGGGTTCTCTATGAGTCAGTTCCAACAGTACATAACAACAGCTTTGCCTTAGAATCAGCTTGAAAACAATTGCTCTCCATTAAATGGAAAGTACTTTCATGTATGTATATTTTTAACTTTTTTTTTGTTTTATAACCTCAGATATTTTTGCTCTCATGAGATTGCAAGTCTTTCTTTTGTTCCTTGTGAGTATCTTGACATATGCAGGTAAGTTACCTTCTACATGTGTGATTTTTGTAGGAAATCATTAATGAGTGGGATGAACAGGAACGCATAGCACAAGAGAAGGCCGAGCAGGAACGCAGCCTCTACAGATACAGGAGCAGAAACTCCAGGACAGCTCTGAGTGAGGAAGAGGAGGAGGAGCGGGAGTTCAGAAGACAGTTTCCACTGCATGAGAAGGTGGGAGCAGGACTGTTTTTGAAAGTAATATAACATAGTTTCCCTTCATGTGTGTTTAAATAGATCTTAGTGCATGTAAGTTGACACTTTAGTTTCTTGAGTGCTCACTTTCCTGCTTTCCCTCTTCCTTACAGGGCAGTCTAGTTAAATAGATTCTGATTTTTGAAAGTTAAATTTCTCTATTGCTATTTACAGGATTTTGCAGATATTTTGGCAGAGCCAACACTAGAAGAGAAAAAGGAAGCTGCAGATAATCAAGAAGAAGAATCAGCTATAGACACCACTCTCATCTCCCAGAGTTCGATGCAAGCTATAATGCTGATACACCAGCAGCTCTGCCTTCACTTTGCACGTGCCCTCTGGTACCAGAAGACTGTGCCGCCGCATGAAGCAAAGCATTACCTCAGTCTGTTTCTGTCCTGCTACCAGACTGGGGCGTCACTTGTAACACACTTCTACCCTCTCATGGGTATGGTGGTTTACTTTTATTATGTACTTGAGAAATGAGAGCAAATAGATGCAGTCAAAACCATTACTTCCTTTTCCACCTAATTCCTTAGTGCTATAGTTTATTTAATTTAAAGAATTAAATGGTTTCTTTAACTTAAAGAATTTAAATTCTTTTTTAGAATAGATTTAAAATTCTGCTAAAGATCTGTTTTTATTGTTGAATTTTACTCTGGGCAGAAAGGATTAAGAATGTAAGAATACAGATTTCATTTAATGGCTTCTCTCTTCCACATTATTTATGCTTTTCTTCTAAAAGCTTCAGTGCTTTTCATGTGAAATGTTTTCATGGGATCAGCCTACAAACGCAGAAACTAATCTTACAGGTTATGGTTTTAATGACAGTTTTGTGTCCTGTTTTCTGTCCCCTGAATTAGTTCATGAAGGAGAAAGGAGATTTTAAATTTTGCTCACATAACAATAACAGCCCAGAAAAAAAAAATATATAGAAACAGGATTTGAATACATCAAACTGAACTGTATACCTTCTTGGTTATGCATAGGCAAAACCTGGATTTCTCTGAATATCCCAGAAACTGTAATTGGAGCCACAGTTCCCTAGGCCAGTGTTGTTTTGATAGAGAACAGGATCTATTTCATTAGTTCCAGTTAGTTGATTATTTTTGGGTATGCTTGCAGCATCTTTGTAGCTTATTCATAGACCTATTTACTCAGGTCTCAGCTATAACTGTGATCTTATTTTATTTATTTTCATAGGGGTTGAGCTGAATGATCAACTCTTGGGCAGCCAGCTTTTGGCCTGCACCCTCTCCCATAACACTCTCTTTGGGGAAGCCGTCTCAGACTTGATGTTGAAGCCGGATGGGCCTTATGACTTTTACCAGCACCCCAATGTCCCAGAAGCCCGACAGTGTCAGCCTGTGCTTCAGGGATTCTCAGAAACTGTCAGTCACCTGCTGCAGGATTGGCCTGAACACCCAGCCCTTGAACAGGTAGGGAGCGTGTGAGGAAACGATGTGCTATCCCAGATATCTGACTTGCACTGAGTTGGCCCCCTCAGTGTATATATAAACAAGACTTCAACTTACAGTGACCAAATATGACTGAGTAAAACTGCTTCATGGGCTTTTCTTGCTATGTTGCTATATTGTTCTCTGGAGAGCTGCTGAGTGGATTAAAATTCTTTTTTACTTAGCCATCTAATGCTTAACTATTTACTACTTGGTCTCCTTAAACTAAGGTTTAAAAGAGCCCCAAAATCTGTGAGAAATTACTTCTTTAATGAAGAATGTACATACCAGTTTGTATTGATGTATAAGTTATGTTTGAGAATTCTCTTGTCACAAGGGCATTAATTTTGTTTGTTGGTCAGACTGTGCTGTTCATCTGTTGTAATAATGTTTTGCTCATCTGTTGATTTTGACACATCAAGGGCTTCATGGCATTCTTAATTATGCTAGAATAAGATCTTGCTCTTTGAAGATGGGCAGTTTTACCTTGTTATTGTTGTTAATAGCCATCGAGTCGTAGACGACTCATAGTGACCCTATGAACGAAAGACCTGAACACTTGTATAATTTTCATCCTTTCTCCACGTTCATAGAGTCCGGAGGCAGGCTATTTCGGAAGTAGATGCCATTCCTGCTTCCAAGCTTGTTTTAATCGGGAAGCTCCACCAGACACTGTCCAGCATGGGTAACCATTATCCCATTTGACACATCAGTGTCATAGTGGTCAGCATCACAGCAACCACGAGTTACCTTTGTACAGCAGATGGACAGACCAGTGCTATACCACTTAGACGAATGTTTCACTAAAAACAATTAAAACCAGGCCCGAGGGCCGCAGATTAAAATCACCCACATTTGGCTTGGTAGCATCACTTTCTGTCCAATAGGCCAACTGAGCTCTCTTTGTGTTTTTGTCGTTATTGTTGTTATGTGCCATCGAGTTGTAGATGACTCATAGCTACCCTATGAACAAAAGACCTGAACACATGTATAACTTTGCCTTTTGGTCTTCAGCTGGCGTGGTAAAGACTCTTATTATAGAATAATAAACCTAATCATTTCAACAAACTTAGCCTACTTCCAGAGTAATATAACAGATAAAGTTTTTATTTCAGTTGGGACATATAGGCCTGGAACTTTAAGCCCTAGTTTTCATAGGTTCCTCAGAAAGAAAAAATTTAAAAAAAAAAAGAAAGAAAGAATTTGTGTAAAACTTCTAGTCACACTTCTCTTTTCTATCCTGTTGATTTGGTAACTATTCCCACTGATACACCTGTTTTTGTTTCCTGCTTTTTTTCTGCAGCTACTGGTTGTTATGGACAGAATTCGTAGTTTTCCACTTTCCAGTCCCATCTCAAAGTTCTTAAATGGTTTAGAGATCCTTCTAGCAAAGGCACAGGTAAAATGATGGCCTGTCTCTACCTTGTTCTAGTTTGTAAATAACCAAGAAAAGATTTACACCTTTGTTGTTACAGAGACAAATACTAATAGTTTAGATGAGTATGGATAATCTTACATGGTGTTTGTAATCAGGTTAGTACAAATGAAGCCATTGCCTATATAGGGGACAACCCATTTTACCTGTCATTGAAGGTAGGACTTGTTCACCAGCACAAGTACTTTTAGGCTGGCCTTGACTGCAGTGAGTCCCTTCCTTTCATAGGCTCATAGCTTTGTGAGATGATTGCTATGTTCCCTCTTCACAAATTGTGGCTTTGTGCCTTGGAAGGATTATGTAACTTTGGTCACAGTCAAGTAGATAATAGAAGAAACTTAGATTTGCATCTCTAAAACCTCTAAATTTGGCTATGCTGGAGTTCTGCCAGTGAATACAATAACTTAACAGACCAGATAAAAACTCATTTCTGTGATTGGGAAAACAGTGAAAATGGTGTTCAAGGGCCAAATTGTATTGAATCTGAATTCATTTAGGAAGAATTGAAGATACTGCTGAGGGAGAGGCCCATTAATGATTAAAAACAAGACTTGTTATTGCTGCTGTTAATGTCAGTTGCTGTAGAGGTAATTCCAACTTTGTTTCTTTAGGATTGGGAGCAAAATGCAAGTCGAACTCTTTCTCTTCGGAAACATCTTGATTTGGTCACTCAGATGATCATTAGGTGGCGTAAACTGGAGCTGAAGTAAGTACTACATATTCATCACTTCCCTCTTCCTTCTGAGCTTACATTGTAGGCATTTTCTCTTTTTATAAATTATACTTTCTGAAGTATATGGAACATGACGGTTAATAGAACCTGCTTTTCATGCATTAATCAGAGTTAAAACTAAGACTTTAAAATGACCTGCATGATCTGAAAAATAGCAGATGTTTATAGTCAGCAAACTTGACATCTTCTCTATCTCCATTTGGGAAGAAACAGTGGAGATTCAGCTTTACTTCTATAATGTCAAATGAGCTATCCTAAATGCCTCCCGGGCCCTCTCTGTTGTGTTTCAGTTGCTGGTCCATGAGTCTCGATAATACCATGAAACGCCACACTGAGAAATCTACGAAACACTGGTTCTCTATCTACCAGATGCTTGAGAAGCATATGCAGGAACAGACAGAAGAGCAGGAAGGTAACATCGAGCTATTCACTGCCTATTTATATAGAAGTTCCAAGTTAAATTGGGAATGTACTCATAGTTTAGGGGTGAATTCTTACCTTCTCTACCAGAGACACCCCCCTCCTCTCGATTCAAATCCCAGCTAATGCACCTCATGCACAGCCATCATTATGTGCTGCTGTTAACGGTGTTTTAGCAGAACTCCCAGACTATGATAAACCATTAAAAAAGGTCTAGCAGTCCACTATAGAAAACTAGACAATGAAATGGTCTCAGTGATTTATTGTGTAAACAGTACTAGGATGATGTAAGACTAGGCATTATTTTGTTCTGCTCTGCATAGTGTTGCCATGAGGTCAGTGTGACTCAGTGGCATTTAACAACATCAGGCTAAACTTGGAGTGCTATGGAGTGTGGGCTTACCTATGCCCATTTCTGCTCCTCCTCCTAATGCTTTCACATGGACATGAAGGTTGTCTCATATAACCTCACAGTATTTTTCACAGGTGAGCTAGAAGTCACTGTAGTATTTTTTTCTTGAATAAATAACTGAAGTCAGAGATCTTTAAGTGACTTGTCCAAAGTCTAGAGCACCAGTTGTAAGACAAGGTTTCCTTATTATCTCTATCTCTAAGACAAATCAAAATGAAACTTGTATGGTAGGTAGTATTTACCATATTTGAATAAAAGGATTTTATTTCATGTTCTCACCAAGCATCTCATAATTCAGTTTGATCATTTCCTGTGAATACTATTAACACATACTCTGTGTGCAGCTGATTTTAAGGCTCACTTTAATTCTAGTCTCTGCTGACAACTATCCCTTCCAAAATAGAATGCATGCACATTATGAATAGGGAGTGATGGTTAACAAGAGAAATGTTTTCCTCTTTGAATCTCTAAAGATGACAAACAGATGACCCTGAGCTTGCTGGTCAGCACCTTACAAGCCTTTATTGAAGGATCTTCACTGGGAGAATTCCATGTTCGACTACAGATGTTACTGGTTTTCCATTGCCATGTCTTGCTGATGCCACAAGTTGAAGGGAAAGGTAAAACTAATTTTTATTTTTCTTTATTTTTACATTGTTGTTGGTTTTGGTGTTAAGGGCTGAGTTGAGTGTTCCACATGAGACAGGTATCTTGTGGCATGCCATATTTTAAACAAGATACTTTTAGTCATTTTTTATTTAAATAGGGTATGTCTTAGATACAGATAAGAATATACAAAGTAAGTGCATACTCATTAGAGCTGAAACTCTGGCAGAGGTAAATTACTGAGTAAAGATCTCAGGAACTGACATGTTGAAGCAGCACATCTTTCTGTCTAGACAGTGTGCATATTTTCATAAGCTGGCTTGATCCAGACCATCATTAAGTTCTTTTGATCTGCTGAGAGTCCTTCCATATGTCACATAAGTTCCCATAAAGCTGCTTACTGTCATTACCATCTCTGTCCACAGTAATTTGGATAAGACATTATAAAAACTATATAGATTGCCCATGATCCAGTAGTCAAAGTAAATTTTTTTTAACATGCCATCTTTAAAAATAGGTTCTGTTTATGCTGTTTTTTCTTGTCTTTTTTTTTTTCTGAATCTATTTTAAAATAGATTGAGAGAATTTAAAATTTTGGTCTTTCTATGAAACTTCTGAGTACATAATCCTTGAAAACATAAATGCAAAAGAAAAAAAAGGTCCTACAAGCTCAAATGAACAAATAGTATTGAGGTGACAGCTTGAATACAAAACTGAAGTCAGAGAGCTTTAAGTGACTTGTCCAAAGTGTAGAGCATCTAAGGGAGCTGCAGACGTTTTCTAATGGTTTGTTCTGTATTCTGCCTGGCAAATGTTGTCCTATAACCTTATGACATAAATAGTTATGAGGAAGTATTGTCACTGAAATGTGAATCCCACTGCTGGGGCCAGTAGAACGTGGAGCAAATATGGTGTCATTTCCTTTTCGTTTCTTCCAGATTCACTTTGCAGTGTGCTGTGGAATTTGTACCATTACTACAAGCAATTCTTTGACCGGGTCCAGGCCAAAATAGTAGAACTTCGTTCCCCCCTAGAAAAAGAACTTAAAGTAAGAGAAACAGCTGTCATGCTCACTTTTAGGAGAATAAGAATTAACACAGGATTTATATTTAATTCTATCCTTTCACCCAGTTATCAATGAGGTATGCTTTATTTGAACAGTGTGAGAGAGAGATAATCAGAATTCAGTTTTTAGAATTATTTTGTCACAGACACACAGTCTTATTCAGGGATGGTATGGTCTCTGCTCTTTGGCAAGCAGATAATCTACAAAGAAACAGAATTTTACTACCGTTGTTTGTCTTACAGGAATTTGTAAAGATTTCCAAGTGGAATGATGTCAGCTTCTGGGCCATTAAACAATCTGTAGAAAAGACACACAGGTAAATTTGTCTTCTAAAAAGATTTGGTGTGAAAAACAGTATATACGAACTTTGTAAGTAAACCAATATTTTAAAAAACCCCAAGAAACTAAAACATACACATGAAAAAAAAATGGGGCAGTTAGGTTTTGGAACTTTGAATGGTAGAGCATCCAGCTGCAACAGCTGGACTTAGTTCCTCCTTGAACTTCTGGTAAAACACTAGATTGTCTGAATGTTTCCTTCCAGCACCACCACTGTCACCCTGAGCAGATCTACCTATAGGGTGAATTCAGCTGCCAACGATCTATTTTACTTTTAGCAAAGTGACCCCACTGTTCCTGGCTGTAGTTTCTTACTCTATAAAAAGAGATTACAATGTGGGCAGTATATATTTTTTTTTTATAAAAAGGTGAGCTAGTATACGCAAATGCAGATCTGGTGGCCTAGTGTTAAGCCGTGCTGCAGTTTCAAAGGCGCACAGTTCAAATCCACCAGCAGCTCAACGGGAGAAAGATGGACAGTCTCCTCCTGTCCTGTGTGATTTACTGCTTTGGAAAACCCGCTGGAGGGTCAGCTGTTTATCAGTTCTGACTCGATGGCACACAACAACAGCATATACAATCATACCTTGGGATAGTATAGGTACATTCCAAACCATCCAGTTAAGGGAATATCATGATAAAGTGGTGGTGATGGTGGTGTTATGTGCTGTAGAGTTAGAATCGACTTTGTAGTTGACCTATTTCAGAGGCTATAAATAGCATCGAAGGAAATTGCCCAACTTTCCCCCTTGGAGCAATTGTTGGATATGAACCTGTTGCCTTTGGAATGGCTGTACTCTACTCCTTACCATTAAGCCACCAAAGCTCCCTCTAACAGGTTTTCAGTGGCTGTAAATTGCACAGAAGGTTGCCCAACTTGCTCCTGCAAAGCAGCTAGTAGATTCGAACCATCTACATTTGGGTTAAGAGCACAATACTCATTAGGCCACAAGAGTTCTTGGTTTCCCAGCACATGTTGTTATGTTGTTGTTGATTGCCATCAAGTTGAGCATGATTCATGGCAAATCTATAACTATCATCATTTTTATCAAAGTTTGTAGAGTTTCCAGAGACATGTTGTTTAGGAAGTGGATGCCACTCCTGCTTACAGACTGCCCTGTTTTGTGATCTGTTAAGTATGAAATAGTATTATGAAACACTCTGGAACACTCTGGAATGTGAGCATTATCAGATGTAACTCAGAGGCAGGAAATGAATACATACTGTTGAAAAAAATGACATCTGTAAATTTGCTTAATGTTGGATAGCCACATATCTTCAGTTAGTAATATAATGAAATAATTGCAAAACAGTATAATGAGGCATTCCTTTTATGCTTATTTATTATATAATACCTTTTCTATTCATTTCCTTTTTTAAAAAAAATTCTTATTCATTACTTGGTGACAGGACCCTCTTTAAATTCATGAAAAAATTTGAAGCTATACTAAGTGAACCTTGCCGGTCATCCCTGATGGAAAGTGACAAAGAACAACAGTCTGACTTTTTACCTGGACCGACAGATGCAGCCTCAAGTGACCTGTCTTCCATTCAGAGTCTAAACAGGGCACTGAGAGAGACCTTGTTAGTACGGCCAGCCAGTGGACAGGTAGGTACTTGGTCAGTAGCGTTTCTCATTCCTAAGCCAGGCAGATGGAATCTATATTTTATGCATAAGGTGTCTCCTTCCACCTAAGCAACAGAATGTCATTGTATTTGTTTGCTTATTTGGCTGACTCCACAAAAAATATCAGCTTTTATATAAAAAGTTTTATGGTAGACTATGAAAAAGAACCTCTGTGCTTACCTGTGAGCATTTTAGCCACTTGTGAGGGAGATTAGAAGCTGCCATTGGACAAACTACACAGGACATGTCCAGTGATATGCTAGCCTGCTATTATTGTTACATGTTCTCAAGCACCGGTGGCTAAGAACTGATTTGTAAAATTCCTGAGCAGTTGAGAGTCATAGAGTCCTTAAGTGAGCAGATGTGTTTACAGGAGAGTGCTCCTGCTGCATATACTTGGGTGAAGGGAGTGCCATTTTTAAAGAGTACTACTCAGAGTACTTTGCCTTCAAATGGAATTTCCCCCACCTGAGGTCCACAGAATGAGTAATTGAGGCCCTTGAGCTAATTTTAGTATTTTTTCAGAAACATAATAGAATTTGAGCGTATCCCTGCTCAGACGTACGACGACTGACACACTTTTTTTTCTTTTGCTTGTGTTTGTCCTAATAATAAATTTGGAATTACTGTTGATAATGGCATAGGAATTTCTGGTATTCTTCAGGGAAGGAGAAAAAATGTCCCTGGGAGATGAAAAAAAATATTTTTTATCTGATAATTATACTCTTGATATCTGAAATGTTAATCAGGAATTGAGAGTTACCAGGAGGTGAAAAGAGAAGAAGGACTTGAGAGGTTAATTTGTATTGGAAGCATCATGATAGATGGTGAAGAGATTGAGATTGTTAACAGCTTTAGTTTGTTTGGTTCCACTGACAACACTCTCGGTATCAGCAGCCAGGAAATCAAAAGACAATTGCATTGGGAAACTCTGCTGTCATGGACATCTCCAGAGTACTGAAAAGCAGCAGTGTCAGTCTGCAGACTAAGGTCTACCACATACAGGCCATGGTCTTTGTATTTACTTACTATGCATCAGAAAGCTAGACAATGACTAGGGATCATAGGACGGTTGATTTCTTTGAGCTGTGGTGCTGGAGAAGAGTATTGAGTATACCATGGCCTACTAAGAAAACAAACAGATTCGTCCAAGAGAGGGTGAAACCAGGCTGCTCCTTGGAGGCAAGGATTCTGAAGCTTCGTCTGACATATTTTGGGCATGTTGTAAGGAGTGACCAGTTCTTGGAGAAGGACGTCATGGTTGGGAGGGTGGAGGGACAGCACAGGAGAGGAAGACCCTGGATTAGATGGATTGACTCAGTGTCTGGGGTATTGAGGGTAGGTGTGTCAGAGACATTAAGGTTGGTACAAGACAAAGCAGGATTCAGAGCTATTGTACATACGGTTGCTATGACTCAGTGGCACATAACAACAACATGTGTGCTGTGAGACACAGTTCAGCATCTCAAGGGGAGCCATTATGTTATCCACCCTGCTGTATAGATCAAAACTGGAATTTTCTCATGACCAGCATAATAAGAATTGTCTAGAACTAAGGGTTAGGAGGAGTGTCCTTCAAATACAGTAATCACATATGGAGCAGCAATAAAATTCTTATTATATCTGCTGGAATCCAGGTTGGAAGTTGTCTGCAACAGCCGGATTCTAGAGAGGTGTGTTTGCTGGTTCTGGTGAGGATTAGGGTGGAATGTTAACTTGTCAGTGGGTATGAGTTCATTTGATTCTGCCTTCTATTTAAAAACCACATTTGGTTCTAATTGGTTTTGGTCAAACATTCTTCTAAGTGGTATAGTACTTATATGTCCATTTGTTGTACAGAGGTAACTCGTGGTTGCTGTGATGCTGAACACTGACACTGATGTGTCAAATGGGATAATGGTTACCCATGGTAGACAGTGTTTGGTGGAGTTTCCCCGATTAAAACAAGCTTGGAAGTAGAAGTGGCATTTCATTTCCAAAATAGCTTGCCTCCAGAAACTCTGAATGTGGAGAAATGATGAAAATTATACGAGAGTTCAGGTCTTTCATTCATAGGGTCACTATGAGTCATCTATGACTCGATGGCACTTAACAACATCATCTGTGGTACATGTATATCTTAATTTCAGTTAGTATATTTACATTCATAAATCTTCAGCAGGGATGACGATAAAGGAATTTAATGTTACCTCACATTTAAATTAGCACTAATAACGTTTAAAAGATTAGAAGTCAGTGTTGTGTTTGGCATTGAACTTAACTTGTTCCATCTTACAGGCCATGATTCCTGAACAATGTCAGGGTATTGTATCTTTTCCATTGCAAGGGAAACTTCTCAATCGCTTGCTGAAGCTCACGAAACGAATGAGGAAAATATGCCTGACATTCATGAAGGAGAGCCCTCTGCCACACCTAGTGGAGGGCCTTGATCAGTTCACAGGTGGGTGCCAGCAATCAGGACAGGGATGACCCAGGAAGGTGAAAATGTATTTGTGTCTTTTCTTGATAGCTGAATTGTTCTGAGCATTTAATTGACTGAACACGTAAGCTAAATAGAGCCCAAATAGAGGAAACAATGAAGACCACACTAGTTGTTCTCATAATTTTTGTTGCGTTCTTTCTCACATAAACTAAGATACAATTTTGTATAATACTTTTGTCTGTACTATTTTTGGGGGATATGAGTAAAGGGGGCAAAGACATGAGCGCGCCCCCCCGCCCCCGCCCCCAGGGCCTGTAAGCTGTCCCTGCTTCTCACAATTCTATCTTAACTTAATGGAAACAGAAGGTTCACACTGTGATCTTTTTTTTTCATTCTTAACTTTAGTTTCATCCTCCCAACTGTGTCTACACAGGAGAGATTAGAGCCAGGACCCACTACATAGTATAACAGTGGCATCTGGAGAAGGAAATCTTAAACATTGTCGTTTGAGTTCTTGACATTCCCTTTTGTTCCTGAGTGAACATGGTGCCACAAAGAAGCACTTCCTCCTTTAATGAAGGTAGTCTCATCTCAGAGCTATCTTTACTTTGAAAATTTGTTGGAATTTCAGCCTTCATTCACTTTTTGTTCAAGGTGACGTGTACACAAGGCTGATGGTGAGGATAAATGGGATGCAGCTCTCATGCATTTTCTGGAAAAGGCACATGCTCTGAACTATATAGAGTGTATTCTTGTTTCTTGGTCTCCCGCAGCACCATTGTAATGTGCTGTGGTGTACTGTCTCTTATCCAAAGCCTTCCCTTGCTTAGGTGGGCAGCACTCTTGTTCTACATGCCCATGCGTATTTAGGAAGGCAGCCAAGTTCAAGTCCTGGTTTGTCTACTCTTTAGCTAAAAAGTCTTTAGGAAGTCTTTACAGTTTATGACATGAGTCTCTAAGTGTTTCTACAGTTGTGGAGTTAAAAGAGAATCTACCAAGTACTGGGTTCTATGTAGAAGCTCAATAAAGATTTATTAGGGGGAAAAAAATCCCCTAATAATAAAAACAGCAATTCCAAGTACAACACACACTGTGTGTGTATGTATGTATGTATGTATATGTGTGTGTGTGTGTGTGTGTGTGTATATATATATATATATATATATATTGTTAATCAATCCGTTTTGCTTGATTAACTTACATTCCTGATTAAAAAATACAAAACCCTTTTATCTTTTTTTTTAAAGTATACCCATTTTTAATCAGGTTGTTATTTGTTAAAGGATCTGGAACCTCATGTGTTACTATTTTTCATTTCCACGCATCTCAAGCCTTGTGTTTAAATACTACCAAGATGTCAAGACCTATGTGAGGTGCCTGGGATAGAATGAAAGAAAGATGACACATAGTGTTTGTTCCTCAAAAGGGCTATCTTCTATTTACTGTGTAAACATATTAATAAGCCCCTGGGGTTTATATGTATTCTCTCTAGGTGAAGTAATTTCTTCTGTGCATGAGCTGCAGAACTTAAAGGTGGAACCCTCTGCTGAGAAGGAGAAACAATGTTCGGAAGCGAAACACATTCTCATGCTGAAGCAGCGAGCATTAGCTGACCTCTTTAAACACCTTGCAGGCATAGGTAAGGCTTTTCCTTGAAAACAAAATGGCAGGCAAAGATTTTTGTTACTGCGTTTAAAATTATAATATAGTCAGTAATTTTCAGATGTGCTATTCAGTGGCATGAATTCCATCTATCATGTTATGTAGCTGTCACTGCTACTTTTCTTTCTCAGAATTTGCTCTTTTGGAATCTGTATTTCGTCACTATGCTTCATAGCACCCACCCCCTAATGAAACGTGGAAACAATACTTTTCACCTGGGAATCCTGCTAAAGTGAGATGCAGGTTCTGTTTCAGTAGGGGTCAGGGGAAGGGAGTGAGAACTTAAAATTCTCTCAAGCCCTCAGAGTTGCTATTCAGAGGACTTACTTGACTTTGAGTAGTAAGGACATCCTCGCTGAAGTCTCTTAAAACTTTTTTTTTAAAAAAAAAATCCATTTATTTAATTATGACTCATATTGACCCTATAGCTAGAGTAGTACTGTTCCAGGATAAGGGCTTCCTGGGCAGTAATCTTTAGTGGAGTAGACTGCCACAGTGTCTGGTGGATTGGTTAGCAACCAAGTACTTAAGACCTCTGCGCCACCAGGGCTCCCCTTCTTAAAGTAATGTTGCTTGTTTTCTAGGTTTGTCGTATCGCAAAGGTCTTGCCTGGGCTCGTTCAAAAAACTCTCAAGAAATGCTTCATCTTCACCCTCTGGATCTCCATAGTGCATTGTTTATAGTCAGCAACACTCGGGAGGCTGATTCTAGGTTTGTGTTTTAATTATACATGGACCAAGTCCTTTGAGAAGGACATGATGCTGGAAAAGGTAGAGGGTCGGTGAAGGAGAGGAAGACCCTCAACCAGGTGGACTGACACGGTGACAGCTTCAGTGGCCTCTTGTGACGATGATGCAGGATAGTTCAAATCTTGTTCATATGTTCGCTGTGAGACATACTCAACTCAGTGATACTTAACAACAACAGACCACGTCACTCAAGCCTCCATGTCTTCATTTGCTAAAATGTAGATAGCAAGAGCTTTCACGGCGTTCTTTTAAAAGAACGAGAACATTTCGTGAAGTATCTGGTTCAGTATTTGGCATGCATGCTTTTGTGCTGTTAATTTTATTATTCTTTTTGCTTTTTTTTTCCCTATTCATCCTCCATGCTTTTCCCCCCATCCTTTGATTTCCTTGAGGCCTCTAGTCACTAACTTTGAATGAGCATGTGAAACACAATTACTACATCCTTGCTTATTTCATCTCTACCGCTTAAAATCTCCAATACAGTCCAATTTGATTGCCCATAAGCCTCTGAGACAGATAGAGCTACCTCTTTGTTAATAGACACAGATGAAATGGCAGATGATGGAGGACATAAGCTAAACACAGCCAAAATCTATGTTTTGGGGAGGTTTTGTGTATGTGGCCTCTATTAGTGCTTTAAAATTAAATTTAATGCAATATTATATTTAAAAAAACCCTGCAGAAATTTTACATGAATATTCTAAATTTTCATTTTAGAAATATTTGACCATGTAGCTCTCATTCCCTTTTAGTCAACAGCTCTCTCCTGTCAACAGGCAGATATTTTAATCCTTACAGCCCTCAACAGCCCTTTTTGCTTCTCCCACATTGACGTTGGGTGTCAACTGCCATTTGTCATTTTCTGCATGATTGTCCTTAATCATTTAGGCTAGCTGCTCAGCCTCTGAAGGCATCAGAATTTATGATCCCTGGTCTCTACTACCAAAGTAGTTACAAAATTTTTGTTAAGGAAATTATATTGATGTCATAATTTATTTCTCTAATACTCTTCTAGTACTGAGTATACCATACATCTTCTTTTAAAGGATTGATAACTGGCTGAGTAAGTCCTAAAAGAATAAAATCTCAACCCTTGGCTTTTAGTGTGGCCAGGTACAAAAATCTCTGAATCTCAGAAATCTGGGATGAGAGAATGTGGTTTGAATTAAGTAAATTCTGTTGATTTCTTTTCAGGCTGCTTACGGAAATCACGTCTTCATGGGATGGGTGCCAAAAGTACTTTTATCGATCTCTTGCACGACACACCAGGCTTATCGCAGCTCTAGCAAACCCCGCCAAGGTAGAATGTTAATTATAATCTTAAATTGCCGTTTAAGTCATCCCAGAATGGACTTTATCAGACCTTATCAGCGGCAGAAGCCCATTACTGGAAATTGCTTTTTACAGAATACCTTTAAAATTTAAGTCAGTACAATTGTGTGCTAAAGCAGTATCTCAGATTAAAATCTTTTATGCACACTTGTCAGCAGAACCACATGTGTAAGAAAAATTATGGAAGAAAGCATCAAATGAGATAATGCCATCTGCAAAACTTTTTGCCCTGTACATTAAGGAAGACCACTGATACTTAGTTTCGGTGGTTAGGTCTAATATCAGTTCATGGAATGTTGCTCTGTAATAGTAGTATAATTTGAAAAACACTGCTTAAAAAGAAAGAGTATGTCACTATTTGCTGTTGCATATCTAAAGCTCAGATAAAAGAGGAATGAACTCTTCTCCTGGAAGGCATTCTACAAAACCGTTTGCTAATGTGACTACTTGGTGGATGTCTGGTGGCAGTACCTTCAGCCTGCTTTTCCTTTTCCCCACTCCAGGAGATGGGCTTGGGCAATGTTGAGCGGTGTAAAGGGTTCTCAGCCCATTTGATGAAGATGCTTATTCGGCAGCGACGCTCCTTGACCACACTGACTGAGCAGTGGATCATCCTCAGGTATCTTCTGATTTGGGTTTGTGGCATAAGCCAGAAAGAATTGTGTAAATCAGCTTAGATCTGATACACAGCATAGAGAAGCATAAGATGCTATGTGAGGCCACAAGCGGCAGTGTGTTTGCGCAGTGGATTTTTCTTGGCATTGCCCCTCACCTTTGGTGTTTAGTGTCCTAGTGAGAGAAGTCTGTGGTAATACATTCCTCCCCTGGCAACAACTCTTGGAAGAAAAGGGTCTGAGGAATTTCAGGGCTGCAGAAGACATTCAATAGTTATGGCTGAACTACACTTGAGTCTGAAATAAGGATATTTGCTGCTTAAAGTCTGTAAGGTAAATTATTTTCATGGGTTTTTCTGTACAGGAACCTTCTCAGCTGTGTGCAGGAGATTCATGGCAGGCTGACAGGGCCCCTGGCCTACCCTGTGGCCTTACCTCCTCAGGACGGTGTGCAGCAGTGGACAGAGAGGCTACAGCACCTTGCTATGCAGAGCCAGATCCTGCTGGAGCAGCTCTCCTGCTTCCTCCAGTGCTGCCCCAGTGTGATGTCCACTCCAGGCAATGACAATACCCAGGCACAGGATCAGCCTTCTGCTTCCCATCAGAACCTGCTTATCAAAGGGCAGCTCTCTGGAACAGTAATAGTGCCAGACCTCATCCCATCAGATCTTAACTACCCATCACCAATGCCTGGAAATCGGCTGCCTCCTGGTTGTCGGATGAGGAAACAAGACCAGCTTTGGCAACAGTCAACTGCAAAGTTAACAGAGATGCTAAAAACCATTAGAACTGTTAAAGCCGACATTGATAAAATTAGGCAGCAGTCTTGTGAGACTCTCTTTCATTCTTGGTGAGTTGTGTCTGCATTTTTACTGTATTTTTTATGCTAGGTGTTTGGTTGGAGTTCAGTCATAATAGGATAAATTTATGGAAGGATTTATGGTTCAGTCTTCCATTGGCTGCATAGTGCTTCATGGCGTGTCTCTAGCTATAAACCTTTAAGTAGTGTGGTTTTCCTCACATGCATTTTAGGCATTGCAGAGGGCTTTAGCTATTTTGTGTGCACATGCCCTTCTTGTGACTGCTGCTTTTTAACACTGGCAATTTTATTGTTGCAGGAGAGATTTTGAAGTTTGCTCTTCTGGGTTAAGTTGCCTGTCTCAGGTGTCAGCTCATTTGCAGGGTTTAGAAGCCTTGTTCCTTCTTCCAGGGAGGGAGGCTGAACAAACGCACCCACAAATGGCATTAGTTGAGAGCCTGGGGTACATAAGGGCAGAAATCAATAAAGCCACAGCTGACTTTACTACCTGGAAGACAGATCTGTTGACTCCAAGAAGCCACAGAGGTAAGGATGTTATTGAGGGAGTGATAATCAAACCTGGGAAATTGATATTGTAAATTTAAGTCTTTAATGTTGTCCTCAGGAGGCTTGTTTTTTGTTGTTTTTTTGTTTGTTTGTTTGTTTTAAAAAAAGACGTTCCTGTCAGGTGAGGTGTTTTAGAACCCACAGATCTTAACTATTTTACCTCATTTGTTTGAATAGCATACCTTCAGCTCTCATCATGCTGTATGGTTTTAGGACATCTGTCAGGAGGCAACAAAGGCAGTACTCCTATAGACAGAAAATTTCAGGGCTAGTATCTGGACTAAGACACATATAAACTATTTTCATATTTTTTTAACACACAACAGTGAACTTCTCTAGGCAAAGAATGTATCTTCTTTCTCTTTGTATCCAGACAGTACAGTTTGGCATAGTGTCCCACACAGTAGTTACTTACTAGGCAGCTACTGCCTAAAGAAATAAATGAAGATTGCTGTCTATGGGTTGTTACTGGTTTACAGGGACCTGAAAGCAGTGGATTGTAAATTTGGGGGATTTTTGTCATTTTACTTACTAGGAAACCAAATACAAGATGAAGAATTTATTGAAGATTTTTCTGAGCAAGTTGAAACCGCCATCCGTGCCATCCTCTGTGCCATCCAGAATTTAGCAGAAAGAAACAGTAAAAAAGCAGAGGAGAACACTGAGCACACAAGATCACAAGAAGACAATGGTATGTTTGATATGAGGCTGATTTCAGTTTCATAATTTATTTCATTTTCTTAACTTGATGCTTTGTTTCTGTGTCTAAATACTTAAGGATAGATGTTAGAAGTAGATGGTTATGCATGAATGCAAATGAAAGAGTTTATTTCTTATTATTCTTCATGATATTTCTTGCAAATTAAAGAGGCATCGACCTTTGAGAGGCTACAGTCAGGACATCTCTCAAAACTCTTGGAAGATGACCTCTGGGCTGATGTGGGCACATTGCATGTGCAGAAGATAATTTCCACTGTCTCCGAGCTGTTGGAGAGGCTGAAGTCGTATGGAGAGGATGGCACAGCAGAAAAGCACACGGTAACTACTGGTATTTACAAACTTCTTGCTGTCCAGAGTGGGCTGTGTGTAGATTAATGACTCATACTGCTCCATGTCGATGAGTTCCAGAGTAGGCTAGGGACAAAAGGGCTAAGCATTTGATCTATTTTATGCAAAAAATACCAGACAGACTTTGAAAAGCATAGAATTTGCTAGCTAAAGGTTATGATTCTAACATGCACAGATGCAGAAATACTCATAGTCCATTATAGTAGAATTATTTTTTAGCCTAGTCACCAATCCCAGATAAATTATGTTAACAATGAATGTTGTTGCTATTAACCAAGACCTGTCTTCTGAAAATAATATTCCTTGTACATGGTGCCCCAACGTATAAGATTGGCATCTCCATGATAATCTCAGGGAAGGAATTAAATTAATATATAATACATTATATTTTATTCTGCCTCCAATGCCAACTTTGATTTCCTAATAGAATTTACCCATAAAAGTTCACAAATGGGAACAAATGAACATAACACCTTTGGTAATTAAATGAGACTTCAGCTACTGAGACCTTAAAGGGTAGTTTTGTGAAGAATGTGTGAAGAAATATTAGTATGCAGGGAGGAGGTGTTTTTTTTTCCGGTTTGTTTTGAGGTGGTAAGTTGAGGGGTGAAAGACAAATACACATAATATTTACTATTAGTGATATTTATTATATTCACAGTATTTTGTAACCATCATTACTGTCTAGTTCCAGACGACTGTCTGTCATTACCCCAAAAGGAAAAACCTGTGCCATTCAGTACTTGAGCAGGCTTTGTGGTCTCATTTTGCCTCTAGGTTTTCAACCAGTCTTGCTGCTTGTTGGTGCGCCTAGTGCCCATGCTCTCCAGGTACTCGGACCTTATCCTCTTCTTCCTGGCCATGTCTTTGGCAACTCATCGTAGCACTGCAAAGCTGCTCTCTGTGCTTGCCCAGGTCTTTTCAGAGCTTGCTCAGAAGGTAAGGACTGTGCACTTGTTATTCCATCAACAGAAACCCAAATACTCATCACTCATAATATTTTGAGTATGTAATATTTTGGCTCCTGTTTTGACCTTTGACAAAACAGTAAGAGGTAATTTACTCTCCCTTTGAGGCTTTGTCTGGTGTCTGTTTACTATGCATATTTTCACCACAGCCTTGGAACCTGCAGGCTCACTGAGGTCATGTACCCCAGATATTTTGTAATGACTGTTGTGGTACAATAATATGCCTTTCCCTTCCCATCTCCAAATTGAAATATTCATGAGCTAATTTCAGTGAAGGCTTGACTCTGTTGTTTGCACTAATTATCTATTTGTGATTGTGTTTACATAGTACTAGAGAACAAGTGAAGGACAAAACTTTTGGGATTTAAACATGGGAAAGTTCTTCCCTCACTCAATGATATCCTTCCATACAATCCTTCTAGTATTCTTCATTCATATTTTTGTTTTGGCAAAATGACAGATTACCACATACCAGAGGCCTCTATGAGGCAAAATTTCCCATGTAAATACCTGGTGTTTGCCAAGCTTGGAAACATCTGCAATCCCTGTAGAGTGAAAGGTTGTCAACAGTCTGCTGTGCTTCTTCTGATTGAAGACAGTCATCTAGAAAAAGACTTAACCGTTTGCTTACATTTTCCTCCCTTACCCACTGCTATGGCTGGGCAGGAATAGAAAATTCCTCGTTTACTGCTTTTGTACCTAACTACTCAATCTGATTTTTGAAGGGATTTTGTCTGCCCAAAGAATTTATGGAAGATTCAGCTGGTGAAGGAGCAACTGAATTCCATGATTATGAGGGAGGTGGAATTGGAGAAGGTGAGGGCATGAAGGATGTGAGTGACCAGATTGAGAATGAAGAACAGGTACGGGTTTTTTGTGTACTTATTTTGTATACAGTGTACAGCTCTTTCACTATTAAAATTGGGTACATTAGTAGAAGTGTTCAAATATGTTTTCTGTAATTCGTTATGTAGGCAGAAGACACATTTCAGAAGGGTCAAGAAAAAGATAAAGAGGATCCAGACTCAAAATCTGATATTAAGGGCGAGGATAATGCCATAGAGATGTCGGAAGACTTTGATGGAAAAATGCATGATGGAGAACTTGAAGAGCAAGGTTTGAGACTCAGTAGATTATCTGTCACTTCATTTTTGTTTCTGAAAAAATAAGCACTTTATTCAAGACATATTTTCTTTTCCCCAGAAGAAGCCTATTATAATGTTGTAACTATATATATAACTGCATTGCTAAAAATATTTATTACAATAGATCCTTGCATATAGCACAGATTAGAAATGCCTCATACTGTTTCCAAGGATTTAATTCTTTACAGAAGTAGAATGTCACATTTTTCTACTACAGAGTGGCTGGTAGATTTGAACCACTAACCTGTTTGTTTAACAGCCAAGCATTTAACCACTGTGATCACAGGGCTCCTTACGGATAGATAAACACACGGATGCATATAAAATTCTGTAGTCTAAGCTGAGGGAGCTAAAGAACAAAGTTAAGGCTTGAGTTGCAGTGCTTACAGATGCTTGGGGCAGAATATTGAATGATCCTGGAAGTATTAAAAGAAGATGGAAGGGAACAATATACAGAGTCACTGTATGAAAACGAATTGACTGACACAGAAGCATTTCAAGAAACAACATATGATCAAGAGACAATGATAAAGAAGGATGAAGTTCAGGCTGCACTGAAGGACTTGGCAAAAAATAATGCCCCAGGAATTGATGAAATGACTGTTGACATATTTCAACAAACAGATGCTGCCTGGCCAGACACATTCATCAAGTTGTGCCAAGAAATCTGAAGGACAACTACCTGGCCAACTGACTGGAAGAGATCCATATTTATTCCCATTCTAAAAAAAAGTGATCCGACAGAGTTTAGAAATTATCGAACAGTATGGAAGTAGGAGTGACATCCACTTCCTAAACAACATGCCTCCAAAAACTCCAAAACTTTGATAAGTGTTAATAGTTGTAGAGGGGCTTCAGGCCTTCTGTTCATAGGGTCGCTATGAGTCGTGCTCAACTCGAAGGCAATCAACAACAAATCACACACAAGCAAAATCCTGCTGATGAGTATCTAGAAACAACTGTGATGGTATATTGACAGAAAACTACCAGAAGTACAGGCTGGGTTTAGAAGAGGTTGTGGCAATAGAGACATTTTCACCAACATTGGATTGATCTTGGCAGAAAGCAAAGAGTACTGGAGGAATGTTTATTTGTGTTTCATTGATTATGCAAAGGCATTTGACAATGTGTATCACAATAATTCATGGCTAACCTTGGAGAGAATGAGAATCTCAGAGCATTTGATTGTGCTCATGCAAAACCTATACTCGAACCAGGAAGCAGTCCTCAGAACAGGGCAAGGAAACACTATGTGGTTCAAAATCAAGAAATGAGTATGTCAGGGATGCATCCTGTCTCCATACCTTTTTAATCCATATGTGGAATAGATCATTGAGGATGCTGGACTTTATGAGGAGGAATGTGGCATCAGAATTAGAGGAAGATTTGTCAGCAACCTGTTACGCAGATGACACAATCTTGCTTACTTACCCATTCTGAGGAAGACCTGAAGCACTTGATACAGAAGGTAAAGGACTGCGGTCTTCAATATAGATTGAAGCTCAACATCAAGAAGAAATAGATTCTCACCACTGGCCCAATTGGAAACACCATGATAGATAGAGAAGGCCTTAATTGAGGTGGTTAACAATTTCAGCTGCTCAGCTCCACAATCAACACTATTGGTACCTGCAGTCAGGAAATCAAAAGAAGAATTGCACAGGGAAATTTACTGTCTGGGACCTCTCCAGAGTACGGAGAAGCAATAGTATCATTTTAGAAACTAATGTACATCTCATCCAAGCCGTGTCTTCGCAATTACTTGCTGTGCTTCAGAGCTGGACAGCAACTATGGATGACAGAAGAATTGCTGCCTTTGAGTTGTGGTGCTGAATGTACCATGGAACATCAAGAAAACAAACAGGAAGAAGGTGAAACCAAGTTACTCTTTGGAGGGTAGGATTTTGAAGCTTTGTTTCACATTGTGCATACGGCCAGAATGAACCAGACCTTGGAAAAGGACTTCATTCTTGGAAGGGTGAAGGTACAGCGCAGGAGAGAAGGCCCCAGATAAGATGGATTGACACAGTGACTGGGGTATTGGGGATAGTTCGGAGTCAGTGAGACTGGCTCAGGTCAGGGCAGGTGTCAGAGCTATAGTACATAGGGATTAGCAACCGGTAACTCGACAGCATATAACCACTTTTAAAATTGAACATATTATTATGTTATTAAAATTATATGAGAGCCTAATTTCTTAAAGCACATAATCATGTTAAATATTCATATCATGATTTGGCAGACCGTCAAATTTCAGTCCACACTTTTAACTTGAGAGGTAATAACTTATTCTTTAGATATTACAGAAATGAAAGCTGACCTTGGCCAATGATGTACATTTAACTAAACATTTTAAGAAAATAACCTCTGGGAAAAGTGGAGCTTAAGTTGAAAGAGAAAATTATGACTCATTGAGCTATAAATGTCTTAAGATGATAAAAGCGTAGAAGCATAGTGTGTTTGAACTTGGGTGGGAGAAAAAATCTTAGAAACAAGTCATCCAGTTCAGTCATTTCATAGGTAGAGAATTAAGACAAAGTGAGGCTGCAGGTCTTGTATTGAATATTGCCAGCCCCAGAACTGCACGTCCAGACAGTTTGTACTGTTCTCCTTCATGTCTGCAAATGTTTTAAACTTGCTTGTTCACCTACACAGTTTGCAAAACACAGTAGACTACTTCAGTAAGTGTAAAAGGTTATTCTGCATAGGTGGGGGAAAATGGTCTCTGACGGAGCACCTGAAGAGAGTAGGTCTTTGCCTCCCCAATGCACAGGACGAGGCTTGAGGTCACCTGCCCAACTAAAACTCCATGTCTTCCTTTTTTAGAAGAGGATGATGAGAAATCAGATAGTGAGAGCAGAGACCTTGACAAACAAATGGGGAATCTTAATGGTGAAGAAGCTGACAAACTAGATGAGAGGCTTTGGGGTGATGATGAAGATGAAGAAGAAGAGGAGGAGGAGGAAGGGGACAGTAAAACAGAAGAAACAGGACCAGGAATGGATGAGGTAATTTTTTGGGTTTTTTTAAATAGGATATGTATACAAACTGCATATACATTGTGTTCATTCATGTAGGTTGGGTTTCACCCATTTCTTCATTCACATTGTATTTCATACGGTCATTCTTATACATTATATTTTATAAAATTAATGAACGTTGATCTGTGTCCACTGTTAGCCCATCTTTTTAGGTTCCCATTGGATCCTCCCTAATTCCTTCTCTACCCACAAAACTCTATAAATCTCAGATTTTACCTCTCGCCACGTTCTAGCCTCTTGCTCCCCTACCTTTCCCCATTTGGACATTTATACACATCTTACTAGTTACCCTCTCATGCATAAAGTGATTTGTAAAACCTCCTTCATTCTGAGAAGAAAGAGGTGATCATCCCACTACTACTATACTACAATCTATATTTTTTTCTCTTTACCTCTTTTCATTCCCTGTCTTTTATTTCTCTTTTCCATACCATTTCTCCCCTCTCTTTCATGTTTGGGTTTTGTTGTTTTGTTATATCAGTGAAGTGGAGGATGATGGTTAAGACAGCCCTGGACAGATGCTCTGAGCTGATCCCTTTAACTGACTGCTGAACTCAGTCAGATCTCAACATATGGGAATGCAGGACTGTGTTAGACTGCAGCCATACAGCATGATGCTGCTAGTTAACAGACCCCACCCCACCGTTCACACGCATACTGCTGTTATCTGGGAAGACCTAGATTACTCTCTCCAGATTATGGACAACTTCCTGCCAACAGGATATAAAAGGACAGATATGTATGAGAGCTGCCCTAAGCAGAACTTACCCATGTGAAAGCAGTTTCTCAAATTATGATGATTTTTGTGTCATTTCTTCCTCTGACATCTAGGAAGATCCTGAGCTTGTTGCCAAAGATGATAACTTGGATGCAGGAAAATCCAACAAAGATAAAAACCAGAAAAATAAGGAAGAAAAAGAAGAAGCAGAAGGTGATGATGGTGGACAAGGCCAAGACAAAATTAATGAGCAAATAGATGAGGTAATGATGGTTTTAAACTGTTTCCCTAACTCAAGGCAAGGCAACAGGTGGGAGGAATCTGGCCTCATGGAGCTGAGCCTTGTGGCAGGGTCTCTTCACGGTCCTTGAGGGAAGACCTCTTGTTTAGTGTAAAAACAAAGTACCTGAAAATGGTTAACACTTTGGGTGTGCTTAGAACTCCCTTAGAGTTAGGCTAGGTACATAACAGACTTTCATGAAAAACAGTTTTCTCAATGTTCCTGAAAATAGTATTTGCCTCAATTGAGGGTATTGACATCTTAAGTAAAACCACCAGTAAACCATACAGTTGTTTCTGCCAGTACCTCAGTACATTTTTTTCCTCATTCATTGTTATTCTTCCACCTTATAAAAGAATGGGTAACAGCCACTTAACAGGGCAGAAAATACTGGTTACTCACAAAAGTAGAGTTTTCATGTTATTTGTTCTCATGGTCTACTAAATCTAAACCTAAGTTCCTTTACTTCTCCTCAAAAGCTTCAGTGTCTATTTTGAGACAAAGTGATATAATACTTCATATAAGAGAACATACACAGAAAGTATAATTTGACATTTTAGCAAAAAAGCTGAAAAATTACTACTAAAATAAATGCTGATAATTTAGAGAAAACTCAGCTCATTGGTGTTGAGTCAGAACTGACTGATAACATGTTGGTTTTGGAGCAGTAAATCACATGGGAGGAAATTGTCCAGCTCTCATTGGTGACTACAAACCAGAGAGGCAGCACCCTTGGGTTAGTAGCACACCTCCCTACAGACCACACCCCAAAAAGACATTATATTCACTAAGCGTAGACTCAGTCAGTTCATTTATGTACCCACAGGTTGACAGGCTCCCAATAATCCTGGGAACAGCAGATCATAACCTTGTCCCATCCTGTACTATTCTCATGATGTCTACCATGGTCAAGCCCATTGTTGCAGTCATTGTGTTGATCCATCTTGTTGAGGGTCTGAACAAGACAGTATAACTAAGAACTATTTATGTAGTTACTGCTTGTGGTAGAGAGTGATGCTGGCAATCCAGAGGCACTGGATTTGAGTCCACCAGCTGCTTTGCGGGAGAAAGATGGGCAGTCTCCTGTGTGAGTGAGTGAGTGAGTGAGTGAGTGAGTGTGTGTGTGTGTGTGTGTGTGTGATTTACTACCTATGAAAAGCCACTAAAGCGTCAGCTAGGAGTTGATTCTAACTCAATAGCACATAATAACAACTTTTTAAAAAAAGTTTCTTTTGTATTTTGCATTTCTCAAAGAGGGAATATGATGAGAATGAGGTGGACCCTTACCACGACAATCAGGAAAAACTGCCTGAACCTGAGGCCTTGGACCTTCCAGATGATTTGAACCTCGATAGTGAAGACAGAAATGAGGATGAGGATACCGACAATGAAGACGGTGAAGGTTAGTCTTTCAGAAACCTACAGGGACCAGTTGGAACTATTGAAAATGAACAGTAGCTGATTTCTTGTCAGCTACTTGGCAGTTACTTTAAAAAAAAGTTACTGTTTTGCATGGGCCACTGAATTGCCTTATACTTTTGGAATCTAATGTCACTACTTTTACTTCCATTGGACATAAGCTTCAGCCTTAAATTCATTAACCAAATAGGCATAAACCTATGGATGGAAATTACTTAAGAGTATAATAAATCTGCCCTAGAGGAAAACATTCAAGCCCATCTTAAGCTACTGTGTAAATAAATGAGGGTAATTATTTTAAAGAGTTGCTAACAAAGTAACTTGGATTTCTGAAGTATCTAAAAGGATGCCATTGAATGCACTACACTCATAGTGACTATAAACAACAGATCTGACCCCTGCCCTGTCCTGGGCCATCTCTCCATCTCCACCATGCTTCAGCCCATTTTTATAGGCACTGTGTCAATCCATCTTGCTGGCGGTCTTTCTCTTTCTGATTTTTCATTTTTCCCAGCATGATGTCTTTTTCCAAGGATTGGCCTCTCGTAACAGCACGCTCAAAGAGTTCTCTTGTCTTTGTGCAATAGTGATAATCTGTGATTATTTACAATGATAATTGAACTATCATTTCCTACCTTTAGTCTAAAGACTTTTTGTTCTTGCAAGATTTTCTTCTTTTGTCTGTGTATGTCTATGTGTAAAATACGTCATCTAAACAATTGCACTTCTCAAGGTTTTATTTTCAGAAAGACACAGTGGGACAGATTTGACCCATGAACCATAGTTTGTCATCACCTGGTATAGAAAATAATAATAAAACTGGTTATTTATGTGTTTCCCTTTTTATTTTATCTATTTGGAAGAAAATCCATTGGAGATAAAAGAAGAACCAATGGATACAGAGGAAGCAGGTCATGAGACTGAAAACATAGATGAAGAAGCCAACTGTGAACAGAATGAAGGTCAGAGTCAGGACCAGCCTGAGGAAGGTCCCACTGAAGATGACAAGGAGGAAGGGGAGGACATGATGGATACAGGAGCTGATGACCCAGATAAAGACACTGCCGAGCGCCCTGAGGAGAGTTCAGAAGAGGAGCAGCAGTCTCCAGAGGAAAAGGACAAAGACACAAACGAGGAGGGTTCAGAGAATGGTGTCCCTGCTGACAAAGGTCTTCAGCCTCAGGTATTGTGGAATGTCTCATTTGTTTTATCTGATAAATAATAGTAAAAAAGGAGAGAAATTACCTAAAATCTCTAATGTTGTCAAGGAGTTCTGAGTTTTTACTTAAGATTCTCTGTGGCTGACCCCTCGGTCCAGCCTCCCTGAGTGAAGAATAGGGAGTCACGCTGCAGGCCTTAGAGTTTGCTACAGAGTGCCCTAGTTGTACCTTTCCCCAGAAGTTAAAGCTGCTTTTATTTCCTCTAAGATGCAGGAAAAAGAAGAGGAGAACTCTGATGCAGAGGAGCAGGTTCCTGAGGCTAAAGAGAGGAAAGAACATGACTCATGCGGGCAAACCGGGGAAGAGAACATGCAGAATGAGCAGGCTGTGGAGCTGGCTGGTGCTGCGCCCGAGAAAGAGCAGGGCAAAGAGGTAATGGGCCCTGCCTGCCGTGCCATCTGCCTCTTTCAAGGGTCACTTCACCATGTTTGTAACTGTGTTGTCTTTAATGACGGTTTCTGTGTTTGGAGCCCTTGTGGTACAGTGGATAAGCTCTGTTAACTGAAAGGGAGGAAGATGAGGCAGTCAGCTTCTACGAATAAAGTCTCGGAAAGCCTTTAGGCAGTTCTGTTCTGTCCTACCAAGTTATTATGAGTCAGAATCAACTCAGTGGCAGGGGATTTGGTTTTAGTAATTCTACTGTCACCATTTATTGAGTTCCCATTAAAGGCTGGGCTTTTTCATTGCTTCTTAGAGTAGCTTTATCGGATGGCTAATATTGTTGGTGTTAATATTTTCCGTGTTTTAAATTTGAGGGAAGTATGACTAAGTTAAATGAATAAATCAAGAGTACATTAGATGATAAAGCTTGCTTTTCAGTAAGAGGTTTATTCTGTCTAAGGAAACTGTTCCTATAAATAGGAACCGATAAGTCATGTAAAGCAAGGGCACCCAAGAGGGTACATAACCCCAGCTCTCTGCCCAGGTCCAAACTCTTCTGCATCTGCCCACAGGCCAGGCCTTGGCGATGCAGGAATTCCAGAGATGAGTAGGCAGGGTGATGATGTGACTACGTAGGGTGAGAGTATTATAAGGAGGAGCTGGGGATGATGTGATACAGTAACCAGGTGTTTGTATTGCCTTCCTCAATCCTTTTGTGCTATGAATATCACAGGAACATGGGAGTGGAGCTGCAGATGCAAACCAAGCAGAAGGCCATGAATCCACTTTCATTGCCCGGTTGGCTTCCCAGAAGCACACCAGGAAAAACACACAGGTTTGTCAGTCTTTGAATAAACATAGATAAATGAAGGTTGAATGTAGAAACATATCCTCCAAACATAGTCATACCAAAGCCACACTCCCAACTTTTCCAGTCCCACCAGGCAGATGGGCAATCTTAATGAGCAGAAACTGACCTTGGAGAATTTGTTTGGAACCCATATTGAGAGCTTTTCCCCTGCACCCTTGTTCCTGTGACAGAGCCCGTGAGCCTCACCACCAGTCTCACTCTTTACTATCCTTAAGAGTTCTACTTAAGAATTAATTTTTGTCTTTTATCAGTCATATATCTACCGAGAGTTTACTTCCCGTGTATTCTTGTCCTTGATCCATTCCAGGAACAGAGCAAATTGGTGCTACTCGTTTTTTCATTTTCTTTTGAAGATATTTTCTGCATTTGGGGGTGTGTGTGTGTGTTTGTGTCTTTCCTTTCTTGTGTCTATTTCAGAAATTAAAATATGTCATTGAGATTGTTTTCTGTAATTACAGATCTGTCCAATTCCTTTTAACAACTGCATTGAATTACAAGGTTGACTGACTTCTACCTAATATTTTGACCAATACTCTGTGGATGTGCAATAGCTTGTTTTTAATCTTTTGCTACTAAAGATAAGATTCTGATGGATTTTTTTTGTTTTTATTATCCACAGAGTTTTAAGCGGAAACCTGGACAGGCTGACAATGAGCGCTCCATGGGGGATCACAATGAGCATGTGCATAAGAGGCTAAAGACAGTGGATTCAGACAATTGTGCTGAGCGGGAGGCAGCCCAGCCCCAGGCCCAGGTGGAGGAAGCAGATGCCTTTGAGCACATTCAACAAGGCAGCGACTCTTACGACACACAGACCTATGGTATTATTATACAGTGTGATTGTGTGTATGCCAGGTGTCATTACTTAATAAATTAGGAGGGAAAATAAATGGCTTTTTTAAATTTTTTCCCCCCTCTAATAGGGTATGTACAGAAAGACATTGCTTTAGCTGTGAAGTAACCATAGTCAAGTGTAAATGCTCAGGGGGGTCGTTTTCACATTAACCCTGTAAAGGTCATTGGTAACGTTGGCCCTGTCTAAATCCAGTCCCTATCTCTGGGTTCCTTAGTACTGGACATTTCCTGATAGTCACCACTTAGTGAATCCCTGCAGTGGCAGGAGCTACAAGATGAAGTATGTTGTTTTCTTATAAATGAGAAGGGATGGGAAAAAATGTCAACAAAAGAAGATGAGTAGAGAGTTGTGAGCATCCTTAATTCTCTTGGTGACTTTTCAGAGTTTCCTTCCTAATGTTGATAATACCAGCCTTTGTTAATATGAGCCAGCAAATCAGAAATGACTCCTAGCTAACCCTTCAGTAGGTTTTCAGAGGCTGTAAATTACCCGAGAGGAGATTGCCTATCTTTCCTCTCCCATGGGGCAGCTGGTAGATTCAAACTGTCTGCCTTTGGATTGGCAACACAACTCTTTACCCTTCAGGCCATCAGAGCTCCCCCCATGTCTGTAGAGGGTACAGAAGTGAGTATTCTGCCCTACATTATTTTTCTCTCTTCCTTTCTCACTTTAAAAAACCAAAACAATAAAACTCCACAACAATATTAATAGATACTGTGTCTTAAGCTCTTATGCTGTGGCAAAAGCTGCTTTTGCCTTTGCTGCTTGAATTTATAATTACTTCAGTATTCCTGTGAGCTAGGATGTTTCCACTTTATAAAAGGGATTGAGGTCAAAGCAATGTGAGAACTTATTTGTAACCACAATGCTAACATTCTCATGTTGATCCCTTTTTGACCCATTATTTGGTTCTTAATTCTTTCAGATTATCTACACACATATGGTTAATGAAGGATACATACCTAGTTTTGGGGGTTTTGGGGGGGGGTGTGTTTTTTTGGGTTTTTTGTTGTTGTTGTTGTTTTTTTTGATACATACCTGTTTTGAGTCATGTTCCTATCCTGTTTACTCTGGTTTACTCTTTTTTCCATAGTAATAGTTAACCACCCATTTCGATAATTATCCTTTATCCTCTTAGTTTCTGTGGGAGGTAGGGAATAAAGAGTTATATCAGTCAGTAAGTAGAAATCTTGGATAGACAAGCCAAGTTTTGTGTCTGAGCCACCTATCTGGTCAGTGGCGGAGCTGATAGTGACAGAATCTGGAGACTTAGAAGTGATACGAATCATAGCTCAGCCATCATTACTTGTCCTGCAAAGATCTAAACGCCCTGTGGGGGGTGTGTGTGTGTTTTGTTGGCAGATGTGGCCAGCAAGGAGCAGCAGCAGTCTGCAAAAGCCCCCAGCAAAGATCAAGAAGATGAGGAGCTCGAGGATGCCCTCATGGACACAGCGGAAGAGGAGGAGCTCACAGCAGTAGACACAGAGCAGCTGAAGCCAGAGGAGGTCAAGTCAGGGACCACAGCAGGGTCAGGTAAGTCCTACTAATGAACAAATCCCTCCTGAACTCTCTGACCTAGAAAAGTCAGTTCCCTCGTCAGTGAACTGGAGCTTGCCTGTTCTGTGCCCTAACCCGTGGCTTAAGGATGTTTTACCATGATGACCCCAAAGTTTTGATCTAAGCAGAGGTCATGGTTTGTGTGGACACAGTAAGATGTGGGTAAAGGAGTGTTGAGGTGAGCTTGCTAAACTTCATTCTTATTTAAAGAAACCTTAATGGATTTTAGGCAAAATCCATTAGTCTTTAAAATATGTAGAAGAAAGCAGCAGCATAGTGTATGAAACACACAATGTGAATGAAGAATAATGGGAAGCATAGTATATACGAGCTTTATAAGCAAACCAGTATAAAATAAAAATTAAAAAAAGAAAGCAGCATGGTACTTTTATTAACTGATGAAAAGATACATTTCTTGATTATTAGGGAAATATTCTTAAACAAAATGTATTTTCAATTATATAAAAAAGTATACAATATTAGCTTAAAATGCCATAAATTTTGAGAAGAAATAGGATGAGGGTGTGTGAAAAAGTAAGTTTCTCACTGACAGTATTTCATAGGCCAAATATTATTACTAAGCAATTTATTTTAAAAGTATACATAAAATAAGGAATTTTAAAATTAACTTCCCCCCTTCATTGAAATAAATGTAGAAAAAAATACTTTCTATGTTCAAGAAGTTTATCTTCTGCCTCTTTCCTGTATTAATATATTGACACAGTTGTTCATTATGTTGCAGTTGCCATTATATGACACTGAGAAACATAGTCTGTGGGCCCAAATTTGGCTTTTACCTCTTAATAAATTCACAGCTTAAAGCAAATGGTTTGTTGTCCCCTCCCCCCAGCCTCAATTTCTTTTATGTAGAAAATGGAGCTTTAGTTTTAGTTATTTTCATCTTTTATTTATACACATGTCCATAGTTTTAAAAATAACACTTTACCTTCTTTCCTCCTCCTCAGAAGAGCAGTCTTCAGCTCCACCTGAGTGTGGGAGGAGGGGAAGTTAAGGCAATTAGGGTCAGCAGTGGCTGTCTAAAGGTAACAGTGTGTAGAATCATGATGGACAATATGTTAAGTAGTAAATAAGCAAGCTTTCATCAGTCATCGGTTGATTGTTAGGATTAGTAGTCTGTTGAGAAGGCTCAGTTTTTATGTTCCTGTTTTTGATATGTAAAAGTATATATACTTACATGAATATAGGCTTTGATGAGATGGAGTTGGAGACCGAAATCGTTAAAAAAGAAGAAAACCAAGACCCTAAGACAGACAGATCCCTCAAGGACACAGAGAAAGAGAAACCTGAGAGGAGCAGAGACTCAACCATTCATACAGCCCACCAATTGCTGATGGATCTGGTTCTCCAGGTACTGAAACTTCCATAAATGTCGCTGTTAGAATAAGTTGACAAAATGCAATTTTCATTGGCTTTGTAAACCATTATGCTTAAGCAATAATAAATCTATTTGGGGCATATTTCCTTACATAATTTCACAGAAGTATTTTTGTAAATGATTAACCTCATATACTGAGGGAAAAGTCCTGATTAGTTCTGTAGATTATCACATACTGTTATTACTCCTTCCCAGAAGTAAACTAGTTAATAATGTCCTCATTCTTCAAATTTTGTATAAATGATATTGTTTATTCAAGATTTTTTCCCCTGTTGTTATTCTTGTGCATATAAATAAACGTTCTTAAGTAGATCGGGGGAAGAAAACCAGCAAAAATCCATGGTTATGTTTAGGTGTACTGTTGGGACTCTTATTCTGTCTTATGGTATCACTGTGAGTTGAAATTGACTGGATGGCAGTCATTTGGTTTTTGGTCTTCTCTGAGTAGATAACACTGTCCTCACAGCTAGGTTCAGGGTTACAATGATGGATTGTTAGTGCCCTGACCTGTGCTTGAATCCACCAGCTGTCTGTAGGAGAAGGAAGGGCAGTCTCCCCCCTGCTGTTTACTGCCTCTGACAACCTGCTGGAGGGTCCACTGTGAGTCTCTTTTGACTCAAAGATACACAACAGCAACACTGGTAGCTTTTTGGGAAGAGCACTTAAAACTGGGTTTGTTCCCCCTAATAGTTTGACTTTGTGGCAGTCTAGAGCAATCAAACAACATTTTCATTATTGAGGATTTCATGGTCATTTTGTCTGGTTTTCCTTTTGTTGTAGATTTAAACGTGTAAAATACCCTCTTTATCCATCTTATTTGTCCAAAATAGGAAGAGAAATAACTCTGGAATCCTGTAAATTTGTCTAGGTTTGAGATCCCAGAAGCACTTGACTGTATTTGGAGTGGAGAAGGAGATAGCCAGTGATAATGAGTTGGCAATTCTAAATCGGGCCCTTTCTCAAATGTTACTCTTTCTTCCTAGCCCGTTTTAAAAGATGCCAGTGAACTAAGACAGGAGTTGGAAAGACAGTTGGAGACATGGCAGCTACATGAATCTGGAGACCCAGAAGAAGTAAGTGACTGTTGGTTTTCTTTTTTCTTTTTTTGTTGTGTACCATCGAGTTGGATCTGACTGGCACAGGAGGAGATTGTCCCTCCTTCTCCAGCAGAGCATCCCACATGGATTTGAACCACACGCCTTTTGGATTGCAGTGCAGGTTCTTGTCATTAGGCCATCAGAGCTCCCTGACTATTGGTTTTCTTCATAAAATACTTTTCTTTTTTTTTTTTTTAAAGATGCCATAAACTAAGGTTCTTAACTCTTACTATCTATGTAAAGGATCTGGGTACATGGAGAACATAATTAGAATTTGAAAGCCAAAGCTTGGTAAAAAGAATTGTATTCTGCTGGCTTTGACGCTACATCTACACCTGAATTAAAACATAGAATCCGATGTATTTCAGTCCTTTAACTTATGAGAGTTGGAATACTAAGCAGCTGCAAAAGAGAAGGTAAAAATGCAGCAAAAGTCATCCTTGGAACAGGCTACCTGGATCTTGGCTGGCTGACTTGATGAAGCTCTGTAGATTACCCAGGAGAGAGTGGGTATGAATGAGTGAGGTAGGGAGAGAGAGAGTGAGAGTGTGTGTGTGTAGAGAGAGACACACACACCAGGAAGCACACTGTTGATTGTGTTTGTTACTTGAGCTAATTGCACTCATTTGTCAGTTTGCTTTTAGAAACATGACAGAGACTGCTTAAGTGGCTGGATTTGGTGGATATACTGTGTGCTTTATAGATAAAGTGAATTTATTTGCTCAAATAAAGGCATTTATTTGATCATTTCTAGTATTTTATCCCTTGTTTAATTCTTTGTCATTTGGAACTGTGGGGTGTGGTTTTAGTGGAAGGGGAGACATTTTTAATATACTTAATTAATAGTTGTTTTTGGAAAAATGCCAAAAAATGCTATTATGTGCTTCTGCAGTGGAAGTTCACAAGGCCATCTTTTACTCCTTTGCCTGAGGCTTTTCTCTTGTCTTGATGTAATGACTTTAGTTGGGGCTGACATTCTAAGATTATCTTGTACTTTTGTTGTTGTCACAGGAGAAGGCTGCAGCTGAGATGTGGCAGAGTTATCTGGCCTTAACAGCACCTCTTTCACAACAGCTGTGTGAACAACTTCGTCTCATTTTAGAACCTACCCAGGCAGCCAAGCTGAAGTAAGCCTTTCCCATTGGGTGCACTAATAGTGCCTTGAGATTATGGCTGTGTTGTCAATTCTGTTGAGTTTAGTACCTACCTAGCCATTTGTAGAACTGTCTCCCAGGCTTCCATCCCTGCCACGTAGGCACTAGGACAGGACACCAGTAACCTGTTTTTTATATTGTTATTTCTACCACAAAAAGTTTCCTAATGTTTGAATGTAGTTTCTTTTGTTCATTAATATCTGATGAGAAAATTGGCTGAGTCTTCCCTTATACCTTCAGTGTTCTTACTATACATGCTAATCCTATAGGTCTTTTCTGAAATGTGTCTAAAAATTAATAATTTAGGACAGAAAACAGAAGCCAAGATTTAATATTAATGCAGACATATTTTCTAAAATTTTTATTTTCTGTCTTAATTTTTCTGGTGGTACTGACTTACTGACACATGTCTAGGTATTGGGGTCTGTTTGGGTTTTTTTGCTGATCTTTAGTCCTTAATTGATAGCAACACTCACTGTGCCAGGTTGCTTCTTATTTGATTTTGTTTCCACAGTATTATTAATGTTCTTAAGGGATGAGCAGTTGTTAATTGATATTTGCTTCTTCTTGGGTAAATTTAATAGAGGAGACTATCGAACTGGGAAGCGACTAAACATGCGAAAGGTCATTCCATACATTGCCAGTCAATTTCGAAAAGATAAAATTTGGCTTCGAAGGACCAAACCCAGTAAACGTCAGTATCAGATCTGTTTAGCCATCGATGACTCTGCCAGCATGGTAGACAACCATACCAAACAGGTAAGACAAAGAAATGTAGTGATAATATGATAATACTAAGCTATATTTACAGGCAAAACAAACAAACTTTGAAATATCTATTAACTTGTTTTAGGAATGTGCTTCTATGTTTGGGAAGACCTAAAGTTAAGAGTTCAAAGGAGACAGTTTTAAAATTCCTCAAATATTTTGGTTACTGATTGTTTTAATTTTGTTTTATTTCTTAACCCTGCTCTTTGAAAGCAAGAATGATGAAACTTCACCTCACATACTTTGGGCATGTTGCTAGATGGCTATTCCTTAGAGGAGGACATGGTGGGTGGAGGGTCAGTGAAGTAGGGGAAGACCCTTAACCAGGTGGATTGGCACAGTGTCTGCTGCAGTGGGCTCTTGTGTGTCAGGAAGTGTGGGGATGGCACAGAACAGAACGGGGTTCAGATCTTTTTGTTCATAGGGTTGTGGTGAGTCCTACTCTACTCAACAGCACCTGACAACAATGTTATTTTCTAGTTGGAGAGTTAGTGAATCTGATTGTGTTCTTTTCCATAATATGCAAAGTATTATTAAGGGCTTTAATAAGACTATGGAGAACACAGATGTCCTTCACTTTTTTTCCCCTTCTTTATGGAAGACTTACCTGTTTTTAACTGAAATCCAAAGTAGAGTTTTGTTCCTAACCAAAAAAAGGGGAGAAAGTGTTCGTTTTACAACCAGCCATTAATGAAGCTGTGTGCATCCAACAGAGCAAGAATGACAGTCACCTCAAAATCTAAGCCACCACCCCTCAGAACTGTGTCTGAACACGATATATTAGTGTTACTTTAGATTATATATATATGGTATGACTTGGTAGGCTATTTTTTGGTACTCCAAATGCTAAAAATTTTTACCATATAAATTAATAGTAATTTCTTCCTGTGCTTTACACTATTTTGGTTTGCAAGAGGTTTATGAAAAATTGTGTGTGTGTGTGTACAAATGTGTGGTGGTGGTGGTGTTTTGTGTCATGGAGTTGACCTATGACACATAGCACCCTATAACAACAGATCTGAATCCTGTGCCATACTCATCATCCCTGATATACTTGAGCCCACTGTTACTGCTTCAGGCACTGTCAATCCATCTTGTGGAGGATTTTCTCTTTTGCTGACCCTCTACTTTTCCTAGTGTGATGCATGATGTCTTTTCCAAGGACTGATTCCTTCAAGACATTTTATATATATATATTGTTGTAGTCAGAACCTCCAGTGGGTTTTCAGAGGCAGTTGATCGCATGGAGGAGATTGCCCAACTTTCTTGCACGTAACAGCTGGGGGTCTTGAACTGCATGCATTCCAGACTGCAGCACAGCTTCTTGTCACTAGACCACCAGAGCTCCCTATGTAAAATGTCCAAGATTATCTAGAGTTAGTTTTTCATCAGTATTAACAAGATTTAGGGACCTGATAAGGATTTCTTATAACCCTCCATTATAGACACTGCAGGGTATTTGTTATTTTTACAGTAATACTATTGTCTAACATGAGCCAGTGAGTAGCCTATGATGTGTGTGTTATTTTGGAAAAAGTTAGTGTACAATCTCTGAATCCAGGTGCACAACCCAGATCCCCTACTTAGTTCCATATGACTTTGAAAAATGTATTTACTTCTTAAGTATCAGTTTCTTTTGAAAAATTAAGATTATGATAATGCCTATATCATAATCATGGAATTCTTAAGAAAATTAAATGAGATCATGTACATGGGTCATGCACCTAGCACTTACGTATTTGGTAGAAGCTAGTTGTTACAGTTACCATTACCATTTAACTGTGCTGTCATTTATGAGGTTGGCAATGAAGTTTTCTATTAGAATTCTGTAGTTTGGTGTTATTATTGATGTATAGTTTGTTTTTAAATTTATTTACCCATTTGGTTAACTTTTTATGTAGTGGGGTAGAGGAAGAAAGAAAAATTTAATTTATGGACCATATTTTCCATTATCAGTCTTCTTTGCTGATGTCTCGAGCAGATCTTTCCTTCCAGTGTATGGAATGCCACTCAAATGAGTTTCCACATTTGTGGTATTAGGGCAGTATTTTCCAGGTGTCTTTTGATGTGAAAAGAGCCTTTCTTTAAACCACACTAGAGGATATTCTAATTCCTTCCACATTTAACTTTCTGTTTCACAGCTTGCGTTTGAATCTTTGGCTGTGATTGGAAATGCTCTAACTCTACTAGAAGTGGGTCAGATTGCAGTATGCAGGTATTTGTGCATTTTGTTCCCATTGAGAAAAACCCTTTAATAACTCTGATTTGTTACTTTTTGCACACAACAAAAAATAATTCCCACTGTATTTGTGTGTCTGTCCTTCCATTTCTTCCAAGTTTTGGAGAGTCTGTAAGGCTGTTGCATCCGTTCCATGAACAGTTCAGTGATTACTCGGGGTCTCAGATTCTAAGGCTCTGCAAATTCCAGCAGAAGAAAACCAAGATTGCTCAGGTAAGCTCACAGAATTAAATGTGTCCTGCATTGTTATTTTTTAAGGTAGTGTATAAGAGATACTCTGTACTATTTTTCCTCCCAGCCTAACCTTAAATGAAATCACCAGTACAGAATATGTCTAAACTTGGGCCTGTGTTCCACTAGACTAGAATTCCATGGGATCCATTATTTAAAAGACTTCTTTTTGCTCAGTTCCTCAGTAATCACTTGACTTGACATCATTGATTTCCCTGTTTTTCTCTGAGATCTGGAGCGTTTTTGCAAAGACAACACTCCTCCCAGTACCCTTTTTAGTGGATTGAGGATAATTTCTTTCTTCATGTAGTCTAAAGAAGAAATAATGTAGGATAAAGCTGGGAGTTTGTAGGCTGACATAAAAAATTAAAAAGAGAGCACAAGGTATAAGTCCATTTTCCTGATTCCTGTTCTAACTTACAGACCTTTTGTTGGGTTGCAATGGGCATCTTGATTTTTCTTGCCTTATTTAGTTGGGCTTGTTGAGGGAGGGGGTGTCCTCCTTGAAAGAATATGTGATTTTGGGGTTACTGAGTTCTTATCCACCAGGGCAGTATTTCTTCTTCTTAGAAGAGCTGACCAGAGCACCAGTAGGATATGTGCCAGAGACATGTTTGTCTATCCTGGAGGATGCTGTGGGGAGTGCCACACAGTCCAGCCCTTCTGCCCTTGACGCATGTGGCTCACAGGGACAGTTTGATTGCCTATAGACGTGAGAAGGTTCTTTTAGTAACTCTGGTGTTAGAAGTTGTGTCAGTCAGTCTGTGACAACGGGAGGAGAGGGAAACAAGGTTTCTAATCATCTGTTTCTGGTTTTGGTTTAGTTTCTGGAATCCTCAGCCAGCATGTTTGCAGTTGCTCAGCACCTCTCACAGAATACCAGTTCAGGTGAGTTACATTCTCTCCTCTTGGCTGACAAATGTTTTCCTGTTGTCAGGAGTCAGGAGCTGTGTGTACCCTGTCACCAATTTTGAAAGACAAAAATAAGAGACAGCAAGGTATTCAGATTGATTCAGGCTTGGAAGCAGGAGTAGCATCCACTTCCTAAACCACATGCCTCTGGACACTATGAACATAGAGGAATGACAGTAGTTATAGACAGAGTTCAGGTCTTTTGTTCATAGGGTCGCTATTAGTCCTACTTGAGTAGATGGCATTTTAAAAACCATATTCAGCACAGGAATTTTTTACTTACTAATTTAAAAATGTCTATTAAACACATATGTTTAATATGTGAACTCACAGTTTATAGGAATTAGGCACTATTATCGTGTGTGTGTGTGTGTGTGTGTGTGTGTGTGTATATGATTGTGTTCAGAGTTATGAAAGGAACAAAATATGTGCAATCCGCTGTCCTGTGAAATTTTAGTAACAGAAGAAAGCAGATAGGAGCATAATTAAAAACCAGCTAATCCAACCACAGTTGATTGTGGCTTGAAACACCAAATTCTTTATCTAATACTTTTCAAAATTTTAGTCCTGATTCTGTCATGGAGAAACTTCCAGTTTGAAGCAAGTCATTGATACCACTTTTAATATTTGCTAAGCATCTTGAAAGAAACTGAATATAACTGGCAACATTATAAAAGTAGACTTTTTAAACAATGTTTTATTTACCGTGTTTATTTTTGTGGTGTCAACTTTAAGAAGAGTAATAATTACAAGTATTAGAAAATGGCAAAAATCTAAGTGTTGTCCCTGACTAAAAACTGGAAAACACATCTCGAGATTTTTTATTTGGATACTTTTACTTTCTAAAGGACCAGTGCTGTCTTTTTTTTTTTCTTTTTAAGTTTAAGACATAAACATGTTTTACTTCTCTTACACTTTGCTCTGGAATTAAGTTGTACTAAATTGGACATTGCCTGGAGCACTTTGTAGAATGCCACCTTCTTGGCAGAGCTTTGAATGAGTTCAGTAACAACTTTGACTCATCCAAATGAATGGATCCAATGAGAGACCCCTTACACCCAAATGCATTAGGCACATAGCTGCTTGGTTTTGATAATACAACAAAAAGTACATTAAGTTGTGTTAATTTTGATTTAATAAAAAAGAGTGTTTCTATGTTCTCTTCTTTCATGTCCTACTCTAGAAACTTCGCAGCTGCTCTTGGTGGTTTCTGATGGACGTGGTCTTTTCCTTGAAGGCAAAGAGCGAGTCCTTGCAGCAGTTCAGGCTGCCCGAAATGCTAACATCTTTGTCATTTTTGTTGTGTTGGACAATCCCAATTCACGAGTAAGTGACTGCTAAAAGGCATAATTTGCAGGGGATACAGTGGAGACTCCCTTTAGTGTCTTCTATCTCAAACATGGTCTGGGTTGCTCCATTATACACAGAACTCATAGTGTTCCGTGTTCTGCCAGGCAACATTCCAGCACTAAGTATTTTCTCATTTAATCTTCACAATAAAGAAGTAGGGGTTCAGTCACCAGCCTTTTGGTTAGCAGTTGAGCTAACTTTACTTCTGTGCCACCATGGCTCTTGAGTTGAGGGTAATTCTTCATGATGACTTTCCCATCAGGGGGTCTAAGAGTCATTAAGAGGCTGTAAATCTTAATGAGGGATGAGACTACTGATCCTTCTTCAGTGGAACAGCTCATACATTCCATCCTTTTGGTTAGTGGTGCAATTCATTACATAAGACACCACCAGAGCGCCAAAGTAGGGCTGCTTGTTATGGGCCCTTCACTTGGTCCATAATTGACTCTGCAGCCTGTTTCCCTAGAGCACATGAGAGGAGTTTGCCCATCCTTCTCCCTTGGAGCAGCTGGTGAATTCGAACCACTCACCTTTGAGTTGGCATTGCAACGCTTTACCCTCTACACCACCAGAACTCCCTGAATTCAGGATAGAGACCATTATTCTCTTTGTTACAGAGGAAGGATAGAAGTACAGAGAATTTGTAAGTAATGAATATAGAGTCAGAAGTAGATGGTGCTCACTCCTCTTCTGCGGTACAAATTCCCCTTTATATATCATCACTGCAGTCCTGTGCACACTTCCTTGTACCTTAGCAAACTGCTTACAAAGAAAAGCATCAGCATATGCTCAGAGGACCATTCTAGTCCAAGAGGAACCTTACCTCTTTGTGTTACAGTAAAGCCTTGATAAGACGTCCGAGCAGTAAGACATCTGCCTCCTCCTTACTGTTCTCAAAGTAATGCTTTACTTACTATTTTAAAAGAGTTTCATGCAGGAATTAAACACTGATTTAAACACTGCTAGCAAAAGCTACCAATGACATCTGTTTTTATTTCAAAATATCTTTTGTTGACAGGATTCTATCTTGGATATTAAAGTACCGATATTTAAAGGACCTGGAGAGATGCCTGAAATCCGATCCTACATGGAGGAGTTCCCGTTCCCATTCTATATAATTCTTCGTGATGTGAATGCACTTCCTGAAACACTCAGTGATGCCCTCAGGCAGTGGTTTGAGTTGGTCACAGCCTCAGACCACCTGTAGAATGGGAAGACTATTTAAACTGTGGAGTGAAAAGCACATTTTTTGCACAGTGCTCCGTTTTGGATAACTCTCTGATTCAAAATTATGCAACAGCTACAAAAATTATATTGCACTGTCCATTGTTTTACAGCATGATTTCAGAGCCTAGAGGAGGCTCCCATCTCTGCTCAGGCCATGGTTCTTCTAGTAGACCCAGGGCAGGAAGGGAGCATCTGCAGACATCTAGCCTCAGCACCTCTGGTCAGTCCCGAAGTTGTGGCCTGAGAAGAGGCTGTACCCTCCACCGAGGGCCCAGGCAGCAGAGGGTCTGAGGAGATGCTGTCAGGAGCCCAGGACCATGTCAGCCCTTTGACACAGGACTCAAGTGAGCCCTCCTTTTAATCTTGCTCTGTGGCAAGTCTAAAGTTAGGTGGCTGTGACAAATACCATTTGATAGAGTGCTTGTATGTTTTCTTATCGGGCTTGATGTGGAAAAAAAACCTACCTTCTCTAAGAAGGTAGGACACTTGGTGTGTATTCTTAAAAAGCAAACATCACGGGTGTCCATCTTGAGCAGAGATGATCCTTGGCTGGTAAAAATGAGTTGCATCTCAGCATCATTTTCCACATTTGCTACTTTGGAATCTATGCAATGATGAAAGGATGATTTTCCATCTTTATTTCATTTTCTCACTGCCATTGTCTCTGTATTGTAGTAATTTATTTCTTTAGTTTTTTTCTCTTCACGTTTAAGGGGAAGAATCATTCCTTAACACTGCTTTCAAGCTGGACTGAGCTTGTCTCATTCTTGTAAGAGAGAAAAAGAGGATCATGTCCAGATAAACTAAGCACCTGTGAGACTGAGACTTTTTCCAAAAATGCATCAATGTCTTTTCGGGTTTTTACTCACCCAGAAAGCAGTACTTGAATACTTGAAAGTGTGTGCTGTTCTGTTTGTCCTGAATATTGATTTGTTTGTAACACACCACGGTGTGATCATCTATTTCCATGTATGTTATCAGCTTACACTGTGATGCTTGTTCCCCTTTTGTAACGGTCATCAAAGACACAGACTGCTTGGTGTTTAGCCACTTGTCCTAAAGCATGTACCTGAGGTTATAGCACCATAATTTTTTATTCTAAAAAGCTATGCAGCTTATATTCTCAGACCTATTAAAAAAATACACCCCTGTTGGTATAATTTGTGGCCATTCTTCACAGAATATGGAGAAGGAATGTGAAAAGTTTGTTCTGAGCATACCGTTAATGCTGTCACTAGTTTTTGCTGTGCTAACCTGACCCTACAATCTCAGTGGGTTATTTTCTCACTTGAATTCATGTCCACGGTAGATGAACTGTGACATTCCCCCACATCCTCTTCATTCCAGCACTAAGGCTGTGCAACGTTCTTGTTTGGGATATGCTGACCTTGTGCCTGAGGAAGAAGAGCAAGCTGGTAAAAACAAAGTAATTCATAAAGATTCTGTTCCAAAGCGGCATGTTCTTTCACTTACATTAATTGGCTAAAATAAGTTACAAAACTAAGCTAGCTTTAGTGAGGCAGGAAGCATAATCCTCAAGCAGGGAAAGGTGTAGTGGGAAAGACATTTATATAACGGTAAAATAATGCTGTAGTTATCGCTTACACCTTTACATGTATGTATCGAAGCCACATCTTCTCAGAACATTGAATCCCTTGGTCCTGGAGGGTAGTTCATCAAAAGTTGAGATTCCAGTAAACAGACTGCTCTGTCTACCACAGAGTACCTTTTCAACTTGTGCTGTGATGGCAAAGGGTTAGGAATCATGGGAGCATAGTCACGGAGACCTACCAGGAGTTGATGAGGTCAAGGAGGAGGGAATTGAGCCAGGGTAAGAAGCATGGTATACATTAATCTGTGAGCCACTTGGGACAAGTTACCAAAGAGTGGGCTGCCATTAGGGCTTGTAGGAGTGGAAATAAATCAGCCTGCCATGTTCAAGGTTATTGCTGTTACATTATCCTGTCACTATCTCTTTGACCAAAGAGGTGAATATAAAGAATGAGAACTTTGTTTTTGGACTTGTGTTTTGTTTTCCACTTTGAAAAACTTGACTACTCCTATGGCTTCAACCATCATCCAAGCAAAAGAAATACTTGCAAAATTTACACCAGACTTCTGGCAAGACCACTGTTTCACCCTCTCATTTATATTCTGAGATTTGGTAAAGCTGCACCTGAACTCTTCAAATTTTTTTTTTAATCCCCTACTTCAAAATTCCTTTTCCACCATGCTCCAGCTGGGTTAGTTAGGTAGCTCAGTCTACCATCTGCCTTACTCCTCTTTCCATGTGCAGCCCCATCCCCAACTAATCATTTTATCTGGTCCAACTCCTGGACAATTCTGTCCTTTCTTTCCAGCACTCTCCTCTGACGACACAGCAGCAGAGGCTCTTTTAGTCTCTAATTTACATTAGTGGTACTATCGGAAACCCAACTAATCACTTGTCTTTGCTCTTTTTACTTCATACTACAACATCCAAGATCTTTTAAAAAAAAATCTCTCCACCACAACAAGATAAAGGTAAATAATCCAGTAGAAAAATGGGCAAAGGATATGAACAGGCACTTCACCGAAGATGACATTCAGATGGCTAACAAGCACATGAAGAAATGTCTAAAATCCCTAGCTCTGAGATGCAAATTAAAACAACTATGAGACATCATTCACACCCCAGTCAAAATAGCAAAATTTAACAGAACAGCAAGCAACAAATGCTGGCGAGGTTGTGGAGAAACTGGAACCC